AAGGGCCCCGGGGCCAACAGCAGCCGCCCTACCTCATCCAAAGGTGCCGCCACTACCAATGGCGTCAACGGGGCCACAAACAACACCACCAACGGAGACGGGTCGGCATTAGCACCGGCAACAACCTCAAGCACCACCGAGGAAGCCTCCTAGAAAGAGGTCCCTGCCGTCGCTAAGCCGTCCTCCGCCGGTGCTCGTGCTGGCTCGTCTTTGTCGAGGGCTGTCAGCAAGATGCCCGTTGTTTTCCCGCCGCCTGTTATTTTTCAGGCGCCTGCCCCGTCGCCCATTGCGCCACAAGGACCCACTCCTCCGCCGGCTGCTTCAAAATCTGCTATTGTTTTTCAGGGGCCCGCTCTTCTCCCAGCATCTCCTATCCCGCAAGGGGCCCTCGATCCTCATGCGGCCGACATCCCTCAAAATTCTACCACCGACTCCCAAGCGTCTACCAAGCCCGTTCGAGTCGTAAGGACTGCCGACAGGTCCCTGTTGGTCATTTCCGCGTCTGCCATGAAGAAGTTTTATCGGAACAGATCCCAAAGTGCCACTTCCAGTAGCAGTGCCAGTGATAACAACGGCGACAATGACGATAAGGGCCCTGACGTCGTCAAAGAAGGAATTGAAATCGCGGCCCCTAGTCCTGCTCTCACCCCAGCAACAGAGGCCAGCATTAGCTCCAGCTCCACTAAGAGAAAGAGAGCATCCACATCTGAGGACTCAGGAAGCGGTAATGGTCCCAAGAGAGTGAAGTTTGTATCGAAACGGGACGCAGCACCAGCGTCAGTGGGCGAAGATGCATCCTCGGCGTCGACGGAGCTGCCACAGCTGCGGCCACAGTCGCCTTCTCGGCGGCGGAAGCCGCAGCAAAGGTCGCAACAGGAGGGTATCATAATGGATACATTAACAGTCGCCCCTATTAGCAGCCCTGTTACCGCTAAGAGCCCAACAGCCGCCAAGCGCAAGAGCCCGACAGCCGCAAAGAACAGCCCAGCTAAAACCCCATCCAAGACCCCGGCTAAAAGGAAGAGAGCCGCAGTGAAGATCAAACAGGAAGAAGGAAGCCCCAGCCCTAAAAGGGTTAGAATCAAGAAGGAGAACGAACAGCCGCGCCAACCCGCCCACAGCAGCTATCGGCTTAGGAACAGGGGCGGACCGCGGCTGGAGTTCAAAGAGAATTCGAAGGGGGAGATGGAGTTGGTTGAGCTTGGGAATGAGGAGCAAAGGAGGGGATTGATTTAGTGATGAAGTTCGGGAGAGGAAGAGACAGAGGGAAGTGGGAATCAAAGATGGTTTGGTGTGGTTGGTTGGTTGGTTACACCATACAAAATCCATCTTGGAGATGGAAAGAAGAGCAAGAATCTTCATCAGAATAAAGTCATAGGCCAAAAGAGCCATGACAAAGGGCATCTGGATATACCAAATACCAAAACTACGACATACCAGATTGCATTTTTTAGTTTGCATTGCTTCACGCATAACAAAAGAGAAGAGCGGAGGGAGGAAAGAAGGGAATAACCGTGGGGAGCGTATATACCACCAACATTGCGCTGGATAGGATGGAGTTGTTGTCTTTGATTGACCTTTTGGTTTTGGTTCTGGTTTTTTTCTTTTTCGGTTGCTTCAAGACAGGAGTTCGGCAGCATAAAAGCATTATTGAGGTTTTGATCAAGAACCAGGGAATACAAATTTGAGAATTAGTTGCTTTGAGATACATTCATACATTGAATATAAATGGATTACACTGGCGATTTGTGCAAGTCAGCATCATCATCATGTGTGCTTTGGACGTGACATCTGGTTTGATTCTCTACATGACATTGCGGTGATCTTGCACACACCCTCTCTCACAGAACTCCTGTAACTGCCATGACGTTCTCATGAGTGAATATTGCCACACGTTACTTTCAGCAGGAATAAAGCAGAGTGGTTTCATCTTAACACCCAAGTTCATATTTTCGCCAGTCTAGCTAGTCATCCTGACCAGCCAGATATGTGACCCTTCATCCACAGAAAACATGAGTCTGTCTGTCTAAAAGTTGTTGCTACATTCATCATACACGTATTCTCTCGTCTGTCCGCAAGCCATTGAATTACAATTTACCACACGAACGCCCTGCATCGCATCGTTCTAGATACCCTAGCACACCCCAGATCGGATCCACGCCAAGCCACAAAAAAAGGGGAAGTAAGCCAGTAATGTGAATACCTAATCAACTTGATAACTGAAGAGAAAGTCAGGCGTTACCGGCACCAGAACCTTGCTGCTCTTGCTGCTGTCCAGCGCCTGTGGATTGTTCAGTTGATACACCATTAGCTTGCTGCTGCTGCTGCTGCTGTTGCTGTTGCTCGACACCCTCCATCTGTGACGAGGGCTGCTGCTGCTGCTGGCCCCCAAGATGCTGTCCACCCAACCCCATCAAATCCGTCGTCTGTCCTTCCTTCTCCAACACCTCCGCCGCAGCATCAATGACCCCCATCGTCACCGGCAACAGTCCCCTGCCCAGCTCTCCCTCGCGGGGATGTAACGCATACACATTCGCCTCCATGCTCTCCCCACTAAACACCACAAAGTTCTGAATAGGCTGCTGCGTCTGTCCCAGCACGTTGATCACGTCCTGCGCCAGCTGCCCTCCCAACACCGCCGCCACCGGCGCCAGCTCGGCGCCCACGTTCTGCAAGAACGACCGCAACAACTCGGCCCGCAATGTCTCCGCGGGCAGGCCGAGGGCTTTGTGTTTGTCGCTGCACATTTGCGTAAAGGCCGCGAGAGCGGTGTGGTTGGTCAAGAGTTCGGGCCCGGTGGGCGGGACGCCGAACGTAGAGGTGAACTGCCAGAGGGCACGCAGGCAGCTGAGGATAGGGGTGACGGCGCGTTTGCGGCGCGGGGAGGAGAGGATGTCTTGGGGGAGGTGGGAGGCGTCGGAGGAGGCGAGGAGCCAGGTGGAGTAGAGTTCGCGTTTGGTGACGAGCTCGATGTGGGAGTCCTTGTTGTCGGGTTCTTTGGGCGCGACGGAGACGATGGAGCGGGTTTTGGTCTCTGGACCCAAGGTGGTGGAGAGATTGGAGCGCTGGCGCTCAATGATAAAGTCGTGCTCGATCAGGTCGGCGAAGAGGAAGCCGTAGAGACCGTGCGAGCCGGCGGCGTAGAACTTGCGGCCGTGGATGCGGGTGGCAGTGTTGATGACGTTGAGGGTGTCGGCGTCGAGGTCGGTGGCGATGATGACGTCGAACGACGAGTAGAAGGACGAGTGCTTGGTCCGGATGTCGTCCGTGTCGACAATGACTTTGACGCGCGGGTTGAGACGCTGGAGGGAGGCGCTGGCGGCAACGGCGCGGTTCTGGCCGAGGTGGCCGTCCTCGGCGGACAGGAAGAATTGCGCGCCCAGATCGGCTTCGGAGACGACGGCGTGGTCGTTGATGGTTAGGGAGCCGATGCCTGCCAGGACGAGGTTCTTGGCGATCTCGTTGGCGAGGGCTTTCATGGTGATGAGAAGGATGTTGGCGGAGCGGATCTTTTCTTGGGCTTTCATGCCCCAGAGTCGAATTTGCCGGTCATAGAGGGCGATCTCATCTGTTGAGGGGGTTAGTTTCGTAACCTATCTCCAGACATAAGGAGGGTTAAGCACTTGCCTGCACTGATGCCAGCAGCCGAATGGGAAGCCTCTTGACCAGATCCGTTGGTCTCGGTGGCCTGGGTGGTTGTGGTAGTCATGATGGGCAACGACTCCAAGGGTGGCAGTTTGGTTGTTGTGATGAGGAGCAAAAACGACCCCTTAAAGTAATGTTTGCCAAGTGATATTTGGGCTTGTGGTTGTGGGTGGTGAGGTTGAGGTGAGAGGTGAATGAACGCGGGCAAGCGAATGATTCGGTTCCTGGACCGAGAATTAAACTTGGAAATTTGGCGAAGAGTTGACTTTTCTAGATCCTGACGGTAGAGTAGTTAGAATTGGGTACAGAGTTTTTAGTCGAGACCAGTGATATCAGTGCGCATACCGGACTATTGGCCGTTCGATCTCAAGTTGAGGATGGTGGTTGGTGTTGAGGTTGAGACGCGTGGTGCAAAAGTAGGCGGAAGAGGCCTGTGCATTTCGGCGGTTTTACTTGACTATTTCCATCAACAAACTGAGTAATACGTAAGATCGGACAACGGCAAACACTCGCGCTTCTTGGATCTTTTGGAATGATTTCGCTAAGGATCCAATAGATCCTACAAACGCCACCCGTTATCAAGCTTGAAATCCAACAACCAAGGTAACTTTGAAACGAAAAGAAGAAGAAGGGAACGGAATGCACTTTGTGGTTTGGACGGGGACTTGGGGTTACACTCAGTGAACGTACGTATCGTAGATTCCGATGCCGACACATGACGCCAGTTAAAGTGGTACTTGCACATCATGGTCACTATGGCGCCTCATCAAGTATATGCTAACAATTACACTCTCACAACGTCAGTGGAGGACAAGGTACCTATTACCCTGCCAGAATACCTAGGTTCTCGGTGGATATGGATATGGATGGTGTTGGCTCGCCCAGCTGCCCACCCGCCCGTGGTTGACTCCTCCTCTCGTCTCAGGGTGTCCCGTGCAACGGCCGGGTCTAGTGTGTACACTACAAGATGATCGGCCACTCTACAATCCTTTCCACTTTCAACACTCTTTCCTCCTTGATCATTTTGACATTTGACATTTGACCCTTGACTTTCGCCTTCTTTTTCTGCACATTTTTGTTTACTTGAACCATCTCCTTTTTTCAAGCGCTACTGTGCTACTTCTATCTTTCGGAGGCTGGTCTGTCTTGTCCCAGCCGGGTTCTATTCTTCCTTTTACCCCCCCGCCTGCGCCCCCCTGGTCTTTGTGCCCTCAAGCTTTATGGTAAGTTGCCCTTTCTGAAATGCGCTTCCACGGCCCCCATCCAAACCTAACATATCGCCGCGTTATCAAACCTGCCGCTTCTCTGCGCCTTCGACACGCACTGGTGCCTCGACATATGGCGTATGAGCCCAGTTCGAAGCTGTAAGCTTCTGATTCACACCCAGACCACCTCGCTGCAGGGACACATTTTCTGGTGTCTTGTTACCTGCGATTACTACACCTTAGTACTAACACTCATCCTTCTCTTGTACCCTAGTCCGACAGTCGACCTCTAAGGTCGCCCTGGGATTCGGAATCTCACCAAAACAACGCCCAACCCGATGCCCTCTCGCCGAGATCTCCCACAGCGATATCCCGAGAACGATTTGAGGCTCTAGAGAGATTTCACAACCGCATCAGTCGCAACCTAGCTCTTGAACAGGCTGCCTCCAGGGTGCTCGCTCGGTCCAGGATGTCCTCCGGCTCTGACCGGTCTCTTCGCCGGCGATTCAACCAGGATTCTCAACCCTCTAGCAGCTTTTTGCCGCCTGCCATTCCAAGTTCAACTTCTTCGACCCCTACACCACCCTTACTTCCGTCCCTTCGTTCGCTTGGCTCAAGGCTGCGACCCGGCATGTCGGCGCCTGGAGGCCAGAACGGCCGCCCTTCCCGTTATTCGCCCTTTGACCGGGCAATAGAGAGGCACCGAACTTACATGAACCCTGCCAGGGAGCGCAGCTACGTGACGCCCGGCGAGCTTCAAGACTCGTCCAGCTCTTCACAGCCTTCGCTCTTCGGTAGGAACACTCCTCCTGAGGATATGGAAGAACTAGAAAACTTTCGCCGCGCAAAGCGACGGAAGCTGGATTCTGACAAGGTATCGCCAAGTTACAAAAATATTCTGTATGGAAAATACGGCCAGGTGGAACCAGGTCCGCTTCTTTTGGAGATCGTCAGCTGTGATGGTGGCTTGTTCAGGGATGGACGGGCCTATGTGGCGGAGAACATCCTGAAAGACGACGCTTCGGTTTATTGCACAAGGACTAATCGCTGCAACATCATACTACGACATCACGGTGGTACTGTCTTCAGCTTGAAAGAGTTGGTCATCAAAGCACCTGGTTCACATTACTCTCAGCCGTATGTGTTGTCCTGTTTTGGATATCTTTCGATCGCCTTGCTGACCGGTCTCTAGGGTCCGAGAGGGCATGGTGTTTGTTTCGATGGAACATGATGACCTGTTGAAACGTACAGCGCAATATCAAATTCAGTATGAGCAACCAGCGAATCCACGACCACGGACATCACGCGACACTCCAACAATCTACTCGGTCCGACACGACGATGATGGACGGATCTACCCCTCGAGATATCGACGCGATTACATATCAGATCTGATCAACACTATAGATGATGATGATGACGATGATGAAGATCAAGCAGCAGCCGCGCTACCTCCCGAGTTTTCGGCCGCATCCCAACCGTTCAATGTTACGACCGAATGCAGTGATGATGACAGCGAAGGAGACGAAAATCATTTGCGTCGTAGGCGAACGCCCAACAGGATTGGTGCTTTGCCTTTTGAAAGCGACAGTAGTGATGACGGAAGAGACCCATGGAACCCCAGCGGTTTGGACTGGACTGATCTTACTCGTGCGCGACACTCTGCTAGTTGGCGTAACGAATACGACACGGCAACCCCGGAACTTGAACGAGCTCGAGAAGCCTCGCAGGTGGCCACGCAAGAGGCGGTACGAGCCGTTGGCGGAGCGCTTATGTCTCCGCTGGCCCAATTCTACATTGAGAAGGACAAGAACAAGTGTACCATCAAGTTCGACCCGCCGGTGAGCGCGCGGTACATCCTGCTCAAGATGTGGAGTCCACATCCTGACCCTCTCAAAAACATTGATATCCAGGGGGTTGTAGCGAAAGGCTTTGCTGGTCCGCAGCTATTTCCAGCCCAAACACTGCAATGAGACTGAGTCAAAGAAGGTGATCAGTTCTTGCAAAGCATGCATCATCCGGCAAAACGGGGTCGGCAATATGAATGTTCGAGTCGTCTTAAAACAGACTGGTCTCACGAGACTAGTGCTTGACGGTCAGCCGGGGGCAGGGGAGTTTGGAGTTTTGATATAAATGCATCTTGTTTAAAGGCGTCGGCTTCATGGTACTTGGATGATGGCTTTCAACGGTCATGGGAACTGGCATCAGCGGGTTATATTGAGGTACCTTACGGCATTATGGCAAAGTGCGCTTTCTCATCAACTGAACCAGATGTTTCCCCAGCCATACGTTCCCTCTGCTTAGCTCATAAACCAAGATGACAACCGGGCTCCCTTAGCAACACTTCAGCTTGGTTGTTCTCATTGTTGTCCTGTCGCTACATGGGCTGACGAGGAGAGGTTTGTGAACCCGTGGGTTAGGGTTCAGTATGAGCAGAGCGGACGAGTCCAACAAAAAAGATAAGCCAAAACGAATTGTCCAGTGTTTCGGCTTTTGGCATCTATACCACCATGATCCTGTGATCTTATACACAGTACACTGCAACAGCAACTTCACTACATTTTGCAAAAGTTGAACGGTTGAAACAAGCCCGAGTCTATTCTACTACGCCCCGCAAGTGAGCCCCTTTGGGTACCTTGCATATTGCAACAATGATGAATCATAATGAAAATGGCTGTAGTGTACACTACCAAATGGGAAAGCCACTGCAAATCTGATTGGGCAAACAAGCTTTAAGGAGGCGGTAATAGGGTCGGGTAGAGGATAGCTTCCATGCCGCTGTAGCATAGTGGGCTGTGTGGCAAGCCTTTTGCCATCCCGAGGGTGGCTAGGTACTGCTCGCGTAGCCTTACGAGGATTGCTCCAAAGTGTCTGAGTCACCGGTGATGGAAAATGAAATTGTATCGATGCAAGTGCACTAGAATTTCGACAAACTCATAATTCTCGATGGCAAAAATGGACGGGTTTGAGTAGAGAGGTTGGGTTGGTAAGCCGCATGTATGCGTCCATGTCTTGTTGTTGAAGGTAAGTACTGGTACATACATCTGTAAGGGTCTTGGTACCCGCTGCCAAAAGCTGTGTGGTTCTTCCTCAGTCCAGATTCCAGATTTGATAGCGCCCCACTTTACACATAGCCTAGAGTCTCAATCCAGATTATATTTTCCTTCCATCGCCCACCCCACCAGTCGTCATTCGCAAAGCAGCAAAACGGCATTCTATACCTCCCATCTCCATTGCTTCAGTCGCATAACCCCAATCTCTCCGTCTCTCTCGGAATACCACTTCACCCACCAAGTAAAGGAAGCCCACTAGCAGCACTACACAAGAAGAACCGAAGCCATGGCTGTCCGCGCCCAGTTCGAGAACTCCAACGAGTAAGTTTTGCTTGGCCTCCACGTCCCGAGATGGGGAATTGCGATGCGAAAATCGAAAATCTGCCCCGCCTGCCACCGACAACGACATCAATACCATGCTTCGACACCGCGACAGCAAGGCGACTCTTAAAATCTGAATGGGCAGCGGAGGGTGGTTCTACGGGATATCAAGTAGCAGACGCGCTAACATTGTCTGTTTTCTCACAGGGTTGGAGTCTTTTCCACACTTACAAACTCTTACGCTCTGGTCGCCGTCGGTGCCAGCGAGAACTTTTACAGCGTCTTCGAGGCCGAACTCCAAGATGTTATCCCTATCTGCAGAACCACCATTGCCGGCACAAGAATTATCGGTCGCTTGACAGCTGGGTATGCGCATCTTCCCTCTCCAATTTTATTGAACTTTCAGTCCCAAGTTTTGGACGGGGCGCAACCGAGAATTTGGATGTGGGACATTGGTAAGCTAACCACGAATAAAAAAAATCATAGTAACCGCAAAGGTCTCCTCGTCCCCACTACCACAAGCGACCAGGAACTGCAACATCTGCGCAACAGTCTGCCCGACGACGTGCGCATACAACGTATCGAGGAGCGCCTGTCGGCCCTGGGCAACGTGATTGTGTGCAACGACCACACGGCGCTGATCCACCCGGATCTGGAGCGCGAGACCGAAGAGATCATTGCCGACGTGCTCGGCGTCGAGGTGTTCCGCCAGACCATTGCCGACAACGTGCTCGTCGGCAGCTACATGGCGCTCAGCAACCAGGGCGGCCTCGTCCACCCCAAGACATCCATCCAGGACCAGGACGAGCTCAGCTCCCTGCTCCAGGTACCGCTGGTGGCCGGCTCCGTCAACAGAGGTTCCAACGTCATCGGCGGTGGCATGGTGGTCAACGACTGGATGGCCGTCACTGGTCTCGATACTACGGCGCCCGAGCTTAGTGTTATCGAGAGCGTGTTCAGGTTAGGAGAGGGTGCCGCGCCTGGCCAGATCAACTCCAGCCTCAAGGATACCATGGTCGAGTCTTTCTACTAAATCCATTGGTTTTTCTTTTGTGGGCTTGTTCTGGAGTTGGTGTTATCTGTGCTTGGTAGGCAAGGGGAAATGAAGGCAATGTGTGAGGCGGGAGGGAGCCGAAGCGAGAGATGGATGTGTAGGAGGCGGGATTCTTGTCAGGTATACCAACGACAATGGGTCGTTTCTGACATGCATGCTCAAGCGTGAGCAAACAAGGCGATTTTTCTTCCAATGAATGGTTCCTATGACTAGCGTTTTTGCGTGAGGATATGGATATGTGTGAAGATGACTGTAGTTGTGGCTCGGCCTGGATTGCGAGATTGCTTCGAGTTTTGGAAGTGACATCTGGAATGGAAAGAAGCTTCCAGTTGACATGGCCATGGCCATTCAAGATAATCACGGAGTATTATACTCTTCAAGCTTCACTTAACAGTGAGATATAGAAGATGGGACCAAGGGGGGTTTGGTTGACACGGTTTTCTTGTGAAGGGTTAGGGTTGTACCGGTAGTTCTTGCTCACCTGTCGTCCTGTGAAGAAGACCAACTGAAACTCCAAGCTCGTCCCCTATGCTCTATGACGGGATCATCACCTCCTTTTGCGAATGTAAATCCAGACACCAAGCGAGATGCCTCTTGAGACAATTCTCCATCATCAATGTTTACAAAAAGCCATTATGCAAAAACACAGTACGGCATGTACCACACCCGATGCTGCCTCGAGTGCCAGGGTTGGTTGCGATCGCGGCGGTCGCCAGCAAGCAGCGGTGATGCAGTGTTTCATCATGCACGATGATGTGGTTGTCCGTTCCAGGGACTCGTGGGACCCAGCATTCGTCAACACTTTGACCTGACATGTCCACATGCATAGAATGGAGGCTATAGAATGCGTATAATACCTACCACGAGTCCAAGTCCACAACAACATGGCAATCCACGGCGGCTACGTATAATGTCTCACTGGGGAATCCTGCTTCTTCTTCTGGAAATGGCTTGGTATATGATGGGTGGAAATAATTTAAACCACGCAGCTTTATTCCGTGATGCCCTGACCGTTGAGAGACATGCAGCTGTGGCAAAAGATGCGTAGACTAAACTACTAGACTTAGTCATGAGTGGAAATATCGTTCGGGAATATTGTTTCTTTTGAAACGTCAATTTGGGGTTTTTTTTGTCGATTTCCAGGAACGTGAAATTCGACGAAATTGCACAGACCCACGAACCCGTCTGATAGTCAATCGGCAGGTCCGATCTCAATTCTCCGCAACCAACAGCTTATAGGCTTAGGCTAATTAGTTTTCAGCGTTGTGTAGTGTATGAAGCGTATGAGATAATCCTTCATGAAAAAAAAAAAGGTAGATTGATGAAGCCCAGATCTCAAAAGATGCACAAGTGCTGCAACTTCAATTGCACAAAACACTGCCAAGTGCGTGCCACGCTGCCGCAGTCCGCAATGCCGGGCCGGGGCAGGTGCGGACCAATCGGTGGAATCCTTGTCGGTTTCTGCAGACGTCAGGTTGCCAAGGCTTCGAAAAAGAAGGTTGGGAATCTCTAGCTTCTTCACGACCCCGGAAAACGGAAAAGAAAACAGGAACGGAAGTGGAAGCCTGTCCCGGCTTAGCGAACCCCTGGAAGTTCATTGAAAGGTGGACGCCCGTGGCTCTGTCTCCTATCCCGCGATCCCTGTTGAGGACGGTGGTGTGCCCCCCCCCAAAGTCTCTGGTGGTGGACTGCCCGTGGTGGTGCCGCCGCCGCGTGCGCGCAATCAGGCAAAGTGGAAAGGGGAGAACGGGACCTCGCTTCGGTCCAAACTTCTCCAGACCGTTGGACCGTTTTTTAGTAGTTTTTTTTTTTTTTTTTTTTTTTCCTTTGGGTCTAACCCCTTGATATTTTCCCGTGGTTTTGGTTCTTGGATGGCTTTAGTTATCGTCAATTCTTTTCCTCTATCACCGTCACGGTTTGACTTCCATTTCACCCGACCTGTTCGGACGATAGAATCTCGTGCGCCTACATCGGCCTACACCTCTCCCGAGCCAATATATCGGTCAAGACTTTGGACCCCTGAAATAAGCGCATGAGCCACGGCACGCCAGCGGCATATACTACTCTTCCGCCCCGTCCACCTCCGCACCTCTTCGAAGCCCGACTCGAGTTCACCTTTGACGCAAGGCACTCCCCATCTTGGATACCAAAACACGATTTTAGGATTCCCGCCGCCAATTGCCACCCAATCCACCTCAGCTACGCACCGTGGAAGCTGTGGAAGCTTGTTGCATTCCATTGTCTTGCTTTGGCGTTGAAACTGGTCTCAGCCCCAGACATCACCCCCATATTGTACACATTGGCCAGCCGAAGCAGTCAATACTCTCTCTGTATTCCTAGAATAACACGGCGGTAGAGGAGCCGGACATTCGGTCGCCTGGACTTGAAGAAACACTCCGGCCCCGCCAAACAGGACATAAGCCGACCGGCCAGACCAACAACGGCTAGATTCGCCTACCAGGGACTACCAGGGGACACACAGGAGAACAGACACGGGACCTCCAGGGATACTGTGGCAGCATTCCAAACTTTTACTACATACATCATGCCCCTTAGACCCAATCCTGCTCTGCCCCCCTCGCAGCCAGCAAGAGACTTACCGCCTCCCCAACGCCCCATTGAACGTCCAACACCTCCTCCCAAAGCCCTAGCCCTGCGAGGATCTCTGGATAAGATCAGATCCGTCAGTTCAGAGCACAACGCCGTCCCCCCCAGAGTCCCAGAAAAGCCGCGCATAGTGCCCGCTCCACCGCCTCGCCCATCCTCGACCATCATCCTCCCAGCCCCCTCCACCTTGGCCCCCTTGCAAGAGTACCACAGCGGGTTTTCTGAGCAAGACGCTGAGTCGGGCTCGGGTCTAAACAAACATCGCCGCGGGACATCGTTCCCGAACCTGATCGCCCTCACCTTTGGCACCGAAAACCAGCCCGCCTCCTCCTCGTCGGAGCAAACCGACAGTTCCCAAGGAGCGTTTGCCGACTGGCTCAACAGCTCGGGCGCGGCAGCAGCAGAAGCATTGGGAATGGCTCCCACCTTAACAGCCCGCAGTAGCAAAGCGAGCAAGGCGGCGGACAATCAGTCCCTGACCGGCTCCGTTCGCGACGGCGACACCTCCTTGGACAAGACGCCCACAAGGTCGCGTAGACGCGGGACCAACGCCAGCCAGTTCAGCAACCGCAGCAGCATGCATGAGCCATCTACGCCCAAGGGTAACGTCACCTCCCGGCTGATATCGGCCATCTCGTCCAAGTTTACACCGGGCCCGGCAGCGTCCTCTGGCCCTGCCGTTGACGACGATGAGATCTTGAACCTCGACATCGAGGCCGCCCTGTTCCCTCCCAATGGGGCTGCGCCCAACAGCGACACCTTCTCCCCGGCCGCGTACAAGGACCTGCAGGCCAACGCCATCGGCCTCCTCACCAAGATGCAAGCCGCCTTCCGCGAACGCGTAATCACCATCCGCGACCTGGAAGCCGAGAAGTCTGCCCAGCGCGACGAGATCGAGGCGGCCGAGACGCGCGCCCAGCACCTGAAGATGCAGCTCGAGGGTATGGCGCGCAAGGCTTCCGAGCACGAGCAGGCCATTCAGAAGCTGATGGACGAGCTCGCCTTTGAGCGCAGCAAGTTCCGTCCCGTCCCACAGCGCACGTCGACCATCATGTCCGAGTGCAGCGTTGTGTCGGAGGATCTCGGCGTCGACGCCGACTACAACGCCCGGCGCAAGTGGCGCGAAAGCGCCAGCACCATCAAGACGGACTACTCGTACTCGACTGACACCGACAGTGTCGCCGAGAGCGAGAGCGTGTTCTCCGCGCGGTGCCGCAGCCCCATCGTTCCTGGTGGCGGCTTTGATGGTACCATGAGCATCGTCAACAGCCCCGCTCCCTCAGTAACGACGTTGCAACGGAACGTGAGCGTCACCAACAAGAGGAGGTCCATGGGCCCCCCTCCCCCCGTCCCGACCACCCCCAAGCCCAAGATCATGGGCACCCAGATGAGCGCCTTCCAGAAGATCATCAGGGGCATCGCGCCCGGCTCGGACGAGAACGGGTGCGTGAACTGTAGGGGCCAGGACGCCAGCATGGCCTGGGACACGGTCGGCTTGCTGCGTGACGAGAACAGGCACTTGAAGGAGCGCGTGGGCGAGTTGGAGATGGCGGTCGAGGGATGCTTGGACTTGGTCAACGGCATTGGCCTGTAAAAGCTGTTGTCGTTCCAATCCAGCTGATGTGGCGTTCAAGGGTTTTTATGACTTGGCTTTTGTTTTGCCCTTGGTCTCTTCTTTTCTTTTTTTTGATTAATGGCCGTGGATGATGACAACAACAACAAAGATTTAGCATGACCTAGACCGCCGCGGGCTAGACTCTGGATTTTGTTTCTTTTTTGCATTGTGTGTCTGTGGGTTCCGTTGAAACAGATACCATTTTTGTTTGATACTAAGATGATATATATACCAGAATGGGGGGGTTGGCTTATGTAGGTAGTATGGGAGGATTTTAAAGCGAGAAGAGACAGAAAGGGCTTTTATGATGTCGGGATGAAGTGGACAACGAGGTGACCGATCACAGTCAACACAGAGCCTGTAAAAAGACAGATAATGTATATAAAAGCCGGGGTCCCTTTTTTTTGATTTCACTGCTTTGTGTCTATAAGTCAAGATTAAGTCCATACGAAACCCCGGCCGGCGCGTGCGTGTGTGTATATATGCCATTGCCCAACATGCCTGTCTGTCGAAACACATGATGAGAAGCTGATTGAGATATAAACATGTCCAAGAATCACACGAAGCTGAACATCTCGATCACTTTGGGAAATATGTATGTATGCTCATCACGGAGACCAGTCTACAATAGGCACCGCCCTCCCTCAACAACCGCTCCGGGGTCAAGTGCAGTACTGTCATATTGCTCTTCTGTATCTTTCCCGCCATCCGAGATAGACTTCCCTGGTGAAGCTCTTTCAACCAGAGCTCGGCTGCCAGCTATCCGCTATGCCTGGCGTTTGTAGGCGTCCTGTTTGTAGTTTCTTCTTTGTCGACCCCATATCAACGGTTTGTCCCCCTCTGAATATCCACCCGGATCCACTCAGTCCGACTCAGACACTCTTCTCCATCTCAATGTCCATCCCCACCTATATCTCAGTGCGCAGTGACGGCGGACGCAGTACCATCGTGGTGGTGCTTATCCTTGAGAAAGAGATGCTCGTAAACGCAGTAAATAGCAAAGGCAACGGAGGCGGTGCCAAAGCCAGGAAGAGCGCCTTTGAAGCGCTCGGAGCGGGAGAACTGGCCAGTGGTACGCCAGGACTCGCTGTTTTCGGGAAGCGGGGGGTTCTCGTGTTGGTTATCAAACTCTCCTCCACCAAGAGCACAGCGTCGAAAACCTGTACTCACTTCTTGATCCAAGGATCGTGCTCGGGCACACGGGCAGCTCTACGGAACTCGCTGATGTTGAACCCCGTGGGGTTCTTGGGGACGGCGCGGAGGACTCTATCGTTGTTGTTAGAAATCGCAAAGCTGGTACCCGTGATCATAAGTGAAACTCACCGTGTGACACGCATTTTAATGACGGCAATTGCTTGTTAACGTCGATGCGGGAATGGCTTCACCAGAGCTGCTTCGATTGGTTTGGCGACGTCGACGACGTTGTGGCCGCACCCGACGTGCTTGGCCTGTGCGGCTGCTCAGCGTGCAGTGTACATTATGTACAGACACCCGCACCACCATCCCCAACCCTGTCCTTGGCGGCAGAAAGGGGGCCTCGTCCCCTCTCATGGGGAACACTGCAACCATAGGTAGCTGGCTCGTGCGCCGAGTCAAGAAATGGTACGTACCTGGTTGTACCTGTGCTTGCTGGCACTTTGACATCAACCTCGACTGTGCTCCTGGTGGCCCGTGCAATCGACAGGCAGCCTGCCGCCTCGGCCGCCTCCAACGTCCAGTTCCATTCAACACACTGCAACTGGAACTGGAGCAATTGAGCGAACCCAACAACTCAGATAGCAACTGCTGTTGACAGCCCTCGACCGTGCACCCGAAACGCACAGCACTCATCCAGCTTTCGACCCGTCCGACGAAATCTGTCAACACGCACCACAGAACTTAACCTCTTACTTGCCAGGCTGTACCCCTCCGTACTCGTTCCCCTCGACCGCAGTCGCACCGATCCTTTGCCTGCCAGCCACGACGACGATATCATCCAGTCCACATAGGCCGATCCCACCGCCGGCTGAGCGCTCGGCCGCCCCTCCGTCATCCCGCAGAGCAGCGCCTGGTCAGGAATGGTGCATACGCGGCGCACACTTCTAAGAGCAACCTTTACAAGTCCGATATCACGATAGACGCACAGCATCGAACCCGTCTAGTGGCTGTCGCTCTTCCGCGATGCCTCCTCCACCCATCAACAGGTTCCCCAGCGGACCTTCGCCCTACCATCAGCAGTTTCCTACACACGGCCAGCACACGGCAAGCCATCCTCCGCAGCTGACAGGAAACCCCGCCTACCTCAACCAGAACGCCCAAGTGAACCCCTTTTCGGCAAATAGCAACCTATTAGGCCTCGGCGGGGGACTAAATGCTGGTGGTGGCGGCTTCAATGTGGGGGGAGACTCGGGGCTGGCAAGCCATGCTGCGAGGATGGGATTCCAGCACGGGGCCCAACTGCAGCAACAACAGCAGTCCCAACAACAACAACATCAGCAGCAGCAGGCCCAGCAACAGACGGCCCAACACTCACAACATGCCCAGCATGCCCAGCACCAACAGCACATGCAACACGCACCACAACAGGGTCACGGTGCCCTTGCCGACCATGTCACGCGATCGCAGAGCAAGAGCCGGATACGAGAGGTGTGGAAGTTCAACTTGCACGAGGAGATGGCCATACTGAGAGACTTGGTGGACAAGTATCCGTACATTGCTATGGTGGGACTGCAGTCACCCCCTTACTGGGAGAGGAGAGCTTGGAAATGGCTAACGTGGGTTGGATCTCTTTCTAGGACACCGAGTTTCCCGGCGTTGTGTCGAGACCGATGGGAGGTTTCAGGGGGAAGAGCGATTACCATTACCAATGTCTCAGGACCAACGTCGACATGTTGAAGGTCATCCAGATCGGTATCGCTCTATTCAACGAAGACGGCGAGCAACCCCCTGCGCGACCAAACTCAACTGATGCTATGGATCTCGCAGGGAAAAGGGCGGCCAATCAACAGGGGCCGTTTCCCTTCGCGTGGCAGTTCAACTTTAAATTCTCTCTTAAGGAGGACATGTTTAACCAGACCTCGATCGAGTCTCTGCAGCAAGCCGGTATCGACTTCAGCCTACTTGAGCGGGATGGCATCGACCCCAAGGAATTCGCCGCGCTGCTTATCCCATCCGGCTTAGTGTGTTTTGAAGACGTGCGCTGGATCAGCTTCCACGGCGGCTACGACTTTGGGTATCTCACAAAACTTCTGATCTGTTCTCAGCTTCCTAACGACGAGGTTGAGTTTGATCAGATCATGAAGCTTTACTTCCCTTCGACGTACGACGTTAAGCATCTCATGAAACACGCTATCAAGCAGTACAACAGCGGTGCGCTGACCCCCAATGACCCGGGTGCGGCCGAAATCCTGCAAAAGTTCGAGCAGAAATCAGGTCTTGAACACATCGCCGACACTCTCAAGGTTAAGCGCGTGGGTAGTGCACATCAGGCGGGCAGTGATAGCCTTATCACCGGCAAGGTCTTCTTCGAGCTACGGAAGCGCATCTTCAACGGAGATATTGGTGGCGAGCACGTCGGCAAGGTCTGGGGTCTCGGCATCCCCGATTTCTCCGTCGTTGCCAGCCTTCCCACTCTTAACACGGCAGCCGCGACTGCTAGCAATAACAACACTAACAACACCAACACCGAGAGCCCAGCGACTGGGCAGCAGGCAAACGGTGCGCAGAACGGAACGCCCAGCACGCCCAACGGTGCTCCGGTAAACCTCGCCGGCGCGCTCGCGGCTGCGGGTGCCAACGCGGCTCAAGCGGCCGTTGCTGCGCAAGCTGCTGCCGCCGCCTCGCACAACACCAACGGCGGTGCGGCGGCGCTAGGCAACCTCGGACCGATGACGCCCGGCGGTGGAGGTGGCGTTTTCGGCCAGTTCGCGTTCGGCTCCAACAACAACACCAACAGCAGCAGCAACCGAGGCTAGCAACATCCGGGGGCAGGCTCTAATATGACGATGGTTGGAGGCGATGGACGGGTGCAAACAACAACAAGCGTCTCTTAGTCGGGACTTGCTACTGTCCTTTTGTTCCTCTTCTTCCTCCTCGTCCTCCTGGGTTGGTACAACATCTATATCCTCATTTAACCTGTGCCGGTGCCTCCTCCAGCGCCAGCGCTGGTATGGGACCCAGTCTACCGACGTTACGTACCTGAAGAGGAGTAGTTGATGATGTTGGGTGTGCGAGGGGTGTCTAAGGGCGGGATGTGGTGTATGTGTGTGTGTGCGTGTGGATAGAAGGGATGCGATGCGATGCATGGGTCAAAGGAGTTTGAAACGTGCTGCTGGCTGGCTTTGTGTGTTATTTTGTCCCGCCACCCTAAACCTTTTTTTTTTTTTTCTTTTGCGTTCCATCTTTTTTTTTTGGTCTCCATTGTCGTCAAAATTTTTATATCTTGGGGGTCTTCCTTCCTACATGCTTTTATCAGTTTATCGTTGATATATCCGTGATCAGAATGGAGTTCGTGCTCTCTGGCTTGGCTTGTTAACCTAACCCCCATCAGCGGTTTAGAGGTCTTGGGGAATAAAAAAATGCGATGGACAAACACCTTGTCGTTACATACATACATGCACGGCGTCGCGTGGTAAAAGCACACTTTTCCAAGGAAAACAGCCCAACTGATGGAGACAAAAGAAAAAAAGGAAGGGAAGGGATTGAAAATGACGGGACTTGCCAACTCCTCCTTGGCGCTTCCTCTCTATCCACCTCATCACCATACCCTAGCGGAACCAGCTATGTTCTGGTGTTTGCCTTCGACTTTGGGTCTTCTCTGTTTTCCCTTTTTTTTGCTGTATACTAGTAGTCCTTTAGCGCTTACATTACACCCGTATGGTTTACACTTTTATGTCGTAACTTTTTTGGCTTCATTACACTGGCGAAAATGGTATCAGGGAAGAGAAGCAATCCATTGATGGAGTAACTCAGCAGTTGATACAAAATGCATCTTGATTTTATCTTACTCATTTGCTCTTTTTGAGCCTAAAACTCCACATACGTGGTATTTTTGATTCAACGTGTAGGCCAAAGTCATGAAAGTCATTAGTTTTTTATACCTAGACTTCTTCCTATGATAATGGCAACGCTGTTTTGGGCTCATATGCGTATGTCTGCGTGTGTGTGTGTGTGTGTAAATACTGTATGCCATGCCGCGTATCTTATCCCCAATCTTACCATCTTGCGATCTTTTATTCCATCCCAACATAATGATATAGAAGCCAACGCAATGATCCCTCATCCGCACCCATTCCCAAGCTGTTTGTTGCGCTGTTGCGTCTGCGTCCCGGGGCGCAGTCCAGACTGGAACCAGACCAATAATGATAATTTTCCCAAATGATGAGTTCCTCTTCCTGAGAGACCAATACGATGATAAAATCCCCCAAACACCCGTAAATTATAGCCGTCAGTCAACCCGCGCCGTAGCATATACCCCCCCCAAGTTCCCCAGTTAATGAAAGAAAAGATAGACCCCCAAAAGAAGCACGTATGTCGCTGCCCGCAAATCGAAGCCGCAGTATCAAGCAAAAACCTTCTTCAGCGCCGTCCTCGAATATACCTCGCCGGTAACCAAGTCCTTCACCTGCCCCTCCGCCAGCCCCGCCTTGGCCGCATACTCATCCAGCTTTGCCTGTCCGTACACGCGCCCGTTCGGCAATAGCAGCAAGTCATTATCCAGATGGCTCTTGCTGTGGTGCGCATAGGGAACGTTCTTGGCCAATTCGTTCAGCTCGATCGAGCAGATCGGGCATACTGTGCTAGTCATGCTCGTCTGGCTATGCCCGGGCTGTGAGGAGGAAGTCGTCTTTTGCGTGCCGTGGCAGGCGGGCGTCTTGAGGGCCGATAAGCCTGAGGACAGGGCTGTGTGCAGCAAGGGAAAAGTGGGCAGGCCTAACAGCTTGTTATGTGCTTCTACGAAAGAGGTGGCGAGCTTGGTCCACCGGTCCGGACTGTACCAGGCGGCGTATTTGGGTGGGAGGTTCTTGTCGGTGGGTCGGTGGGCGAGAAGGGCGGCCATTTCGCGGACTTCGTCAGGGTATTGCTCTTGGAAGGGGGCAATGTATTTCTTTGCGTGGGTGATGGCTTCAACGGATTTGGATGGGGTGTTGATGCGGAGAAGCTCGATGTATTGTTGGCAGCGAAGGAGAAATTCGAGGTTGGACTGGGGGATGGGAGATGAGGTTAGCGGTATGGGGATTGACGGGGAGAACGGGGTGTTGTGTCAGCCTACCTGTAACTTTCGAAGCTCTTTCTTGTTGTCGTTGCACCAAGCCAACGCCTCGGTGACGCTGCCGTTCTCGAGAGACTCGCGGATCTTGCTCATTGTCAAAAATGTTTCCACGTCCACCAAGTCGTGCATCTCGCGCTCGTTTGCCAGGGCTTGGGCCGAAGTGTTGTATCCGTGCCGTAGCATGTAGTCGACCAGCAGTCGATCCAGACGTTTCCTGGACCAAGCCTCGTATTTAACATCTTCAACCGAGTGCATGTCCGAGAGCTCGCGCAGATGCGCCACACGAGCATCAAGCTGCTTATAAAGCCTGGTTTCCTCGTTGGCGTACGTTGACAGCTTGCGCTTCATGCCGCGCATCTTGGCAATCATGGTATCGAGGTTCTTGACGACATCTTCGGGCGATGTCTTGCCGTCGAGGGATCCTTTCGCTGTTTCTTTGAGGAGCTTGTTGAGGGTTGTTGACTCTTTCTCGACGGTGAAGTGAGCAGATCGGAAGTTCTTGCGGAGGAGTTCATATGGCAGACGGAGCAATGGCTGGTCCTGCAGGTGAGGTTGAACAGAAGATTAGTCGATGGCGAGCGAATACGGTGGTTCAAAGGGGGGGTGAAGGAGCACCTTACCAGTAGTAGATGGTTGTCGTGGTTTATCTTTGAGGCTTCATGATCTGCCATCTTGGCAAGGCAATAAGACACGGGCGGACCGCCAAGATGGTGTTCCGGGGAAAGTTGGAGTCCAAAAGTCCGGAGGTATCGCTATGATCGGTGGTCAAGTACGTTTTGGTTGATACACGGCGATCGAGGATGCCGGATAAGGTCAGTGATGGGATGGAGATGGACCTTGACGGCCATGGAGCCGGCCTGCTTTCCAGTGTTAGTCCCGTGGAATAGACCGGGAGCGGGTACCCCACTGATGTCAGCACCTATTCATTGGCCGCCCCACTATCCCACCCTACTAGTACTTATAGTTCTGTACAAGATCCCTTTCAAACGGTACGTACCGCCTATACTATCAAAAGACAGACAATGAAACAACCAATATTCTCTATTTGTTCATGTGTATATGTGCTAGAGAAGGTTTTTGAGATGGTTCAAACCTCATTGAAGGGAGTATAGGTCCTCAGGTTCTGCTGGGTGAGCGTTGTAAGGGCTGGTGGTGATGTGATACAGTTTAGGACGGTGATGTACACGATAGGCCTCAACTAATGATTTCCTCATGCCGTTGGCTTTTCAATGATGACGCGTTTACGTACCTACGTAACCTAGTGGAAGGCTAATACAGATGGTTGCCGGGCATGGTAGCTTTTGAAATATCCACCACGGCTTGGTGAACTCGGAAGGCTGCCATCTTTTCCATGCTGCTTTGAAGCCTGTCCACGGAGGGAGTGGTGTTGATGGAGGGTCAGATGCTAGTGCTCGTGATTACAGTCGCCCAGATCATGTGCCGACCTGTCTCACACTGTCATCTTAGAGGCCTCGACGGAATTACGTGAAAAGGAGAAGTTGGTGATCGCGGCCGGACTTGGGGTGTGATTGAGTCGTTGCATTCACGATAATCAACGGGCCTTTGCAGTCAGGCACGGGGTTTTCCTGTGCATCGGAACCTGTAGCAAGAAGGCAACGGATTTCCATATCATGCCCCGGCACGCACATCCCAGAGATGTGTGCCTTTGCCTTAAAGATAGCCACACACTCATGGTCAAGTGGAAAAGGCACTCAGGCAAATGGGATAATTGGGGTTGTATTATTTGGGCGCACGTGCCTGGAATGGGATTAGGAGGCCGCACATGTGCAACCCGGCAGAGTCCTCGACGCCTCCAAGGTGCCACGCTCACACTTTCCATGATTTGACATGTTATGTGTCCCAAACAAGATGCACATTGTCGAGAATGCCCTCAAAGAGGTGTGAGAGAGCTAGAGTGGTGAGAACAAAGCGGAAGATGAGGGAGACTGCCATATGTACAGTATGCGGCCAGGCTATACTACACTAACAAAACAGTGGGGACAAGGGGAGTCAGGTTGACCGGGGAATGGGCATTCGGGCATTCACCATTCATTGAAGCATTGCGCATGGTCCGTGCACCAAAAGGTGTGCCTCTAGTCTTTCTTATACAAGCCGGCGGCTCGACCTCCTTCGCTGCCTCTCGCTCAGCTCACATGACTTTCTCCAGATCAACTTCGAAAAAGAGGCTTTGCTAAGCCCGGCGAACGCAAGATTCAGGAACTGCGTTTCTTTCAATAACCGGTACGTTTTCTAACATAAGTCGACTGATGAATACCTCTCTCTTGGTGCCCAAGTTTCTTTTTTTTTTTTTTTTTTTGCGTTGTTGTTGGTGTTTGTTTCCTTGAAGGAAGCGTTGGATGGGTCCAAGTCCTGATTGACGCAGTCACGAGTTTTGCACATGACCTCGACCACCTCGTAAGAATCCCAAGCGTCCCGACCACCAAAACCTCTAGTCAAGGTATTTGCTTCACAATTCCATATGCCTTTCCCCGTCAACACGAATGGAGTCCTGGCTCGTTGATGCACGCTCTTCAACTTGCTGTCAAGTCTTGACAGACTTTTGTTGATCTCCCGAACTATGCGACCGGCAACAGTCTTTTCTTTTGTTTACAAAGTCGAAGGCGACATGGATCGGGAGAACATCATCAATTCCATAAGCCATCAGGTCCTTCATCGACTCCACATGCCGCATCACGAACATAGATGCAGCTTCATGTAGGGCTTGCACGTCGTTTGCGGACGGTCCATGGCGGCCACCTACACTCAGCTCTCTTCACAGCGGGGCCAGTATCAGCGTAGCGACGCGTTAATTATGTCGCATGGGAACCGAGCCACCGTCTGGAGTTCTGCTCAAGGCCCATCATTATCACGACACAAATGTCAAGCAAGTGCTTGCCAATCAACTCTACTACTTGGATCGTGAAGATATTACCCAACTACTGCTTGGTTGGTTCTCCAAGTTGTTGGTCCTGAACTTGGGGTTGAGATAAGGCAACAGCAGCACGCAAATTGACCCGTGGGTTCCGTTGACTATTGTTACTGACCATGAGGTCTCAGCATCGTGCTTTCCTTCTCAGAGATCTATAATGGCTGCTCCCGTTGCTATGGAGCATCCCGACCTCACAGACCTTTCCAACGCCCCAGGACAGAAGCGAAAGCGCGCATCCGAGTCCGCTTCGCCCGATTCTCGCAGAAACAAGCGCGGTGTTCCACCGGCGACAATGGCGGTCCCTGAGCCAGAGGCATTCCTGGAGAATGCTGTCAGCATCGCCCAGGCAGCCCATGATCATGTCAGCGCCGACGATTTCAATGCGCTGGCCCAGGCTGCCTCGGATCACACAGACACGGCCGATGCGAACAGCGCTACTAACACTGCCGCCGCCGCCCTCAACATGTATCCTACTCTTCATGTTCCCCCACCCACTGAGGAGACTTTTGCGCCTCCGCCGCCAGGACCAGAGATGCAGCACCACCACGAAAATGCCTATCACAACCCGTCTCCCGTCCAAGAGCCAGACGGACTGCCGCCTATGACCCCCCAGACATCTCTTCCACCGGCCAACGGTGTACAGCCTGAACCGCCAAAGTGGGGAACGCATCTCCCACCCAAGCCGGCCGTTGGCAGTGAAGAGTGGCACAAGATGAGGAAAGACAACCACAAAGAAGGTAGGTACTCGGCACCAACTGACCAGATCAGAATTTTGGTTAACCAAGACAACAGTGGAGAGACGACGTCGCGAGACTATCAACGAAGGCATAAATGAGCTTGCAAAGATTGTTCCCGGATGCGAGAAGAACAAGGGCTCCATCCTTCAGCGCGCTGTTCAGTTCATCACTCAGCTGAAGGAGAATGAAACGCAGAACATTGAAAAATGGACATTGGAGAAACTGCTCACGGAGCAGGCCATCCAGGAACTAAGTCAGTCCAACGACAAGCTTAAACAAGAGGTAGATCGGCTATATCGGGAGAAGGAGATGTGGAAGAGCATTGCCGAGTCAGCCGGATTACAGCCTCCTCAACCAAAAGAGGAACCAGAGGGCAGTAGCTAGCGGCATGTTACTGAGAGGTTCTTCTAATTCTTGCCTAGGCTATGCTCTTCCTGAGAAATTATTTGGCGTTATTAGATTCTCGTGGGAGTGGACCTCATGTACAGCGTCACTCTTGATTATTTACCATATTCTAAGCTTCGACATTAGCGTTTGGAAACATTATAACAACAGCACAACATTCTTGTATGGTGGTAGTTTTGCAGGTTTTGCGCGAAGCCATTCAGCAGGTTCCATGAAATACTCTTGGATCAACAGATTGATGATGGCATCTGACCTTACGTGGAGCTGTGAATGTATGTGTGGAGGAAGCTTGGGTCCAGGACGGAGTGAGGTCCCCAGATTCCAGCGGGGTTCAGCGGGACTCGGCGGGGTCAAAGTCAGTTATCTGATAGGCTGGAGATGACGCAGCATGTTGACTGATACATATCTAGCTAGGATGTTGTGATATGGCGCCGATAACGCGACGTTTGTCTACTACAGTACTACCTATTTACGAGATGAGAATAATGGAGATCAATCACAGAGTAACGGAAAACGATACAGCGAGAAGACCCTTGGTATGGGGTATCTGCAGTCGGCGGCACAGAGACTAAGGTGCGGCGGTGCAACGGGTCAAAGGCCGGAGCGATTACACGTCTTCATTGGCGTGGTCGGAAGCTTGTCCTCGTCCCTCACCATGTACGATGATCTCGGGATCTTTTGCCCCTGTTAAGCGATAGCTGATAGTCGGGTACGAGACGTTGGGTCGTTCCATGTACGTAAACACTTTGTCTCCTGCCCGTGTTGGCAAGGCGGCGGCCAGGGCGGCTGTAAGTTGAAAGTCCAAGTACTCTAGAACAGACCTTGAGATTTTGATCAGCTAATTATCTCCAATTGATGTACGTACATCCTACCTATGTGTCCCCAATGCTGTCTTGACGTCTGTCCTGTATCGGCTTCCCCGCTTTCCATATCTCATGTGGTGGCATGGGGCTTCTTATACAAATAATAGCCACTTTACTTCCTCCCTGTTTTACTTCATCGTTCCTTTCCTTTCTAGCCCTTTGAAGTGAGTGGCGTTTCTTCCTCTTCTCCGAATCACCTGCGGGTATCAGCTGAGGACCTTCAATTCGCTTCTCCAAATCTCACAATTCACTTCACTTTGTATCACTTCTGTAAGTCCCAATCCCTCTTTCTGTTTGTTGCTGAAAATCGGTTGTATTCCCCCAAGTTCATCGACTTACACAACACTCGAAGTAATCACAGGTTAGTCAGTGCGGACTTGAAGCTGGGGATTGGGTGTAAGAAACCATCTCAAACGAACACGCCAGCATAACAGTGACACCACATGGCCTCCAGACTTCTTGGGAGCAGCTATAGCGGCAGCCTACGTGCCGTTTCTACTGCTTCGACGGTTCGACGTGCGGCCGTTTCCGCAGTACACCAGTTCTCTAACCGTCGCCAGTTTACTGCCTCTAGCAGCAAGATGGCATCATCATTCTACAAGGACTGGGAGCCAGAGGGTCCCACGGTCAAGACCGAGATTCCGGGCCCCAAAGCCAAGGAGGCCATCAAGGAGCTTGATGAGGTCTTTGACACTCGGAGCTTGAACATGCTCACTGATTACCATAAGAGCGTGGGCAACTACATTGCCGATCCTGATGGCAATGTCTTGCTTGATGTGTAAGTGACTATGACTCCCAGACCAAGAATACAACATATTGATTATGTCCCCTTTTTCTACCCAACAGCTACGCTCAAATTGCCTCCATCCCCATCGGCTACAACAACCCCGTCCTGCAAGACGCCGCCCTCAGTTCCGACATGGTCAACAGCATCATTAACCGCCCCGCCCTCGGCAACTTCCCGCCCACCGACTGGGCCTCGGTGCTCAAGACGGGCATCCTCAAGGTCGCGCCCAAGGGGCTCAACCAAGTCTTCACCGCCATGGCCGGCTCCGACGCCAACGAAACCGCCTACAAAGCCGCCTTCATGTGGCGCCGGCAAAAGGAGCGCGGCGGCCCCCAGGTGGAATTCACCGCCGAAGAAATGGAGTCCGCCATGATCAACCAATCGCCCGGCGCTTCGTCCTTGTCCATCCTCTCCTTCAAGTCCGCCTTTCACGGCCGCTTGTTCGGTTCGCTATCGACCACCCGCTCCAAGCCTATCCACAAGCTGGACATCCCCGCTTTCGACTGGCCGCAGGCGACTTTCCCGCTGCTCAAATACCCCCTCGAAGAGCACGCCGAGGAGAACGCGGCCGCCGAGCAGGCCGCGCTGGACGAAGTCGAGCACCTGATCAAGACTTACCACATCCCGCCCGCGGCGGTCATGGTTGAGCCGATCCAGTCCGAGGGCGGCGACAACCACGCCTCGCCCGCCTTCTTTAGGGGTCTGCGCGCCATCACCAAGAAGCACGGCGTCCTGCTGATCGTGGACGAAGTCCAGACCGGCGTCGGCGCTACAGGAAAGTTCTGGGCCCACGAGCACTGGGACCTGCAAGATCCTCCCGACATGGTGACCTTTTCCAAGAAGGCCCAGACGGCCGGTTACTACTTTGGCAACCCGGAGCTGCGCCCCAACAAGCCTTACAGACAGTTCAACACGTGGATGGGCGATCCGGCCAGGGCTTTGCTTTTCAAGGCCATCATTGGCGAGATTGAACGGTTGGGACTAGTGGAGCATACGGCTCGAGTGGGTGACTATCTGTATGGCAAGCTGGAAGGACTGGCGCAGAAGTATCCGGGCCAGTTTGCGAATCTGAGAGGTAAAGGACAGGGAACGTTCATTGCGTTTGATAACCCGCGTAGAGACGAGTTTCTGGCGAGGGCGAAGAAGTTTGGGGTGAATATTGGCGGCAGTGGACAGAGCGCGGTTAGGTTGAGGCCCATGTTGATTTTCGAGGAGAAGCATGCGGATATTTTGGTGGATGCTTTGGAGAAGATTGTCAAGTCGTTTCAATAAATCACGATGAAATGATGGTTATGATTGATGGGACTTGAGGGGCTTGTGTGATGCCCGCCGGAAACCAGAATGGCAGGAGGAATCCCATTTTTTCGAGCGGGAGTGTGAAAAAAAAAAAGAATCGAATTGACCAATCGTCTCCGTGTGCATATGATGCTTAAAACTTGCTTCTAAGTGTTAGTTCAGGAGGATAGTGTCCTGCTCTAGTACTATAAGGGATATGATGAGCATGACTCCCTTCGACGATATGCTTCAAACATCATGCGATCAACATCCACACATGCTATGCATATCTTCTCGTCGTAATAGAAGAGGATCACTCTGTGTCGTGAAAGCGTGAAGACTCATCTATGATATACATATCCAAACGACAATGCTAGCATCAACTCATGAACGCTATCCTACATAAGATACAAACGCTACCCAGCCGGTCTTTGCCATGCAACTCCGTTGTCGCTCATGCCAATGTTCAATCTATGCAACCCATTTGTATCACTCATCCGTCCACCCATATCATATCAAGATCGTATGCATCATGTCCATAAACACCACAAAGGAAGCTCTTCAAAAACGCCCCCTCGAAACTTCAGTCCCCTCTTACAACACATGGCCATAAAGTCCCGACTCAAACCCGCCATGAGCCACTCCATCATCCTCAAAAGCGGTCGACGCCTTCTCAATCTTCTCCATTTGCTTCTGCGAGGGAGCCTTGTCGCCCAGCTTCTTGACCAGCTCTTTGGTGATAGTCTCAACCTCGCTATCCAAATCGAGCCATCCCCTCAGGAACTTGCCGACATCCGTGTTCTCCACGTTACCCCTGATTTTCTCGGTGCCGGGGCCGCCAGAGCTGTAGATGTTTACGTCCACGGCGCTGTGGCCGTGCGTGCTCCAGCCGACGCGGGCGCGGACGCTGACCATGCGGGCAAAGAGCTGAATGGCCAGGGCGGGGTTGCTGGCAATCGAGTTGAGCTCGACCTCGGAGGCGTCCTTGATGTTGAGGTGCTTGACAACGAGCTCGTCATTGATCCAGCGGAGGAGCGACTCTTCCTTGTCGCCGGTTTCGGCAATGTGCTTGAGGAGGAGGGCGGTGAGGAACTCAGATGAGGCATTGGCGCGAGCGAGGACGGTGGGGTGCCAGTTGTAGACGGGAAGTTCGCTGGGCGCCTCTGTTTATGGTGTTAGTTACTGTCATAAGCAGGAGGAGAAGAAAAGGGGGGGTTTATGAACATACGCCAAGCAGTGGACAGACCACCAGTTTCGTGATCGCTCGTGGCAACCAAAACGGTCTCAGTGTCCGACTTCTCAATGAAGTCAAGGACAGACTTGAAAGTCTTGTCGTACTCAAGCACCTCACGAACCTGAGCAGCAGGATCGTTGATGTGACCGGCATGGTCGATTCTGCTACCCTCAATCATGAGGAAGAAACCCTTGTCGCTGTCCTTGGTAGCCTCGTCAAGCGCCGCCAGAGCCGTGGCAGCCATCTCGCTCAAACTAGGGTACACATCCGCCATGTTGCGGCGGTCGATTTCGAAGGGAACATCTGTGGTCGCAAACAGACCCAACTGGGGCAAGGAAACGTTCTTGCCCAAGCCAAGGGAATCGAAGCCGGCGCGATCACTGACGTAGTTCCATCCATACTCCTCCTGGGCGAGCTTAGTAACATCGATGTCATCCTGTCTGCAGCTGCCCGGAGTTCCCCTGGGCAAGAAGTGGCACCTGCCGCCGCCCAGCATGAGATCGACAACACGACCGAGTGGTCCATGGCCGATCTCATGTAGCGCAATCTCATCGCCCTGCATGCGATGAAAGACGTGAGCGGCGAAGCAAGCAGGAGTGGCGTCCGTGATATCGGTCGTCACAACCAAGCCGGTGTGGTACCCAGCACGCTTGGCAGCCTCGAGAACGGTACCGCAGGGTGTGTGATCGGGAAGCATCGAGATAGCGCCATTGTAGCTCTTCAGGCCGCAGGAGAAGGCAGTGGCACCGGCAGCAGAGTCCGTCACCAAGCTGTTGCTCGAGCGCGTGCGGGAGGTACCCCAAAAGTGACGGTCGAGGGTGAGGGTATCGTCGATAGGCAAGTCCTGGGTGAGCTGGCGGAAGGAGCGCGTAAGAGAGAGCGAAGCGGGTCCCATGCCATCGGATACCATGAAGACCAAGTTGCGCTTGCCGCCGGACGGGGAACCGTGCTTCTTGTGGCCGGCTACAGAGGAGGAGTCAGAGACTGCGGCCGGCGAGATCGACGAGTGTTGGGTGGAGTTACTGTGCTGGATCACCACGGCCAAAACGATCACGGCGGCGGTAGCCAGAAGGGCCCAGGTGAAGAGCGCAAGCTCGCGCCATCGTGACCTGGGAGCGGCATTGTCGTTCTCGCGATCGGGAGACTGGTCAGAGGCCAACAACGGCGTGCGTTCCGGAGACGGCGCCTGTGCGGTGGAATCCACCCCCCGGTTAACCCTCTTCTTGTAAAAGGTAGAGAAGGCGCTTTCACTTACCATTGTGGTGTAGAGAGAGATATGATGGTTTGCGATCAGCCCAGCAGAAGAGATCACAGTCAATCTTTTGGCTGGGACTTCTTCCTATACCGAGCTTTCAGTTGCGTAGACAGAAAGGGAACTGAAGAGAGGGGAAAGAAACCGAAGATGCAGAAAGATGGGACGAAAAAGAGAGACGGGACTGAAACCGACCTGACTTGGACCGGCGGCGCGTGCCTGTCTGTGCCCGCCGTCTCGTTGTCTCCGTCACGGTGGGCGGGTGACGTGGTGCACCTTTCCTACAAGGTACCATAAAGCGCTGGCGGCGACTGTTTGAGCACCTCTTTGGCTATCTCCAGGCAGGGGTCGTACCTAGCAGGACGTCCTCGCATCTGACTGGACGAGACGTTACTTATTAACGCTCACAGCGGTCAGGACGCAGCGCGGGCAGCGGCGATAGGGCTGCATCGGGTGCGGCAGGAGCCCATGATTCGTCCGCCTGACCACTGAATGAAAGCAACCCTGTCCGTTGGTCCCCTATCGTGCTAGGTACTAGGTTCCCCACGGCATAGGTCAATTCAATCATTCATGCCCGTGTTACTGTAGCACAGGCAAGACTCCGATCCCGGCATTCACACAGAGAACTACAGCACTGCAGTATCACAGGAACTCCAACACCAACAACCAACCCTTCACGACACCAACACTCGGCACGCTCAACACATCCAAACAAATCCAAATCAATGTCTTCCATCACTCGGCAATCCCTCCTCAAAGCCTCTGAATCCTTTTGCACCGCCTTCGCCTCCCAAGCTCCTCCCTCCGAGATCCTTACCAAGCACTTCACCCAAAACTGCAATGACATCATAGTCTTCGAGCACGGTCTGCCTCGCTTGGCGCCCTTTCTGGGCCGCGAATACAAGGGCAAAGACGGATTTCTGGACTACTTCCAGACCATTGGGGAGCAATTGAGTTACAAGGACATGCGGTTTTCCGACTATCTTGTAGATGCAGAGGTGCGCAAGGTGTCGGTGAGGGGAGAGGCAGTGTTCACCAACAAAAAGACGGGACAGAGCTGGGACGAGGTGTTTAGATATGTCTTGGAGTTTGACGAGGATGCGAGGGTGAAAACGTATGAAATTTGGGCTGACTCGGGGGCTGCGTATCTGGCTAGTCGGGGAGAGTTGTCTTGAGCATGCTGCGTGTTTCGAGTTAGGAGACTGTCGCGGGACTATTTGAGTTTCAAAGCGCTATTGAACATGACTGCTGTTCTGGCCCGTATTGAGGTAAACAACGCTATGCTTTGATTTTTATCAAGACATCAACCTCTCTAACTAGACTCAATAACTGAAAAAGAAGGAATACAGGCTAGTATTCCAAGGTATCAAGAACCGAACAGCATTTAACCTTCCAGACGCCCTATCTTTCCGTACAAGGCCTAACCATACTACCATGACCAAGGAATTGCTTACAACTAATCAACCGCTCGTATCATCAGATAAACAAATCTCGAGGAATCTCGAGACGTGTGCAGTAAAGTAAACCAGCAAACAACCAAAGAAAAATGGGGGCAAGTGAAATCTCAGTGCTCCGCGATTGCCTCGCTCCTTAAACCCGAATACCGCACGTACAGCCGGTCCTTGAAGTGAGCATGCTTGATACCCTTGGGCCTGCTTTGAGCAAAATGCTCAATAGCCGCCTCCGGTGTATAACCGCATCGCTCAACGAGGTAACAGACAAGGAAAAACCCCGTTCTGTTGAAGCCATAGTGGCAATGGACTCCAATATAATACTCTTCTCCCCAGTTCTCTCTCTTCGCCCGCTCCTTCTGCTCGTCACGGACCTTGTCGACAAGCTCAATGAAGCCCTTGATCTCCGCATCCGTAGGCGGGACCTTGGAAACCGTCGGGAACTTGTGGTAGTGTATTCCTCCCTTCTCGAGACCCTGAGGGTTGTACACCGGGTTATCATGCGAAATGTCAATGACATCCTTAATGACCCCACCCCATTTCTTGACAAATTCCGAAGGACTGTGATCTTCGTCAACCTCGCGCAAGGTCTTGATGGCACGGAAGATGCCTCCAATAGGTTCAGAAACAGGCTCTACTGCCTGCCACTTCTGAAGATTCTTGACATCCCACTTGCCATCACGAGAAAGGTACTGCAGTTGCCAGCCCAGGTCAAGACGACCAGTGATATGCACAACCATAAAATCCGATATCAATCCCGCTAGGATGCGGGCTGTTGACGGCGTGTACAGTAAAGCGTGCGTGGCCGGCTTGCCCATGATGATGGATCGCACAACCTTTTGGGGGTGGAGAGACAAGGACGGTAGACTCGCTGCCTGCTCAGTAGGTGTCACCGGATCGTCCGCTCCTTCCTCTGGTTCAGCAACCTGTGTGCGGTGTACTGGCTTTTGATCCGCGCTTTCTCGAGTATTCTCCTCTCCTTGCCCCAAACTTGTCATAGCATCAATCTTGGACGCCGCTGCGTTGATATCTACCGGCGCTGCCGAGTCAGCAAGAACTGAGGTGCCGGGTGAAATCGTGTCTGGTGTCGTTTTGACTTCTTGCAGAAAGTCACGGATCTTGGCAATTTCCTGGGGAGGGGTGACTCTATCATCTTCTCCTCCCACTAAGAAAACCGGCACATTCAGCTTTTCCCAGGTTTCTTTCGAAGGTAGGCCGCCCTTAGCAACCCCTTTGATATGAGTCGGTAGACAACCCCAAGCCATACGACGCCAGACTGACGTGATAGCTTGGTTGTTGTATAAGTCTTGAAGCCGCTTTGCTTCGGGGTCGGCATCGGCGCCAACGAACCTCTTAACGCTCGCACTTTGGCTCCCGCCTCGCTTGTCCCACGCTCTCCAAAGGTTAAAGATGATTTCAGGGACCCAAAGCAATGCTGTAAGAACCATAATTTGCTTCTGGGATAGAAGACCTGAGGTGGGGCAGACCGCGATCAAGCCAGTGACGTGATCATGCAGTTGAGTCCGGGGTGGTAGTCTCGGACTCGCCAGTAGTGCAGCAAGAGAGGCACCCATGCTGTGACCAATCAGCACTACACCCTGGCCGTCCTCCTTCTCACGGTAATCCTCGATGATGGTCTCCAGGAGCTCTACCAGGGCATCTGTCGTGTATGCTTCCCATTGCCGGACTGAAAACTCGGATCTCCCGCACCCTGGAAGATCAATAGCCAAGCAGGACGCAATCGAAGTCAGGCTGGTGAGCAACGGGTGAAACTGGGCTACTGAGCCACCAAGTCCATGGATGAAAACGAGTAGTGGTATCGGCGCCGGTGACTTTGGAAGACGGTCGGCCTGTTGGTGGCGCCGATAGAAGATACGCAGGCCGGGATAGGTAAACCTCGACGTGGTGTATGTTTTGATCTCGCTGTTTCTGTCTAGAAGTGGTGGATCCGTGGCCACGGGATCTGTGGGAGGTGTTGTCAGTGAGTACCTTCAGGTTCTGAGGAGCCATATTGGCCATGATTCAGTCGGATGGGGATGGTTGTACAAACCATATGGGGAAGCCATCTGCAGCCAACACTGACGCCCGGATAAGCTGCCAGGTCAGCGAATTAAGAAGAGTCACTATGGACTACGAGTCAGTTAGCCTGAGACATGGGCAAGGATGGGGAACGATGAAAATCGATGTGAAGGCGTACATAAACAAAAATATGTTAAGACCGGTGGCTGCGTGGCTAAGACGATACGGTGAAGAATGGTTAGAGTAGAGCAGAGAGATAAGATGGACAAGAGATGGCCTGGGTCTGGGTATGTTGATATAATTTATGAAGTGGCAGGACGAGTATGACGTGTGCGAGCAGAGTAGATGAAGAAGCAGCGTCCCGTAGATGTCACCCGTGCCGTGGTGAAGATTGCAGTTGGTTTTTTTTTTCGTTTTTCGAGTTCCACGACTTGAAGCGAACCGTGAGTCAATCAGCCTGCCGCGCGGGACCAGGGACCTCGGTCGGTCATGGAAGGGCCTTTCGACATGGTTCCAATTCTTCCATGTTGGTGGAAAGTACCTACTCACCTCTCTGACTCTCTCTCTGACTTGTGCTGCAGTGACGATATGTGGTTGTGCGCTTTCCCAGTTACACGAGGAGGAAGCAAGAGATTTCAATTTGATATGACTAGGTAAGTTTTGAGGGTTGTATAGGTAAGTAAAAGCAGCAGGAGTTGGAGAACTGGACGGAAGGAAGGTTGCGTGGAAACGATTGAAGTAATCATTTGATTTCAGTCGTGTTTTGCACCCAGTAGAATGAGGACCCTGGAATATAGGGCGTATCTCCTTACGTTATAGTGCAGGCAGGTACTGTACTGCTTTGAGTCCATGTCAGAGTGTTAACATCACCTACTGTATCTAGCGGGGTCAACGATCGCCATCCCATAAAATGTGGATGAAAGTCGGCCTCTTACGTTCTTAGTAGGCCTTCAATTGCCGGCACCGGGCAGCTACCTCTGGTTACCTATAGTTTATCGGGAAAACTGGCCGGGTATACCAGGTAATAGACACATTCTGGTTTCCCTATTACCATCCATAGTACTTACTAGACAATGACAGTTTCGTCAATGCCCGTTTGGTCGGGTCCTTCTATCCCACGGGCATAAAAGTTTTGGTTGCTTGTCGACATGTGCGTTCGAGACATCAGGGCAGAGTCCCGATGCACGTCACTTCCTCCTTCAGGCCGGGCGGGAACGTCTGACGTGCGTGCTCCACAACCTGAGAACCGAGACCGCCTGCCCTCCCCTGCACGGGCACCTATACGTAGCACCGAGCGGCCTTGCTCTTGGCATTCGTTTGAACAATGAACTCCCAGCACATCCATCCATCCAACCGGCTCTAGCCGTTTTACCCCTGGGCTGCCCTGGAATGGAACGAACCCACCAGAAGGCCGATCCTGTGATGCGCTAGCAACCCGAGACAATGGACCCCGAGCTCCGTTGACGGCGGCCCAGTCAGTCAGTCGTGTGCATGACATTGAGGTGATTTCCAACCGGCTGTTCCCGACCCACCATGCCCGTCTAGATTACCGACTCTCGTCCCTTTCCTCCTTCCATTTATCCTTTGCTCCTGATCCAACAACACTTTGTTCCCCGTCAATCCATCAGTCGCGAACGAATCCTCCCAGCGCCCCTCCAGAACCCCGCGATCCCCTCGAAGCTGTTCCCCCCCAAGATTTGTGACTGCTCGGGCAGCAACAAAGCCCCCATTTTCGACACCATGGCCACCCCTGGCCGTTTGACCTTCCTGTATCCTCAGCTGTTCCGCACAGGAGCTCTCTGGTCCGAGCCCGCCGCGGCTCGTGTCGCCCGAAAGCCTCGTCGTCATGTCGCTCCTCTCTCTTCTCAGCCGTCATGCTGCGCGCATACCGCTTCGGCTCCTTTCTCCAGCTCCGCCTCCCGGAGGCAAGCCGCCTTTGTAAAATACGGAAAGGCCGTAGAACCGCAGCCATTACATGACGAGACACCAACAACGTCTTCGGACCCAAAACCAAGCGCCGACCCGAATCCCAATGCTGCCCCGGTAGAGAAGCAGCAGCCTGAAAAGAGCGAGCCAACAACACCAACAGAAGGCGTCCCCGATGCGCCAAAGGCAGCCCCAAGCTCCGGGGGAACCCCTGAACAACCACCCACAGCAGCCGCCGCGAGAACGGGCCCAGATCCGACGGCAGACAAAAAGAGTACCACGCCTATGGAAACCATTCTCTACATGGGACCGCCTCCCTCCGACAACACCACGCGCCTCCTGACTGACTCTGACAACGGCAACGGCCGACCACCGCACCTGCAGCCGCCTCCCTACGTCCACCACTTCGACAGCTACTCGCTCGTTAAACAGCTCTCGGCCGGCGGCTACACGCTGACGCAAGCCATCACGGCCATGAAAGCCGTTCGTGGTCTACTAGCGTCGAACCTGGACGTGGCGCAAGCCGGGTTAGTGAGCAAGAGCGACGTGGAGAACGAGACGTACCTATTTCGCGCGGCGTGCTCAGAGCTGAGCACCGAGGTCAAGAACAACCGGCGGGTGGCGGACGAGCAGTTACGACAGCAGCGCACGCACCTGCTTCATGAGGTGGACATACTCACGCAGAGGCTCAACCAGGAGCTGTTGACGCTGAACGATAACGTACGCGGCATGTTCAATGATCGGAAAATGGCGGTCAGGGAGGAGCAGAAGGCCGTTGAAAGTCGGGTAGGTCTTCCAACCCTCTGTATATCCTAGATCGGGAACCAAATTATCCCTAAACTAACATTTGCTTGTGCGCGCCAACAGATTCAACAAATAAACTACAAAATCTCTGTCATGCTCAACAGCGACGCCCGATCCGACATCGAAGCCCTGCGCTGGGTTCTCATTCGCCGGTCCGTGGTAGGAATATTGTTCATGGCGGTCGCTACCCTCGGCACCCTGCGCTACGCCACTTATGTGAACCACGAGCGACAGAGGGAGTCCGACAGGAAGAAGCGTGAAGCTGAGGAGGCCAGGAGGCATGATGGCACGAGGGACGTTGCGCCGGCGCCGTTCGCGGCGGAAATTCTTGCGGCGAACTAGAAGTAGACGCTTTTTTGGATTCCAATCATGGCCGCATTGTTATAGACACATTGGAGGAAGCGACAGAAGCAGGGTTCAAGGACGCAATGACGGCGGTTTATACCAGGTTGGGGGCTGTTTTCTTTTGTTAGTATCAAGCCGTGGAAGCAAGGGGTATTAGAGAACAGAGGGTTAGGGTCGGATAAGAAGATACCCCCGTAAACAATCGAAATAAAGGGGGGCTCAACTCGAGCCAGCCCCTGTTTCCCGTTTCATCCGTTTCAAACCAGATTGAAAACTCCCCTTTTCTCCCCAAGCAAGTCTCTTGATCAACAGTCCACATGCAAGTGTATTACAACGTCCTATACCGTCTATATATATATGCTCTTCCCCAAATCCAATATCGAAGCCCTTCCACACTTTTTCACCATCCTCTTCAACCACCAAAGTTCATCTTCAAAGCAATAGTCGGCGCCTGCTCTTCATCCTCCTCACTTCTCCTCCCTCCGGCACCTACATGTGCACCACCACCACCACCCATTCCCCCCGATCGTCCACTCTTGATAACCTCCTCCATAAACGCCCTCTGGCCCTCACTCATCGCACCCACCACCGCCCTAAAAGCAGTCTGATCGGCGCTCGCCAACTCCAGTAGCCTTGCACTCGTCTCGCGGTATACATCATCTTTAGCTCCCTCTGTCGCCGCGCGCGAGAGCAAAGTCGGCACAACGAGGGCCATGGCAATGGATGCGCCTTGGCCTCCGTCCTGCGACGATCCTCTGGCAACCACGGCAGTGAACTGCACGAGGGTTTGGGCGATGAGCGAACGAGCTTGTTCCGGGTCCTCGGGAGAGGTGTTGGTCACGAAGGCGATGAGGCGCGGGAGGAGGTGGCGGGAGATAGAGTGATCGGCTGAGGTGGGTTGGTTGTTGGCGTTGGTATTGAGGAGGAGGGAGCGGATGCAGTTTGCGGCTATTTTGGCGGTCTAGAGTTGGCCGTGTTAGTATATGGAAAGGCCAATGGGGTTTGGGAGCGAGTAAACACTTACCATCCGGTCAGTTAGACAGTCTACAAGCTCGTCTAGGAACTTGGCTACCAGCGGTTCGCTGGCTGGCAGGTGGTTTTTGCCGCCGGTGAAGAGGATAGTGATCGCCAGGAGACAGTTTTTGACGCAGGTCAGTGACGTGGGGGCTTCGCGCTTCTGAGCGTTGAGATAGATGGACAGGAAGCGGCGCAGACATCCCAACAGCTGAACGTCCGTGGGCGAATTACCCTCGTCATCATCTCCGCCGTCTCTCCTAGAACCGGTCATGCCGTTGATAAAGCGTTTGAGTGTCGACAGGTTTTGGGGGACAATGACCTCCTGGCATGATGGTGTGGCAAGAATGGTCGCAAAGATGTGCAGGATACAGGCGTGTAGATCCGTCTTGATTATGGATGGGAACACCTCCGCGGCATCGACCAGTGCGTTGAGCGATGTTCTGACGAGAAGGATCGCTTCCTCTGTCATCTGGTGGCGCACGGGCTGTTGGGTCTCACTGAGGTTGGGCAACAGTCCGGAGAGGACCAAGACGATGATCCGTGTGAGCTCAAAGAGCTGCTCAATGTCGTCAGACAACTCACTGTTCTCTGGGTCGTCAGCCTGCTTTCTGGCTGCTGGATGTGCCACACATAGGGCACGCGCAATCTCAACGATAACGCCCTGCACATCAAGACCTTCGGTGAGTACGAGACGATCCAGGAGATCCATCGTCTCGGAGAAGATGGCATCGCGGTAAATGGCATGACCAGATACGCTTGGGTGAAGGATCTTCTTAAGAGCGCGGAGAATCTCCAGTGTTTGTTCTCGGGTAGCGAGAGATTCGCTCTGGCCTGGTCTCGTGGCGAGTGCTTCAAACGCGATACCAAATAAGACAAAGAAGAACGCAACAGGCTCATCGCGGTAGTTGATATCTGCCCCCTTTGAGCTGCTGTTGGTGGTAGGTCCTGACAGCTCCTTGCCATCGAGGGCATCAAAGACGAACTCGCTGTCTTGTTCAATGAGGCTGGCGATAGCGTCTACTAACTTCAACCAAGACTCCTGGTAGAACTTGAGCAACGTCTCACGGTTCAGCGCTGCGTAGACAGTGTCCAAGCTTCCAGAAAGCGATGGAGGGCCAAGCGTCATGGAAATATCCGGCTCGAACCGAAGCCGAGCAAATTCGCGTAGCGACTCGAGCCAAAGAGGAGTCAAGGTACCAATATGAGGCTTGAGGACATCCAGTAGGTACTTCTGTTCAGAGCTGGCGACTTGTAGCTCGGCCCAGGCGGCGAAGACAGACATCTTGACCATAACCTGTGCATTTGAGCTGAGTCCCTTCAGGTCACCAATGCCAGCATTGTCCTCATCTTTTGCAAAGTTCTCCAACGAGCTCACTAACGTCTTCAGAATTCTACCCATCCTGTCTACGTCAGTGACAATACCCGTCGCGATGAAGCTTGCACAAACATCGACGGCTTCCGAGGCCAGTTCGGGTGACGAGTCCGCGGCAAAAGCGGGGGTAAGAGCGGAACTGATTTGTGCTTGGTACTGCTCAAGCAGCATGGCCTCCTCAAAGTCTGGGTCTGGAATCTTGCCAAACATTTTGAGAACAGCGCCAATGATCTTCAAGCCCCAGATTCTCTGGTCCAAGACACCTGACGTGGACGCCGAGAACGCCATGCGAACGACATCAGCAACCTTGTTCTGAAGGGCCGCCTGCGCAGCAGATTCGCCATGAGTTGCGACATCTTTTGTAACCAAAATGAAGATATCGTTCAGGCAGTCCATGGCAAAGGTAGTGACCTGCCACTTCAAGGGCTCCACATCTGAGCCGCTCGGCGTGTCTTTGTCGTCCTTGGCGCCTCCTCCAGCAGCGGCGAAGCCAGCTACCTCTTCATCCTGCAGGTCAATACCTCCACCAGACCTCCCAGTGTTCGTGGTTGCCTGCGCGGAGGCTTTCGGTCTGGTCATCTTCAGGACATGCTGGAAGCGCGCAAGCCAAGCGGCTGTATCCGAAAGACAGGTCTGGCGGAGCCAGTTTCTGATAAGGTTGCGCATTCCGTCATGACTCGGCGAGGCATCGAGAACCAGCCACAGATGATCCTCGAAGCCTTGCTCGGCGGCCTTGATGACATCGTACGAGTTCCTCTTCATGAGATTATAAAGACTGTCCACGGCCACATCTCGGAGGGCGGCATGATCGGACTTGATGTATCGCTGAAGAGTTCTGACGTAGTCGATGAAGTCCATGTAGCCCGGAGCATACAATGTCAGATGTTCCATGCAAGCGAGACTTGCCCGCTGAATCTCAAGATCCTCTTCTTGCTGAAAGTACCCAACAAGAGTTAGGATCAGCTCCCTAGACTTCGTAGAGTCTTGTAGATCTGGACCAAGGACGTTGATGAGCGCATCAACGCAGCGAGCAATCGCAGCCGAAGAGGAGAGGTCAGCCTCCAAGTTCATGGTGATCGGAGAAGCTAATTCAGGGTTATGCGTATCCGAGACGTAGAGCTTGGCCAACATTCCTAGTGTGCTAGACACGAAACTGGAGAAGCCGAGTCCAGCAGCATCTGATACGCGTGCTATAGCCTCTAAAGCCCAGTAATGGACAGTCGGGTGCGGATCGTTGCACAGAGACATGAGGATGTTAAGAATCGTCTTCAAATGATACCCAGCCGCCATGCTGCCAATCTTGGTCTGGATGCACCCAAGAGCCATGGCGCAGCCCGCTCTGGCGCTAGGTTCTCGGTTGACAACAATAGTATCAACAAGGAACTTGATCTCTTGATTCGTGAATGCGTTGCCACAAGCGCTGCAAAGTCTGGCAATCGCCTCGTAAGCAATGCTACGGACGTACTGATCGGGGTCAAGTACGAAATCTCTCAGTAACTCCTGTAGAAGTTTCTCTACGGCTATGTTTGTGATGTCGCCTGGTGACGACTTGGTCTCCTTGCAAGCCACGCGGAGGGTAGACAGAAGTGCCGTAACCACGTTGACATCAACAGCAGCTTTGCGGCCAGTTTCCCGCTGAAGGGAGCCAGCCCTTATGAAGGTCGTGATTTGCTCCAAGGCACTCTCCTGCACCTTAGATGGGGTCAAGGGAAAGACAAAGGCAAACAACTGGATAGCCATGTTAACCACCTCGGTGGCAGCAGGATCAGGAAGTCCCGGGTTATCCGAGTTACCGATGTACAGAAGACAAGCGTCGTTCTCCAGGGTGCCGCATACGGGAGAAAGAAGCAGCCTCTCGATGCACTCCTCCGGTTCGTACTCTTGTTGGGTGCTGTCTGAGCCGTTGGTCTGTTGTCCCGGGAGGCTTCTTGTCGCAAAGCCCCTAACAAGACTGGTCACTCCAAACCCTGAATTGTCGCCAACCTCCCAAATGGAGTCGAAGGTACCTGCGGCGTTCGCGATGGAAGTGCTGAGGGAGCTCGGTGTATAGTTATCCGGGTCAGCAAAGAGAGAAATGGCAAGAGTCAAAAGATTGGACTGCAGGAGAGCTTCAATGGCGCCAGCAGGACTGACGTTCACGAGCTTCGTATAGCACTGAAGGACTCTGCGTCGTACCATAACCTCCAGATCCTGGAGTTGCAAGGCTGGCGTCAGCCTTTCGCTGATATCATCCGATGTCTTCTTCGCTGGCAGTGTCTTGAGAAATGCAGTGGTACTCTGCAGCATGGTAGCGATTCTCTTACACACGTCCACAGTCAAGAGGCGACTGTTGAACTGGAGGAACGCTAAGATAGACCCAAGCGCACATTCCCTGACATGTGTGAGGAACGAGGCATTGAGCAGATTCCTATGAACCGCCATGCTATCCTTTGCCAGAACCTTGGGCAGCGCATTCTTCCAGAGTAAAAGCAGCTGCGACAGATGAATCTTGACGAAGTTGGGACCAAGAGACATTAGTCCGCCTATCAAGGTCCAGGCGACTTGAATCTGGGTGCTTGCAACCCGTAGTTCCGAAGTTCCACTTGACTTGAGCAAGTTTGTAGCCATGGTCAGAACACGACTGTTGATCTCGACCGACCCATAGAGCGGGCGTTGCGGGCTTGCGCTGAGCCCGGCAGCGAGGCCGTGAGCGAAACCAATGCACCTGCGAGGGGAATTTCTACCCGTCCCGAGAAGACTCAGTTCTCTGCTCAAGCTGTTCATGCAAACTGACAGACAGGGAAGAAGCTGTTGCGGGCAGGCCAACACAAAATTCTTCATACAGGCCGCGGCGTATACCTGAACGGTATAGCTAGGGTGCTGGAGAACTTGAAGCAGGCCATCGCGACATCCCTCTGAGAAGTCGGTCACCGCTGTGCCCAAACTGGAGATCAGCGAGGACAGAGCACTCAGTGAGACAACCAATGTGTGTTTGGATGGCTCCGGCTTTTCCTTGAGCGCTTGGGGATAGTTCTTGAGGATATCGTTGACGATAGCTTTAGCGGCCGTGATTTGCCCTGATTCACCCAGGATCCTTTTTCCTAATATGTCCTGGATTATGGTATCAACCATGCGCCGCGAAATGAGTAAGCGGTACCGGTTGTTGAGAATGTTGTTATGGCCCAAGAAGTCAGCTGTGAGGATCTCGAGAATGCGAAGATAGTTGACTTCTACAGTCTTTTCTCCTAGCTTCTGGAGAACGTTTCCGATACAAATAGCGATGGCAGCCCTTGCCTTATTGGTGGTCGAAATGCGGACGTATTGGGTGGACAAAGTTTTGAGTATATCGGCCAGCGACAAGGTCAAATCTTGGGGTCTCTGGGTTGGAGCAGGGCTTTCGGGCCGTGAGGGAACCTCCTCGTCATCTTGAAGACCCCCCATTGTTGACTGTCTCTTGATCGCCTTGGACTTGGATTTCTTGACCAGGGGTAGCGGTGCCTCGCCAATGGCTGACTCGGAGTAACCCCCGACCAGCGCTTGGGCAAAGCAGTCTGCTGCTGCCGATCGCGCGTTTGATGAGGGATTGTCGAAAGTCTTGAACAAGGTCGATTTGAGCTTGTCGAAGTCGGTCGAGTTCTTGAAATAGGGGGTATACTGCACAAGCGACCGTAGACATCGGCAAGCTGCCACGACGACCAGTGATCCTTTGTCTCCAGAGGCATGGTTTCTCCCCTGCTTCCATATATCTCTCGCAACATTCTCGTCCATGCTCCCCTGTATCATGGTGACAATCTTCCCGAAAGCGGTCAGGACAGCTGCGCGAAGCCCTGCGTGGCTCGAAGCTGCCTTCAATAGCTTCAAGAGCGCCGAGCATACTAGCTGGTGCAAGCCAATGGCACTGTCACCAGCCGAGCCGTATATATCTCCCAAGCAAGCCACGGCAGCATGCTTCGTCCGTATCTCACCCTCCGTCTTCAATTTCCCACTCGAGATGATGCCGACCAGCTCGTTAACAGTTTCGAACAGGAGCTTCCTATCGCCCTTGTCGAACACGTGCGCAAGACACCGCCCCAGCGCGTTTCGTGTGACTCTTGTTGGCGATGGCGAGGCAAGATTCAGGACCTTGAAGGCCTCCTTTTTTATGTAGAACTGCTGCGCGGTGCAGTCATCTGGTTCGAGCGTCAGGACATGCCTGCTAAGTGCCGAGACGGACGTCAGGAGGAACAGTTCCTGCTGCTCGGCGGGGAGCGCTTGAAGCTTGGCAAGATCGAGCTCGGGATTCGTCGTAGCGTGGGATGTCAGTGTGTTCGTGATGCCGTTGCGCTCGCCATTGGTGGCGTCAGCTGGTGTGGATGACATGATTAGGTGCCGGTCGAGGGCTCTGTTGTTGCGAATTCGACGGCGAAATTAGGTGTATATAGCTGTACTGTATGTAGTCTGATCTAAGAAACTCGGCTGGTCTGTAAAAAGGTCGAAGCTAGCATCGTCAGGCAACGTGGTCTAGAATAGGACTGTCTGAAGCTCGTTAAGGCCAAGGTGTCAGTCGCAACGAAGTGGAAGAAAGTTGTTGACCTGGGCCAGCTTTGGGTTCTCAGGTTGACATGGATGATCGAGGTCTGTAGAGTGTAGTGTAATAACATCCAATGCAGCTCACAGGAGGTTGCTGAAGTCCGCGGGCGCATGTACATGGGCGTCCCCTCAGGGAAGCAAGCGTCACGCTGTACATACAGTGGGCCAATGAGTCGTGTTCGAGGGGCAACACCCGACAAGGGGTTCGGGACACGCCCCTGGCGAACCACCGCGCCGCCCATGTCGATGGGCCGTTTTCCTTCCCGCCCCGCGCCCGAACCCCGGCCGCCATTCGGCACAGCTTAACCTAACAATTCTCAGAATTTTGACTGAGAGCTCCGTCCATTGTCGCGGGAAGAGCCGTCTCGCCGTTTTGTCTTTGTACGCTTCTCTTCTGGGTTGTCGAGTCGCGTCAACCCGCCTTCGAAATTTCCTAGTGTTTGTCAATCTGACGCGCTTTGCTCATCTTCCAGACTACCTACTTCTCTCGCAAAGTGCAATAATGGCTTCCCTCACGCGGAGCATCGTCATCGGTCCACTCTCCCGGTCTTCCTCCAAATCCACGAGCTCCTCGATATGCGCGCATTGTCGGCGCACCTTCGTTAGCAGTCCCGCCCTGCAGTCTGGCCATAACAAGTGGTCCAAGATCAAGCATGAAAAGGCCGCCGCCGACGCCAAGAAAAATGCAGCCAGGACCGTCTTCACCAAGAACATCACCTTGTACTCGAAGCGTGCGTTCCACCGATCATCCCGATGCCCATCCGCCGGCTGAAGCCCGAGCTTACGCAGTTACGCGAGTTAGTCTATGGACCCAATCTCAACGATAACCCGCAGCTTGCCACTATCGTCGCGGCGGCCAAGAAGGCCGGTACCCCCAAGGCCTTAATCGAGGGAGCCATCGCCCGAGGCCAGGGCAAGTCGTCGGAAGGCGCTACCCTAGAGCCCGTGATATACGAGGCGATTGTACCACCCAACATCGCTCTGGTGGTGGACGCTGCGACAGAAAACACGAAGCGCGTTATAGAAGACTTGAACCAGATGGTGAAGAAGGCGAACGGTGCCAAGAGCCCGTCCAAGTTCCTCTTCGAGCGGAGAGGCCGCGTGATCTTTGAGAAGGGCGAGAGCGGCCTGGACGTAGATGACATCATGGAGGATGCGATTGAGGCTGGCGCTGAGGATCTCGAGAACGACGAAGAGGGCAACATTATTGTCTGGTCGGACCCCTCGTCAACTCAGCAGATCTGCAAGGCTGTTGGATCCAAGTTCAACCTCAAGATCGCCGAATCCGACATTGTGTGGCATGCCATTGAGGATACCAAAGCTCCTCTGGACTCGTCCGACGAGTTGGTCAAGTTTATGGACCTCCTCACAAGCATCAAAGACTACCCTGATGTCCAGGCGATCTGGTCCAACGTATCCAGGGGAAACATGAGCGATGACGAGTGGGCCAGGGTGACTGAACTCATTGACGAGTAGCCCTGGCCTGAAAAGCAAAAAGAAGGGACATAACAAATGACTGTAAACATTGATAAATACCCTTTTCCAAAGATGATGTCCGGGCCCGATGCAACGCAGAGAGGTCCCTCCCTCGTGACCATGATACCTAATAATGACATGTTTTCCCATAAACGCCTTATAACCCATGTCGATACTCGTCCACCACTAACCACCATGGCTGTCCAACCGCGACGGCCCAGCTGGCCAGGTCGACTTCCATCTCTTCCTTTTACTACTCCAGTAATCTTACAATCCCCTCAGCCGAAGTTGCTCATAGCCAGAACCACAACACAACAGCCCCCCCTCTTCAATTGAGGGTGAATGACTCGTCTCGTCAGTTGCCGTAAACTTCAATTGTGCCCAGAATTCTCATAGGCAGGCCCCTCGACAGGTAGTCGACGTCGTCGCACTACTCCTGATCGTTGTTCTGCTGCTGCTGCTGCTGCTGAGCCTCACTCGCCAGCCTCTTCTCGCGCAAATAAAGTCTCCTGGCGCGCAGCCTCTCGAGCTCCTCGTGAATCTCGTCGCGGTCGTACGGGACCTTGTTGGCGTTCTCGGGCTTGGGCCAGAAGTCGGGGACGGAAAAGCGCTGGTCGAGGTTGGTGCCGAAGTAGAACATGATTCCGATGGGGAACATGAGGTACATGCCGAACTGTTTTTCCGTCATGGTCAGCCCACTGCAGCTCACACGCCTTGGTCGAGACAGCAAACGAAGCCGGAGAAGGGAAGAACAAGGGCGAGCTCTTTCGGGGAGGGCCCAGGCAGCTTGGTGAAGCTGGGATGGGATGGATGGGAGGGGCCGCTCACCTTGAAGACTTCGAGATTGAGACCACCCATCTTGGCTAGATCGCGGCTTTGGCGAGTGTGGTTCCTGGTGGTGGTGGTGGTGGCTGGCTGTGGACGGGAAGGTGCGGGCAGCTACGGAGCGTGGTGTTGTCGGTACCTTCAGTGTTGACTCGACGGAACCGGATGAAGTGGATGGACTTGTTCGGGTGATTGACGGAGCTTCAGTGCTCCCAAGTTCCAAATTTACAGTGGGTCGAAGCCCGTGGGCCGGTCAGCTTTCCTGTAAGACGCGATCCCCACCCCTGTCCCGAGCGGCCGTGCTTCCGCTGGCTCCCCGCAACAACCGATCCCCCCTAATTCTTGGCACATGTTTGTTTACTTTCTCAACCCTGTCTGTGGTTGTTTCCAGAATTAAGACCTTGCGCAAGCTTCATTCATTGTTTCTTGAGGACTTCTGGAATTCCATCAAGATACAGCCATTTTATAGAAAACGCTGTAGAATTAGACGGCCGCCGTTGATCAATCATTCCGCCATACCACTCTATCAGTCCTACTTGGGACAACTTTTGGTAACCCTCCATATCCCGAGGCCCCTCCTCCCAATTACTCTAGTCAGGGTATTCCAAACGCCGTCATCACCAAAATCCATATCATCCAGGTTCAAATGCTGCCGATATCGCCATACCTCCCGAAATCGTAGTCCGTCCAGGCCCTTGTTCGGTAGGTAAGGGTCTAGCCATGCAGCCGAAAGAGGCGCCACCAGATATGTTCCCTTCTTCTCCTTCAGATATTCATTGCTCCTCCTGTCCGCGGGGATATCGCATGTGGCAATTTTCTCCAGTTCCTCGAGCAATATCTCGCCCTTCATTCCCATAACATCTCGTGTGGTGAGGACCTCGTTCTTCCCGTTTAGAAGCCAGGTTGGTGGCATATACGTCTTCCACCAAATTGCTTGGGTAGCATCAGGCTGCTTGCTCAGGAATACTTGCGCTGGCACGATACCACCTTGGTGATAGACCCCAAATAATATGCCCAACACGAGGTTGAACACAATCCAGGACCCCAGCCAAATGCGCAAGGCCGACTTTCGTTTCGGAAGTCGAATGGAAGATAAGATGAGAGGGACTGTCGGGAGGAGGAATCTTGCTTCCTGATGCTTTGATAGGGAGAGAACAACAAGACCTGAGATAGCAGAGTACAGTCGTATAGAGCATTGCGGTCGGGTGAAGAGAAGCACGGCGGCTGGCCCGATCAGCTGTGGAAGGTTGGCAAGCAAATGTTGGTACCACGGGTGCAATCCATGTTGAGCCAAGTTTTTCGGGTCAATGTTGTAAAGAAAGTTGTTGAGCGGCGTCAATACAGGTCTTCTTATAAGGTCCAACCAGGTTATCGAGTGCGGTGTGTAGAAGGCCGTGTCGAGAGCGATGGCAAACAGCGTTGTTGAGATACCTGCAAAGACCAATATCATAAATGACAGAGGACTATCGACTATCAGCATGCATCCAGGAAACTGTGATCAGGCAGACTCACTTCTTCCAGTAGTATTTCAGCAACTGCAAGCCAGGAATCAACACAAAGGCGGGGAATGTGATGCGATTGAACACTCCAAAGACCGCAACAAAACCTAATACCGCTGAGGCAAGGAACGAACTGCGATTCTGTATTCGGATTGTCAGTGACCGTGATACCCAGGCGCATTGAAAGCATATGTTTGGGCCAATTACCGGATTCTCAACAATGCGCTGAATCAGCACCAGACACCATGCTACTACTAATGTTTCCACTGAGTTCGAAAAGGTGTGTGTCTGGAACGTCCAGGTCACGTAGGAGGAGGCGACAATGAGGACAGCAACGCGCCTATGTCTCGGCGATGGTATGAGCTCGTGGATAGCCCAATCCTCCAGGACGAAGCTTATGGCGAACATGAGGACGCGCAGGGTCCAGAACACTGCGATAGGCGGAATCTCGCCATCATTTCCATTTCCGATCCAAAGCCAGCGAAGAAGCAGCATCGGCAGCCCGTATACAGGCCATAGTGGGAAAACGCTACGGATCGGGTGCTCGTTCGTGAATTCCCACGTGTGCCGGACGGGATAATGAAAGATCTGTCCTGAAGCGCGACGAGTGTTAGCAATGCGCCATACAGTCTGCGGAGTGCAAATACAAACATACCGGCTATAACCTCTGGCCCTTGAAAGTTCTCATCTGGATGAAGATAGCTTGGTGATAAGGCAAACCAGAGCCTTACCAACACCAAGAAAAGGTATGTTCTCCGCAACATGTCAAGTTCGTGATCCTGCGACTGCAGTCATTCGCGACCCATGTGAGCATCCGTTCTTGGGGCGCACGCAGCCGTTCGAGGCACTGGAACTCGCGGGAAGCTAAAGGGGCATCACCGGATGGAAATGTTAAGGAGGGAAGTCGCTGTGATTAAAATAACGGCATGATGGCGTGTCGGGAAGAGAACGCGCTCAAACATAACCCGAAAGCGACGAGGAGAATCTTTGGGTGTGGTAATCAGAAAGGAACCTGGAAGGGATGGGCCTGTAACCTTCGTGGGAAGGGAATGCCCAATTGCCCATGGGACCGGGAGTGGACGGTGGCATCGTGCCACATCTCAGGTACCTCTACTGCGTAGGAGCGAACCCTGTCCGCGAACAGCTCCGAACAGGGCAAGGGGGGTGATGGTCAGCATCCCTCAGGCACGCTAAAGAATTGGATCCGACCGTCCGTTTGAATCATGCAAACGCGCCTTTCCCGCAATTCCCCTGTACGCTACCATCGCTGTAACCAGGGGCACCTAATCCAGCTTCATATGTAGTGTCACCATCCGCACTAGTACAAAGCATCACACCTCCCTCGTCAGGCGTCCAGGTGTTCTCCAGTGAAGGAGCGAGCCATCATGTCTCGCAAGGCCCTTTGAGATGGAAGTATTCACGAGTTTCGAAGGAAGCAAGCAGCTGAGAGTTCAACTTTTCCTGGACGGCAGGGTCGTATGTGAAGGTAGGTACCTAGGTAGTGATGAGCGACTTTTCGCGGCGAGCCCCTGCAGGTACTATTGCTTGAATCTTGACAAGCTTCGGACTTGTTTGCTGCGATCGGAAAGGAAGGCTTCTGGAATTCTTGAATCTCAAATTAGGTGGGGTGAGGACATCTCCAGATTCCCCACGCAGTTGTCCGTCCGCATTCGGGCCAGTCGGCAGGCTCGTTGGCGCGAGTCTAGGTGCCTTGGTAATCTCCTCCCGCACGGGTGCAGCAACTTGTCGATCTGTGTGAGCCGGACCATGAATGACGAATTACATAGTATATATGTACCTTTATTTGTACCTATATTCGCGCCGGGACACAGCTTTGGAATCTTGACATTTCGCCTTCGTGATCTGAGTGTACATCATACTGCGATACCGGCAGATGGTAAGCAAAAGATGTCCTGGTCTGTTAGTGCTAAAGCGCAATAGACAGCATCATGTGCTGCATTCCTTAAATCTCTAGCAAAGCGGCCTTGAATATTGATAGGCCCTCATGTTGACCGCTTGTCCTTCCTCCCACGGAAGTTGATTTTCTGTGCTCGTTGGACGGGAGGTACGGCAGCTTTTGGCACATTCAAGCTGCACCCCTTTACTTGATAATCCGTATCAATGATGCGAGATAGCAACAAAAGCCAGAGTGGCTCAGGACAGTTTTCGGTGCCATTAAGTAGTTGTCCATCATGTATATACTTCATCTAGGAGCTTTTCCAACCGAAGCCATTGACATCCCGACATCCAACTTACAAGCCTGGGTAAAATCTACCGGGCGTGCGGGCGTATCGTCCTGAGCCGGAACATAGCTGGTGAATATAGAGCATCTGGAAAAACGCATAGTTTTGGTGTGGGAAACCACATCTAGTCAGCTGTCAACGAACCTAATTCGTATGTACATAGTATGTGCCGGTCTTGGATCATTTTTATTATCCGACGCAATGCTTTGTGTGTATTGCAAGCATGAAGACATCTGTAGCTTCAAGTGTCCCCAGATCACGCCAACGACGGTCCCCACATCGTCTCTTCTTGACTCAAAATACTAATCACTGGTGTGCAAATGTCCCATCGTTTCGTCGATGGGAGCTGCGTGGTGCCAAAGGTACATGAAACGGCGCGTGAACGGTCAGGTTCTTTCTCCAGGACGTTTCTGCGTCTTCCGTGTTGGAGCAAGTCCATCCGTCCCTCCAGGCAGGGCTTGGGCACTGACCACCCAACCCCATTATATTCCAACCCAAGAAGGCTGACGAGCTGGGGGATCACGCCAGGATTGCTAGGTGGTCTATGCACGCACTTTACGTGCGCGCAATTGGACTCTTTTGCGTGCAGCGAGCTCCACAAAATGAAGGCAGAGGCGACTCGTTTGTCGGAAGGACCGACTGCGCCCGCCAACGGGCACTCACGCGGACCTCCGTCTACTTTCATCACTAGCCCAAGCAAACTACAGGCAACCTTTCACGGGGAAACCATAAGAACCACTGCATCACACCGCGTGCGTTCCTTCTCTCATTATTGCCAAACCTCCTGCAACTCAGAGCAAGGTCACTTTTACGTTTGAGCTTGAATTTGCGCAAACAGGTAGGTACCTATATAACAACACCGTCTCCCACTTTTTCCCCCACAATTGAACTATCCCCTCTTTGCATCATTCACACCACCAGCATCAATCACATATACAGCCAACTCAACCCATCAACATCCATCGACGTATCTTCTAACGCCAAAAATACGACTACAGACATTCAACATGGCGGAGAACGACGAACGTGCCCTCCAGAAGGTATCTCTCCAGAGCAACGATGGACAAATCATCACCGTCGGTGAGTAGAGTTACCCCGCCACCTGGCCTGTCTCCTTTTCTTTCTCTGCGACTGCAGCCGACTAACTGGCGTCAAACACAGATCGTGTTGTTGCCGAGCGATCCCTTCTCATCAAGAACCTGATTGAGGATTTGGGCGACGAGGCTGTTATGAACGAGGCTATTCCCCTACCAAACGTCAACGAGCCTGTCCTCCGAAAGGTTGTCGAGTGGTGCGAGCACCACCGCAAGGACCCGCCCCAGACCACCGAGGACGAGAACGACAGCCGTAAGAAGAGCACGGAGATCGACGAATGGGATCAGAAGTTCATGCAGGTTGACCAGGAGATGCTCTTCGAGATCATTCTCGTAGGTTTCTCCCTCGTTCTACCCGCCGATGCTACTTGATATGCAAACATCACTCAGGTTCTGCAGGGTCAGATCATGCTGACATATTCCTCATCCAGGCTGCCAACTACATGGACATCAAGCCCCTCCTTGATGTTGGATGCAAGACCGTTGCCAACATGATCAAGGGCAAGTCCCCTGAGGAGATTCGAAAGACGTTCAATATCACAAACGATTTCACTCCAGAGGAGGAGGAACAGATCCGCCGCGAGAACGAATGGGCGGAAGACCGTTAGCCGATCAAGACCAGTTTCCACGTCAAGTCACTTTGCAACGCCGGGACCACCGTCTACCAACGACAGAGGTTACCCCTGTGCTTCGTCTACCGGGACGCACACGTTAGCCGAGTTCGGCGGATATGGGGAGAGCTGTTATGTTGGGAGATGGATATCAAAGACATCTCGTGTTATCGACAGCATCTCGACGACGACGTGATACGGTTTGGGCATTCCTGGGAGGGCCACAAATGAAGCTCTTCCACTCAGTACGTTCGATCGTACCTTTGCGTTGGCAGGCGTTTAGAGGCGTTGTTCTCTAGCTTTTTTCTACGGCTCCTTGTTTTCTTAGGTTGAATCGAGGGTTTTCTTATGATGATACAGTTTGTGAACCAGGCCCTCACGTGTCGAGAACGTCCTTACCGTAAAGGCCAACAACGTCGTCACGATTCTGTTCCGTGTTATTGCCATGATGATCCCCTTTACCACTAACGTACTCTATATATTGGCACCTCGTATCCGCTTAATACGCGCATCATGTGAACTGTAGTCTAATGGTAGCAACAACGACTCTCTGTTTCGTGGCAGCTATTCATGGTTTAAGGCACGGAGTCACCAGGAAAAAATGGGCCTCAGAGTAGGGGAAAGAAAAGTCAGCCATACTTCCACACTACCCACCATCGTCCTATGCTAAAGCGCTCCCGGTAACACTGGTAGATACAGAAATGGCACTTCCCACTGCCAATTTGACGTAACGAACTCAACCATGGCCCGGCGCAAAGATGGCATGGAGTTGCCCGTGCAAACAAACAACATACTAATGGTCCAGATTGCAGAGAACTAGGAGGGAGCTTACCCAAGTTGTATATCATGGCTCATTTTTACTCGCTTTATGAAAGACAAGGGTACAAAAGTCGTTGATGGAACGTAGGCGGGCTGATTTAGACGTTACCCACGTCTTTTGATTATCAAGCCCCCTCGGTGCCACAGACCTTGATATAATGCGCACACGTACATGGTACATAAACCAATTTTGTAGCACAGTTCCGAGAACATAGGTAGAACAAATATGGGAATCAACTCTCGTGCACCACGTTTTCTCTCATTTCAGATCCTAATTCCCCCAGTAACCGTCCTTCTAAATGTTTGCCGTGAAAGCATAGTACTCCGAAAGTTTACGTTTCCCCAAAATAAGGATCGAGTTCCAGGATACTTCCCCCCGCCGAAAGAACACAGCTGAAAACCGACCGCCGCCGAGCCAGAACTTGGTTGTGATCACATCATCTTCCGGTATTTGCTTCCTGGTTGCCCTTGCCCGCTTCTCCTTTGTGATTGCTGGTGATCGGTGACTTCGCCCTAACAAAACAACTCCGTGGCGGGAGGTCGGGAAGATTTCGTTATCGGTTTGGTTTCGTAGGACAAAGGCCGAGAGAAGAAGGTTGCCGTCATAGGTCGCATTCCCAAGCTCCAGTTTTCGAAAAATGGAGGTGGTTCAGAGCAACCAGGAAAAGAAGACCATCATTGGGGGTGGAATATGGAAGAATCGTGAGAGCATTTAGAGGCCGAGACGGGTCTTGCGCCAGTGGCGACGCTTGGCGTTGTAGCTATTTGTCTCTTGTTAGCATCCAGCGTCATGATGAAGCAGTCGCCATGCGTTCTTGATTGCAGAAAGCTCGAGAGAGGGCATGTTGCGCCGGGTACAGCCGGGGCAGCTGGTTTGTTTTCCAGCTTCCCTCACCACCATCCCCGTCACTATCCATCCCTCTCCCTCTCCTCTGGCTGAACGCGACAGCAATGGGCGCTTATGGTGATATGTACCGGATGGTGTTGCCAGTGCGGAGGCGAATCCACTGGGGGATAGGCCTGTTCTGCTTCTGGGCCTTAGCAAGCTTCTGCTTGACACGGAAGGTCTTGTGGCTCTGTTTTCGCGATGCACCTCGTCAGCATAACTTGTCTTGCCGTCGTTCGAGCAGGTGAAGTCATGGACCCCTCCTCCATGCTTCAATCAATCGCTTCGCTATCATTTTGGGAATTCCGTATCGCTGCCATTTCTGGCATCGCAGGACGGCCGAAAATTCGACAGCAGAGCAATTCGGAGCATTCTCTACGCTCAACGTGGTGGGACGTTACGTACCGGCATTTTGACGGTGTTGTCGAGTTACCGGTCGATTTGGCTGGTGTCGATGAGGTGGGTTAGAATATTTGGTGTGGGCTTTCAAAAACCAAGCAGAACACTAGGGCCCGAAAGTGCGCATGTGGCTGAGTCACGTGTGTGCCTGTGGCTCGTACTTGTGGCACAGGCTCATTCACTCTTGGAGTCCGCTCTCTGACAGGACGGAAGGTCCATTTGGGTCCAGAAGGGAGGCGCACGAGCCACGAGTGCGGCTATCGGAGGTTTCCACGGCGCCGTCTCGCTGCCAATCGATTGCCAGGATGTTTGCAGTTGGGCAGGGCGCTTGGGGCGGCCTTGCCTCCCGGGACCCCTGAGTGCCGGCACGATCAAAGGAGCTCTTTGGCGGCATTGAGCGACGGCCTCTCTATGACAACGAGAGGAGCATCTTGAAGCAACCTAACCCAAAACACTTTTTTTTTCGCAATACCACGGCGCAACAAACCCTCGCTTATCCTGTCTTCAACCGTGCGCACGGGAGCATCCGAAAGATACCAGCTGGGCTGACCGCGCTTCCGTTCGCTGCCTCCTCGATAATACACTACTCGCCGTCATCATTTTCATCGACTAGTACGGCCCGATCCGACACGTTAGAGCCCGATCTGTATCAAGGAGTCGCCCTGTCTGGTCAAATCCTCTCCTCATCCGTCTAATTATCAACTGCCTCAATCATCACACTCCTACGAACTCAACGCGCTCTCAGTCTTCCGGGGCACTAGCCAACACGCAAAGATGGGTCAGAGCATGTCATGGTTGTCTAGCCTGTCCAACCTCTTTTGGACAAAGAAGGAAATCCGCATATTGATATTGGGCCTCGATAATGCCGGAAAGACAACACTACTATACAGGCTCAAGGTAGGCCCACCTGTTGAAAAGATGACGAATGGAAGCGCACACAGTTCGGAGAGCTGACAGTATGTTGTAGATTGGCGAGGTAGTAACCACGATACCAACAATCGGTTTCAACGTCGAATCAGTCACATACAAGAATCTCAACTTCAATGTGTGGGATCTGGGTGGTCAGACCAGCATCCGCCCGTACTGGAGGTGCTACTATGCGAACACGGCGGCGGTAATATTCGTTGTTGACTCGACCGATATGGAGCGATTGCAAACCGCGGCGGACGAGTTGGCCGCTATGTTGAACGAGGAAGAGCTGAAGGACGCTGCCCTATTGGTGTTTGCCAACAAGCAAGATCAGCCAGGTGCAAAGGGGGCGGCAGATATCTCTCAGGCTCTCCGCCTGGGCGAGCTAAGAGACAGGAACTGGAGCATCATGGCCTGCAGTGCAGTGGATGGGACAGGCATCACAGAGGGCATGGATTGGTTGGTGGTATGTTCAACCTCTTCTTTTGCTGCTCCCGGCCCGTTATTCTGTCTATGTGCTAACCAAGTGAGCAGCAAACCGTAAAAGAGGAGTAGTGGCCAAAGCAGGGAATGCGCAAATATCACCACCGGCTTTGAGATGACGAGGAGAATCTGTACAACAACAAATGACAACAACATCAACATTCGGGAATAGGTCGTACCGACGGAATTACATACCGGCACATGACTTGGGTATATCGGACACGTATGGCGGCGGCAGGCCGGGTTTCTCGGCGTTCTTGGGGGTTATGTCCCATGGTGGTTGGTACCAACGGATGCCTTGATGACAAACAAAACGACATAAGGGTTCAGAGATTTCTGCCTACATATATCAGCTTACGAGCTTTCTATAGCCTTCTTTTAATTAATGGACTGGCTCCGGCGACTATTCAACGTCGGATCGTCGGGTATTGAGACTTCAAGCACACAACAAAAGACGAAATTCGGACTTCTATAACATGTCTGCGCGTTGGGCAATCTCCCATTTCACGCGACATATTCCCGATTCCGATATCACTTATGTTCTCTTGCGCGGTGACTCTAAACTTGGTCATCAGTTGACCTGGGTATTTGCGGCTCGAATTCCGAGTGAGCCCAGAATAGTGCTTCAGCACAGGTTCAAAGCCAAGTCCAAATTGAGCCAACAGTACACACCAGTGAGGTGATGTTCAGCCATCGTGCTCACAGTCTAAAGTTTCCCCATTGCAAATTATAAACTCTTACAACGCGGGAATGTACTTTCCGGTGGTCGTCCTTCATGCCACTATTCAACATGCGATGACCAACTTATCTACGAGATCAGACCGGATCTAACTTTTCCTCAATGCCCATAGCGGTTTGCAATCTTTCCTTTTTTTTCTGTTTTTTTTCTTTCTTTCTTTTTTTTTTTTTTTTTTGGGGGGGGGGGGGGGTTTTTTCTTCCTCATTTTTCCTCTTTTTTTTTCCCCTTTCTCTTCTTCCTCCCGCTTGTCTTCTCTTATGTCAATCGAAACATTTGGAGGGAACTCGGATATTCGTGATTCAGCCGGGAAGAGATTCTGCCCAATACATAGGGAAGCGATTTGAAGGTGGTTTCACTAGTTTCTTAGGCTTCGTTTGACCTATGCTGTTTATCTCAGTAACTCCGTCTTCACCATTGCCCTCGCATCTGGCAGCTGCCCCAATTACTTTCACTATATGCTCTCATGCGAGGCGGCGTTCGCTCCGCTGTTCAAACATATGTTATGGAGGTTACTGTCAAACCAGTGAAATTGTCAAAAGAAGCTAAGAAATCATAATGCTGACTTTCAGGACGAGCATTAAGCAAAATAGATGGTCTTGAATAGAGGATGAGAATGGAAGTTATAGTCAGGCACGGAACAAGTCAGGCTGAAGCAGGCTGGTGATGTGCCACCGGATTTCGGGGGGAATTGCTTTCGCACTTGGTGAGTATCCATGTAAGTGGACAGGAATGCGCTTCCTCCTGGGTACTCTTACCGTTGCGAAGTCATGGCCCACCCAATGGTCACGTAAGCTTTCTCGTGAAGTGCATTTCTAGCCGGCCACGTCTTCCCTTCAACCAGACAACTGAACTAGTCCATCTGACTCTATCGTCTTCCCACCAAGGTCTCTCATCGTGACAGTAAATGGTTGAGCCATGTAAACATATCTGTCCAACTGTGAGCTCTATTGGGACGGGTACTGTGAAGCACGATACCTTCGGAGAAGACAAATATGTACCGCTGAATCTCATTCAACTCGGATGTCTCCCCGCCCCCTGTCGTCGGCAATTGGAGTATGTGATATGCCGAGGTCTGCATGCCCTTTTGAGGCGTCGCCGTGAAGGCCTCTCTCTCCAGACGTGATTGGCTAGTATAGTTTCGGGGATATATCCGAGTTAGCGATGCAACACAGATGAACTCCTGCAACTACATCCTCCAGGAACCGCACAATTGCATGCAGGTTCAGGGGGTTCTACTGTACGTTGAGCATCGTTCTGCATTCCGGCATTGCGAAGCGAACTTGGAGCAAAGGTATCAACCGGTACTTACCTACTAAACGAAGTATAAAAAGTAGAACAACTTGGGAGCATACACTGATACAGACACCAAAGACCCATTACGTAGAGGTACGTAATACAGCAAAGTCCCCTGCAAGTGCAACCCCTCTCCCTCTTTTTTTCTTTTTTTTCCCTGCAAACACACACAAACTAAACGACCCATCAAGTGTAAACCTGTGGGCCGCCCGAACTCCCTTTTGTGTATGAGGGTGAAGCACCAGAAGTTGTACACACGCCATTCAGTGCAAATCATCCAAAGCTGTACCCCCAAACATAGCCAATCCAGACAAACCAAGCTAAGCGAGCCGAAATGTGGAGTCTCTTCCCCGAACAAACCACCGTTCTCTCGGGCCTTCCGAAGTCTTGGGCCCCCTGATAGCCAGCATTGAAATGTGAAGCAGGCGGTCCAAGATCTCATCAAAGGTTTGAGATGGAGGTATTCTTAGTCAAAGAAGAGGGTTTTGCTTCAACATCGTGCTGGTACTGCTTACTCAGACTCGCCCCATATCGCACAAAGGTCTCCTGACATCGCGGGGCAGCTTAGGTACCAGCTCAAAACTCCGACTTCAAGGTGAGATCTATCTGGCATCCTACCGCCCGAGCAGACCAACTACTACATATGGCACCTTACCGTCTAATCCACAATCCGTCACCGGGTAAGCATCAAAGCAGCCGGGCAAAGCCTCGGCCAGACAGTTGATTGGGCTGCATTTCCTTCGGCAACCTTTTGGGACCCGCGACTAACTAACATCAATAGTACCGCACTAATAATCGATTTGCACCAAGTGAAAAGAGTTGTCAGAAACTCGGGGTTACTCTTATGTATAATCCGCTTCCCAGCTAGGCTTAGGCGTCTGGAGCCCCTTGTCGTCGTTTGAATTTAAAAAAAACGCTATAGTCCGCCGGATGTACGCTGGTTCTCACATGGTTACCCTTCTTATTTTCAACTCGGATTCTTTCTTTCCTTGACCCTTCATATCCTACACACTGACCCTTACAGACGATCTTTCAACCATGGGCGTTCCCGAAAAACGAAAGGCCGAGTCGCCATTGTCCGACGCTGCGGCTTCGCCTAAGCCAACAGCCCCTGGTCCCTCCTCTCCTGGTTCCAAGGAAAATTCACCTACTCATGCCTCGTCCTCTCCTAGATCTGAGGGAAGGTCACCAACACCCGCTCCTGATTCTCCAGCGCCCGAATTGCCTGGCGTTATGTCCGGTGCACATTGGCTTCAGCAAGGTCTTCCTGAGACCGACACGGATGACAAAGATTCAACTCTGGGAAGTGATGTTGAAAGCTCGACTGCCTCAATTTCATCGAGTATTCTCAACTACCGCACCATCAACGGTCGAACCTACCATAGTGATTCGGTGACAGACGGAGAATACTGGGCTCCCAATGATCAAAAGATGCTTGGAGCCCTGGAGATCTACTATCACTCCCTCTTTCTTATGACGGACAAACAGCTTTTCCAAGCCCCTCTCAAGGACAATGTTCAGCATGCCATTGATATCGGTACTGGCGAAGGATTCTGGGCAATCGACTTTGCCGACAAATTCCCCTACTGCGATGTGGTCGGTACGGATATTTCGCCTATCCAGCCCACTTGGACCCCGCCAAATTTGCGCTTCGAGATTGATGATGCGACCAAGGAATGGACATTCAAGGAAAACTTTTTCGACTATATCCACATCTCGTTCCTCAACGGCGCTATTGAAGACTGGGGAAACTTGTACAAAAATGCCTATCGGTGCTGCAAGCCTGGCGGTTGGATTGAGCACTTTGATTGTTCTCCCATCGTCTCGTGTGATGACGAAACCCTTCCTCCCGATTCTGCGTTGGCCACATACGGAAAAATCCTGGACGAGGCTGGAAAGCGAATTGGTAGGAGTTTGACCATCGCTCATGATGGAACCCAAGAGCCCGGTTTGAAGGAGGCGGGATTTGTGAACCTCCATACGAAGCAGTGGAAGGTATGTTCCGTCACGACCCAGAGTTAGGGATAAAGCTGACCAGCGACTTTAGCAACCCTTGTCTCCCTGGCCGAAAGACCCTAAGCAAAAGGAAATAGGCCTCTACACCTACGCTGCTGTCACATCGGACCTTGAGGGTGTCATCCAATTCCTCTTCCATAAAGTCATGGGCTGGTCGACGGAGGAAGTCGCGGTATTTGCGGCGCACATGCGTCAAGAGATGAAGGAGCAGAAGATCCACGGCTACTGGACCTGGAAGGTTGTGTACGGGCAAAAGCCGGAGGACGCGGAGTGAAGAAGGCAAACAAAAAAATGGTGGTGAATGGAGATTTCTGGGTGACTGTGAAAAATGTTCCAGAGGACGATAGTCCAATGTAAAGAACGCGCTGTTAATGATGTGAAGATCACATTTAACTTTCAGTGTGTCAGTAAAATTCACAGTTTGTCTGTTTTCGTGGCCCAACCAGGATTTCTGGCTCGTCTTCCAAGAAGCTGAGCCTCAATGAAACAGAGCAATGCAGGAACGCTTACCATCCAAAATGCGCATCGAGGCTGTGCGAAGTGTCAAACCGGAAATATCGATCGATCACTTTGTGTAGTGTAAGCACCCAGGAACCCTGATCGTGTGGAAGACAAGAACCTGGGGAAAGCCACCAACGGAACTTCCATAAACAAGGGGTGTAGAAAGCGAAGGTCTTACTGGTCCTTTTGATGCTCCCGATACTCTGGTTCAGCGGCGTAGAAGGTGCCGCCTCTCGGGGACTGTGTTCGTATGACCGACCCATTCGAAGAGCTGAAACTATTTTGCAAGAATCAAGGGCCGTTGAAAATAATACCTACTATGTGGTGAAGAGACCCCGCTGTCAAAGCTGCGTAAACAAAGTAACAGCTTCTGCAAAGATCCAGAAAGAAAAGACATGAACGTGCAAGTAGCATGACCTGAAGGACAGCCTCACTTTGACATAAGTCAAGTATTCGAGTGTATATCACACTTCGTCAGCAATCGAACTTGCTTGTCAGAGCCTTGAAAACCAAGACACTCACCAGATTGGTTCATCCGACCATCGTCATTTTGACTATCTTTACTTCAGCAACTGCTATTGTCCTCAACGCACTTCGCCGCAGGAAGACATATACCTCAGTAGGATCCCGAATTCCACGATCCAGAATCCCACGATCCCGTAATATCCCGAAATATCAAGTGCTAGGCTTCTTCGGCACTGCTCCTAAGTCATCCTCGTTGACCGCAGTCTTTGAATAGATACTAGTATCTCCAGAGTTCTCAAATGTTTCCAAAATGCAACCTCGAACAATTGAACTTTGTGATGGGCAAGCGACGTGATGGAGGCAACCACGAGACCACGCGATGGAACCTTAACTCAAAAACCCGCCATTCAGAAGCCTCTCATGTATAACAACCTCCAAACATGAGACAAGGGTTCTTCGCATGGGATGAGTTGTATGTGGTTCTGCTGAGGTAGGACTGCTTCTAGCGACTGATCTACTGTGCAGTAGCGCAAGGCAGCCTTTCTCGACAACAAGAGAAAGAAATTGATCTTTCCCCTTTGATGCCCGATTTGCCTTTCTGGCAATAGCCGATGAACAGCTGAAGCTTTCAAGCATTATGCATGAAACCTTTGAGAAAGTGGGAGGGATGAGGTGGTCCCCTACAAATCGCTCCGCGTCACGTCTTACGATGACAATGACGACGACACCGGGTCGGCGACGGGACTGCGTGACCATCCAGAAAAGAAACAATCGTGATAGACTCACTGCGGTGTTCCTGCATTCGTGCCCATTTCGAGCGGCGACCTATCTCGCTGCAACCTTACATATCCAGGCACTCGAAAAGAACTGAAAAAAAGGCTCCTCGAGTTGTTCACGGGGGTAACATGACCTCGAAAGACGGGAATAAGCTGCACCTACCTAACCACTCCTGGGTTATTGAGTGATTTCTTCAGGTCACCGACGCAGTCATCTCGATAGAGAAAACAGACTGGGACTGAAGCCTCGAAAATGGCTTTGCGTTGATTTGATGGCCATCAAAAATGGGTGAATTCCTGTTTTGATAACAGAACAGATATCGTATCGCGGGGAGAGGGTCGACGGCTGTTGCGGCGTGGACGGATGAAGACGGAGTGCTGTCCGGCGAGGAACGGGAACCAGGAACTGTGGAGAATTGGGGATGTGGCAGTGTGGAACAATAGAGGTGGGGATGTCCAGTGTGGCGGGGGCAGCGGGGCCCCTGCCTCCCATCCCGCAACGTCTCTCGCCGAGGCTTGCTGGCGGGAGTTCGCTTCCCGTGTCTCTGTGCAACACAACCTCCCCACCCATTCTGTTTTCCGACACCGACGGCCATCCGCATCACCCATCACATCCAGCCAACTACACTTCATCTCTTCCGTGGGACAGTCCCTAGTCCTGGCGGTCAACACTGGCATGCTGCCAGAGTCTTGGTGAAACCCACCGACAGAGCAAACACAGAAGTGGAATGTATGCCCGAGAAGACCAACGTCCACCAACGTCCACCAACCTGGATCTTCCAGGTGTTGTCCCTTGGGCACCACCGGCATTTGTCCAAGTCCTAGCTGCAAACTGGCTCATCACCACCTGGCTTAGTCCTACGATAGGACAAGACGACTTATGACGCCGTAGACTACACTCGGAGATTGAAAATGCGGGATGGAGCAACTGATAATCATTCGGATAGGCCGACTTGGCAATTTCCACGTCTTTGTTGATCTTTTGCCGTTGTCCTATCGTCAACGGCCTATCTCCGGGGTTCAATGTTGACTCATCAAGTCACGACTGCATTGAGCCGGCCATGATCCACCATTCCCGTTGCTGGTCGGTGTCCCTGTGAGCAAAGACCTGCATGGGGAAGGATCGCAATGGATGCCTGAAAAGACGCTCTTCTTAAGGCGACCAATCATATTTGCGAATGGCGTCCCTTTTTGGTCAATGCAACGACATGCCATTGGCCGATAATTTTCGACAGGGGGGCTAGTTCACATGGAGGTCTTCACTCCCCAGGCTTTTCTACTGGAAGCTGTGCGAGAATGAGCGCTGCAACATTGGCAATCCCCACTGCAAGGACCTCTCGGCGAGGACCTTTCTGTCGTTTCATAGTACACTACGTCGCTCGGCCGAGGATCCGACTTACACGCAAATGCGCTCCCGCGGCGAGGGCCAAACAACCCCAGCTGAACAAACATGTGCCAAGGGTTCTTGGCCGGTTTGTCTGTCAGAACGCTGCAGCAATCCCGGTACCTTGACTGCTTGGAAGGCCAGCTCAGAATGGTTCAACCAGGTAGGACAGAGTTTGAACTAGTTGTAGGTCACTGACCTCACGGTATCTTTGAAGAGATATAAGTCGGCCGGCCCGGCTCCGGAGTGATGAACTCAGATTTCCTCTTTCTACCTACTTACTCATCAAATATCAAGATCAAGCACTATCATCAAGCTTCAAGCAAAGTGAACCATCTTTCCTTTGTTCTATTAGCTACATTATCTGAGCACCAGGCGTGCCATAACTGTCTACCCCGGCGGGCACTCTCACAAACCAACGACACTACCCGATCTAGACGAAATCTACTCGTGTAGAAGCTCTTCTCATCGTCCTTGGCATCAAAAATCAAACATTATATACCACTATCCAACATCATCACCAACTTTCAGCAACAGCATCTAGTCATGAAGCGCTCTTCTTCTAGTGCCTCTGCTCCGTCGGCACTCAACATCAGCACCACCGGGCCCGTCACAAGCCCTATTACCTCGCCCATGTCTCTTGATAGCGTAAGCCGTGCTCCCTTCCGAGTGTCTCATCTCTCCGGTACTAACACAACTCAACAGTACCACGAAATGAGGTACTCTTTCGAGTCTGAGACAACAGTGGCTCCCGTCAACAGCAGAAAGGATTCGGGGAACATGGCAAACTCTGCGGACCCATCAAGGCCGCTACGGACAACCAAGTCTCACAACAAGCACGTCAACGCACACAGCTACTGTGGACGACATTCGACCGAGTTTCTGTTTGGAGGCCGCTCCATCAGGAACCTCTTCAGCAACCTTAAGCATCGAAGGGACTCGCGCGAGTGATCACCCATTGCTCATTGTTCTAGAGAGGATCAAAGTAGGTGAAAGAACTCACCTCGGCTACGGGTTCGTCCGTCTGCACTGGCTGGAACAGGTTGCATTGGGGGGGACTTTATAACCAGCTCATCTCGAACAAGGGAGATTGGAGGCTTTGGGTGGAAGCACTGAAGGATATACTTCGTCTACGCTTAACGATGACATGACAACCGTTTTTGTTGCATGTAATAACCCCATGTTATTTCATTGTCTTTTATTTTCCGTGGGATATGATACCAAGGAGTTTTGGGGCCTAGGGAGAAAGATTTGGAGTTGAGCAATTGTATTTTGTGTATTGGAGTGGTCAATACCAGTTTTGAGCTATGCTTGGGTTCAAAGGACGATTTCAAGACGTTGGACTCCAGCAGCATAACTATGGACTGAAAATAAGACAAGTATCAAAAAGATTCGTCATGGCCGGTTAACACGGCAGAATGTGTGCTGCGCCCAGCCCTGTGCGGTAACAATTGACGTCCGTTCTCTGCCGAGAATGATGGACGCCGAGGCGTGAGCGGCGAATTGTTCTGAATGGAGGCAGCGACCCTAGGTTTAACTCAAGATTGCGTATTCCCGTTGTTCAAATTACCTTTTTCGTGTTGAATTTCTTTCACATGTGAATGCTCACAACCCACCGGTGACATCGGCGTTCTAAACACCGGGCCGCCGAAAGATAGTGGGTCCCGCGAAGTCAAGTACCCCACAAGAAAGGAACCGACCCCTGTCCCGACGCGCGAATCCACCTGCCGCGGTCTCGGTTCGGGTCGAAAATTGTTGTCCCCGCGTTCATTCGGAGCAGTCTCGTCCCGTCTTGTTGGGGAATCCATTATCACCTACCTTGTCCGTCAATCACGTTCATAGCATCAAATCAGTATCTACCTTAACATCCGTCGACATCTTCCCACGTCCACCGAACTGATCACCAAAACAATATCGACACCACACCACACACCAAACGACACCAACAATGGCTGGCTCAGCTCTCCGCAAGGGCTACCTAGTCCTTTACAATGCCGCCTCGGCCGTCGCCTGGGCCACGATCCTCGGCCGCGTCGCGTCCGTCTACTTTGCCAAGGGCGCGCCCTTTGTACCGCTGGTCGTCGATGACTTTGCTCGTGTTACGCAGACCTTTGCTGTCATGGAGATCTTCCATGCTCTTACCGGTATGCCCTGCTTGCCCGACGCTTCCCACCCGGATCCCGTCTCAGTCTCCATCTCTCATCCTTGTCCCTATCTCTGTCTCCTCCTCTACCTTTTCTCTCTACTACCTGTTTAGGAAACAAACGCTAATCGATGTTCAACACCAAAAAAAAGGCATTGTCCCCGCCCCAATTTTCACCACCGTCATGCAAGTCGCCTCGCGCCTGATGCTCGTCTGGGGCATATCGTACCCCTTCCCGCACCTCAACAGTTCGGTCTGGTACACCTCCATGTTGACGGCCTGGTCCACTACCGAGGTGATCCGGTACAGCTACTTTGCGCTCAAGCAGGTCGACTTCATTCCTTACTGGCTGCACTGGCTGCGGTACAGCGCCTTCCTGGTGCTGTACCCAATGGGCATCAGCTCCGAGGTGGCCATGATCTTCAAGGCGCTCGTGGGTCCGGCCGATCAGCTCGCGACTTGGTACCCTTATGCGCTGGTTGCTGTGCTGTTGTCGTATATCCCTGGCTCGGTGGTGCTGTATAGCCATATGTTGAGCCAGAGGAGGAAGCAGGTTGGTGGTGGTGCTATCAAGGAGAAGAAGGAGAAGAAGAGGCAGTGAGGGGTTACAGACTTCTAGACTAGGCCGTGGTTGTTGTAAAGAGGAGGGGTTGGCGTGCGACGTATGCTCACAGCCTACCCGCCCCTGCTGTTGAAGTGTCGTGGTCACGGTGAATGATTTTTACAAGCCACTTCGGCTGTGGATTCTGCGGCCCAGCTTATTGGGGGAATAGACATGATACTTTCAAAGAGTTTTGGAGTTTTGGACATAATGATAGACGTTTTATGATGGGAAAAAAAGAAAAGATTTGGGCTAAGTATTAGATGAAATGTTACGGTTATTAGGGTGCGCTTCTATGCGCTAATGACATCACCGTTACTGCTCTCGTACCAATCGTTCTGCAACCACTTGACAATCATATCTCTAGCATCATGCGCCATCTTGGTATAGCCAGGGTTGTCCTTCAGGTCGAACATGGCTATGAATAGTGTCAGTACTCGCTTCACGTATACATAAAGACCTCGCTACAGATGGGAGAGGTGCACTTACAGATATGCGCCGTTACTTCGTCCTTAGCCTTATCGTTGATGGCCTCCTTCCAGTCCCCAGCGGAATCCTTTTTAGGCAGGACGCAAAACGTCCGTTCATTGCCCATCACAGTCCCGACCATGCTCACTTCCTTTGACCCCGCGGCCCGTCCCAGCCGGGTATAAAAGTTTCCGAAACCGACCCCAAGGTCATTGTTGAGCCGCACCATGTACGCCACACGGCGCCGCAGCTCTTCTCTTCTATAAAGCACCCCGACAAACTCGAGATGCGACGTCGCCCAGCTCACGCTTTGCGTAATCTGATCTCGATTGTAGTACGCCGCCGCTCCTCCAGCCGCTGCAGCAGCCGCTGCGCCCGCGACCATGGCGATCTTGCCCCAGTTCCCCCAGGCGCTGCCATTATTCCTCTGCTGCTCCTCCTTCTTTTCCGGCGCCGGCAGAGCGGCTATCTGTCTTTTCTGCGTTGTTGCGTTCGATTGCGCCTGCGCCCCCTTCGCTCCGAGTAAACTTGTTAAGCTGCTCAGTTGCGACAGCGCTGCCGAAGCCGTCGCATAGTGACCCTCGACGCCATGAGCGAAGACGGTAGGAGCAATGCCTAGATAGGGTGTATCGAAGCCGAGGACGCCCTGGATATAGGGGAACATGAGCGAGCTGGGGCTGGGTGGTCGGTGGAGAGGCGCGGAGTCAGCGGTGCGATGGTCTAGCTTCGGGTCCTCGACGGCCGGGTCGGTGCTGCCGTGGATAGGCTTGTCGGAGGAGAGCTCGATGGCGGTTTCGGCAGCGACGATGCCGCCCATGGAGTGGCCGACTAAAATGACGCGGACCGAGGGATCGATGGTGGGCGAGGAGGTTCCGGCGGCAACTTCGAGGTCGATAACTTTATTCGTGAGCCTGTGATAGCGAGGGCGACCATGTTAGTGATGGTTCAGGGCTTCAAGCATGTGACAGATGAAGCAACGGATGCAGTCGACGAGCACATACCAATCTCGAAATCGCGCTACGCACTCGCCCAAATCTCCTCGAGTCTCATATTTGGGATACACCACGACATTGATGTTTATCTTGGGTAGGTCGGCCGCAACAAGTTGGCGGAGGTGCTCGGTGAAGGCATAGTTGTCGCCAAAGGTCGACTCACCTCCCTTTACATGATAATGTCAGTTTGATCTTGGCTGGAGCGTCGCTTGATCTTAATGTACATACCTTGAAGCCGTGGATGAAGCAGAGAAGTAATGTCTTTTTCATCCTTCCCCATTGAGACTAAGCAAAGTGGAGGTGGTGTAAAAAGGATGTAGTGTAGGGGAGACCGAGAGAATGCGACATGGAAACTTTCAACGTTGCCCCGGCTGTTACGGTGATCCTCCATCTAGCGGCAGCGTCATTTTCAGGGGCCTGCAGGGCCAGTGTGGGGGCGGGGCCGCGCTATGGAAGGGACCTCCCAGGGGAACTCCAGTGGATGATGCATGGACGGGCACCTGGTCCGGTCTTGCCCTTGCTTGCCGCCTGGGGCCAGATCCCATCTTCCACAGGGGCCGCGGCAGCTTTGAAATGTCATCTGTTCTCCAAATCCATACCTCCCGTCAACCTCTACTCTACCATCATTTGACCTTCACTCCGATGGTACGTACCTAGCATTAGATAAAAGTTGAATTGGTACTTATCGCTGATATAAAAGAATACGTCCCTGAATATTAGACCGATGTTTACTGCAAAAATGGAACCGATTCTGCCAACTCAACTGTCCCCATGGCGTTACTCGAATGTAGTGTAAGATGCCCCAAAGTGTACAGACAGACATCCTACGCCTACTTGAAGGAACAGGCTATCTGGGGATGACCTTCTTCTACCTGAAATGCGGCAGTCCAGCGGCCTTTGCAATGTGACGATTGAGCTTTTCAGAGCTTGAGTCCCTGAATTGTCGGAACCAAGACACCAAAAGCCAACATGATAACTAGTAGGGACATACCTACCCGGGCATCCATCTTATTATGGTGGAGGTACCAAAGTACTTGAATTTCAGTGGAGATTAGGTAGGTATCCCCGTGCGGGTACTCGTCAGAGGTTTATGGGTGATTCCTGCAGGTTGCATTTCAAGTTGCAGTGTCCAGCGTCTCTAAAATAACAGGACATTGCCTCGCGCCAATCCCGCTGTGAGTGGGAGTCCGTGCTCAACACCCCAGGCTGAACCGAGACGCGCCGAGTCGGCGACGTGCTTTTTGTCTTCTGCAAACAACCTAACGCAGCCGCCCCTTCATCCATCCCCATCAATCACCCTGTCTGGTTTCGGCTTCTCCGACTGCGCCAGGGTCGATATCAGAATCAATCAACTATTTGGTATCGCCATCCTTCGAATCAACAAAAAGCACAGCATATCATGACCTGAGCGTTCTTTGCCTTACGTGGAGCTGCTTGGTTCCTTCTGTTCAATCCCATCATAGACTTCTATAATCGCCCGTCAGCGTTCTCTCACTGCGCCTGCGCTCCTCTCTTTTGCGCGCGATCCAGTTTTCCTCTTGTCCCGACCAGCGTCATCGATCAGTCCTGCACGACATATTTCATCTTCGATACTCTTACCGGCGCATCCAGCACGCTTCCTCGTCCCACCGCGCTTCGTGCCACCATGTCGAACCCCGAACAAACCTTGGGCGTAACGCCTCCTATCTCGACCACGCTACCTACCGACGCCGAGAAACGACAGACCGAGGCCCTTCTCAAAGAGCTGCGCGCGCAGGGCACGTTCGAAAGTCAGGCCGAAACTGATAAGCGATGGGCGGTGCTCGCAGATCTCCAGCGCATTACTGATGAATTTGTGAAGAGGGCCGCGCAGGAAAAGGAGCCGCACAATGCCATTCTGATTCGCGACGCTCGAGGCAGAATATTCACATATGGCAGTTTTCGCTTGGGTGTGTATGGGCCAGGATCCGATATCGATACCCTCGTCGTTGTACCCAAGTACGTCACCGTCAAGCAATATTTCGACATCTTTCCCAACCTTCTTATCGAAATGGCTCCCCCTGGCGCCATCACCGACCTGACTCCAGTACCCGAGGCCTTCGTACCTATCATCAAGTTTGAGTATTCGGGCATCAGCATAGATCTTATCTTCTGTTCAATTCAGAGCCTTCGTCAACTTCCTGACGACAAGGACTGGAATCTGAACAGCAACAACCTCCTGCGCGGCTTGTCCGAAAACGAGGTGCGCTCGCTCAACGGAACACGCGTAACCGACGAGATCCTTGCGCTGGTCCCCGAAGAGAAGACGTTCAAGCTGGCACTTCGTGCAATCAAGCTCTGGGCTCAGAGAAGGGCTATCTACGCCAATATCATGGGTTATCCTGGTGGTGTGGCTTGGGCTATGCTGGTCGCCAGAGTATGCCAACTCTATCCGAAGGCGACGAGTGCTGTCATCGTTAGGAAATTCTTCACCATTATGCTCAACTGGCCATGGCCGCTCCCGGTTCTTCTGAAGAATATCGAATACAACCAATCCATTACGCGTGTAGCGGTGTGGAATCCCAAGGTAAGTCAACCCCTCATCATTGTCGCGCTGATGTCTTACCACAGACTAGATATACCCGAGTGATCGCAATCACAAGATGCCCATCATCACCCCATCATACCCTTCCATGTGCGCGACGCACAATGTTGGGAGGTCTTCAATGGCGGTAATTCAGCAGGAGCTGGAACGGGGGGTGCAGATTTCTGAAGAGATCATGTTGGGTAAAAGGCCTTGGAAAGATTTGTTCGAGAAACACACCTTTTTCACCAACGGCTTCAAGTTTTACCTGACGGTCATCTCATCCGGCAGGACGAAAGAGGCGCAGAATACCTGGTCGGGCTTCGTCGAGTCAAGAGTGCGTGTTCTGGTCCAGAAGCTTGAGCTGCACCCTTCCATCGCCCTTGCCCGCCCCTTCAACAAAGGTTACGACAGAGTGCACCGATGCAAGACGGATGCTCAGGTCGAAGAGATTCAAACCGGAAACCTCACATACATGGTCAAGCCGACGGATACAGCCGCGAATGGGAACGCCAAGAACGAAAGCAAGGTTGAGGTCAAGGCGGAGATCAAGACGGGGGATGGTGTTGCACCGGAGCCGGCTGTGCCGGTTGTCAAGGAAGAACCGAACGACGTGGTACATCTAGGAACGGTACCTCTAAAGCCTGAGGACAACTCTGTAAAGCCTGAGGCCAACGACTACGACGAAGACAAGGTTAAGCTGGAGGATATACCGGAGAAGGAGCCGGAGCTTGAGATTTACACCACTAACCATTACATCGGCCTGCAGCTGGTAGAGGGAGCTAAGTCTCTGGATCTGTCCAGAGAAGTCGACGACTTCAAGGCAATGTGCACTTCGAACGACATCTTCAAAGCAGAGTTGATGGGATTGACTATCCAGCACGTTAGGAATTTCGATCTCCCCGACGACGTTTTCGAACCTGGAGAGACGAAGCCTGTAAGGCCAGTTAAGAAGAAGAAGCGTATGGCCGAAGGGGAACATGCGAACGGCCCGATGGCCAAGCGACAACAGATGGCGACCGCGCCACCGACTATTAAGAGCGAACACTGATCGAAGGATGTACAGACGGATCTTGTTGGCGGTCATGGACAAATTAGTTGCTATGTGCGAGCAGTACCACGCGCGAGGTGTAGAGAAATGTATCTAAGATAAGAGTTGCTAAATCTGCTAGACTAATAAATTTAGTTTTTCGGGGCACAAGTGCCCCATCAACTAAGCCAAGTTCCCGTCTCGCAGTGGTCTTTTGCGTCCGTGGCTTTACATCTTATTTCTCGCTCTATTATACATCATATTAACAAATGCTTTGCTGCGTCGATCGCTTCTGCTAATGGATTGAGCTGTTAGTTCCGTTGTACTCGGGGGAAAACGCCATATGCACCTCAGTATGTCAACGTCAAAATGCCAGCAGCCAATCAAAGCTTGCGCGTACGCCCCCGTAGATCGTCGGTCGCATGTCCTACAAATAGATACACAGTAACACCTGTCTCGAGATCCTCAACCCAACATCTCACTGAGGATTCTATCTTGTCTCAAGTACTTTGGCCGTGTAAACCCGCCCGAAGTACCTCGAGTATCACCCTCGAGGACCCCAAAAACCACTTGCTACTTCCATACGCTATGCCGCGATGATGCACCAGGAATCAAAACCTGGGCGCTCGCCGCTCTTCTCTGCGCCAGTTCCTCAAAGTCTTCCTCATCTTCCCTCACCGACACTGGCAGCGGCATCCACGCCCTCATCATCACCACGGCGCTTCAAGCGCTTTCGCGGCCTACTACCCACAACCTCCTACCGCGCGGTCCTCAGCTCCGTATGCATCATGGCCGTCCTCTTCTGGGTCCTTCACCTCCTCTTCTTCTCCCTCCTTACAGACCTCACCACTGGCAACCCATTATCCACCTCTCCTTCCCCATCACAACCTGGAGAAGAAGAAGACTCCTCCTCAGTAGCCGACCTGGCCCTCCAAAAGATCCTCGGTGACGGCCGCCAAATCTTCGGCACCTTCCCTTCCTCCTTCAACAAGTCAGCAGCCTCCAAGCGTCGCGCACAATGGATGACCCCTCTCCCGGACTCCCTGCCGCTCACCCGCCTCAGAGCCATTCCGGGAACCCACGACAGCGCAACCTGGAACTTTACTACTGAGACGAGGAACTCGATCCCTTCTAATCCGAGTTACTTGCCGGCTGAATGGTTTAGGTGTCAGAAGAAGAGTATTTTGGAATCCTTGGAGGCAGGGGTGAGGTTCTTTGATTTGCGGTATGCTGCGTTGGATACAGGTACGGGTGGGAGTGGTAAAGGGGGAGGACAAGGGACGAGACTGGTGTTTTGGCATAAGATGGCTTTGTTGAGTGAGGTGGCGACGGTGGAGGATGTTTTGTTTGGGTTTTATAAGTGGTTGGAGGAGAGGGGAGCGGGGGAGGTGGTGATGATTAGTTTGCAGTATGAGGTGAGTTTCTTCTCTGTACTTTTCATTTTCTTCCTTCCTTTCTTTCTTTCGTTTACACATTTTCATGCCCTGGTTTTGGGTTTCATCTGGGGTGGGTATAACTGGTTTGGGTTATATGTAAACAAAAGGGGTCATCATCACCGTCCATCAAGTTACCACCTCTCCCGCTCCCTTCGCTAACAGACTAACAGCACCCAACCCGCTCCCACGCCTCCAACACCCCACAAGTCCAACGCCTCCTTCATTCCCTCCTCACCACCCCGGCCGCCCGCCGCTTCATCTACCCATCACACTCCCTCCCGCCCACTTTGGGAGACGCCCGTGGCAAGATCGTCCTCCTCAAACGCTTCGACCTGCCCGACTTGCCTCTCGATCAACAGCTGGCTGTACCGGGACTCAACTTTTCTCCTAGCCTATGGCCGGAGAACAATAGAGGGTTTGAGTTGGTTTATAACCAACTTGACGTGGGTGACGGAGATCAGAGCAAGGGAGTAGAAGAGGAGAAAAGGAGAAATGAGACGGCGTATATAGAGGACTACTTTGAACCTAACGACCTGCCGAGTGGGATGAATGGAAGTGTGACGGAGAATGTGATGGCCAAGTGGGAGGCTGTGGAGGGCCATTTACGGGCTGCGGCGGCTGCTGGTGCTGCTGCGAGCGGTCCCGGGGCAGGACTGGGTGCACGCGGGGAGGATGATGAGGATGATGGGTTGTGGATCACGTTCACCTCGGGGGAACATGTATTGAATGAACCGAACATTACGCCGGAGGTTATGGCGCTTGGCCCGGAAGAACAACGGCAAGGTGTCCCCAAGGTGACTGGCGGTGGAACGGTGAAAGGAGGAGTTAACGAAAAGTTGTTGGCGTTGTTGAAGGATGATGGGCCGGACGGGTTAAAGGGGAAGAGGTTGGGAGTTGTGGTGATGGATTTCTGGGAGATGGAAGGGGAGGGGGATTTGATTGGGGCGTTGTTGGGATTGGATGGTTAGATACCCAGGTAGTGAAATGTCTGGTGTAAAGGCGGAAGGACCTCGGGGAGTAATCGTCTTGTCTGCTTCACACTTGAACACGTTGTTGATTGCTGCGTCGACCGATCAATCGTCATCTCCATCATCACTTCCACTCGACCACCCCTCATGATATTCATCAGCCATCTCCGCCAGCTCGTTTCCAAGCTGTTCCCTATCCTCCAATCCAATCGACCGACCAACCGTAGTCCTCAACGACTTCAGCCTCTTGTGCACTGAAGCATCCGTAGACAGACTGCTAGTGACATTGATCGCTCCTCCTCTCTTCAGTGGCTCACCACTGTCATCCCTGAAGATCTGAGGGAAGCTGTCTAGAAGAGGGAAGCGAAGGGGGGTGTGATAACTGCATGAGAGGGACTTTGTTAGCAAAAGATGACGAGAAAAAAAAAAAAAAAAAAAAAAAAAGAGAACACAAAAAACGTACCTTCTCATAACAGTCTCGTACGAGCTCCTCCTGCGGAACCTCTCGTCCTCCTCAGCCTCCTTGGCTTCCTGCGCCTGCTCATCAACCTCATAACCTCTCGAGGTAAGCACCTGGCTGAACACCCTCGGTCTGTCATCATCGCCGCCGCCACCACCGCGACGGACATAGTCCAACTGATCGGTGGGAGTAAAGTTAATATCGAGAAACACTCCCTCCGGGTTCTCCTTCGCCATCACAGCCGCATGTCTACTCGACTTCTGGTTGAGCAACTGCCTCTGCCTGAAATCCTGCGTTCCTTCCATGACTACATCTTCCTCCTCCGTCGGCTCTGGAGCAAAGCTCATCCCCAAGCTAGCCACATTCTGCTTCCCCATCGCATTGAGCGTATCAGCCAGCGTACCCATCGTATCCCTGTTCGCCGGATCCCTCAGCCGCGACGGAAGCGTGACGCTCTCTATCGCCGCCGCCGACAGCGCAGTATTATGCCACTGCGAGCCCGCATCCAGCACCACACTCCCCGGCAGCGTCGCAGGCACCGTAAACGGCACGACAACGCTTGCATACTTATACACCTCCGTCATCGTCCTCGCCTTATTCGCCAGTCTCAGCAGTCTCTTCTCCCTGCTCAATCCCCCAACCCTTATCGCCGACTCCTGCTCGCTGCCCCAAACAAACATGGCTGTCTTGCCGTACTCATCTCGTATCCTCTCCAGGTATTTTGCCGCAAACCCGCCCCAGGCGTCGTCCAGGCCTGTCATGACTTGGATCCCTTGCATCTGGTCGGCCTCTTCGATAAAAGGCCGCAGGTCCCGATCAAGAAGGTCATGTTCCTTGTCCAGCGACGCAAACAGGTCCTCGCCCGTCGCGTAGCGCTCGAATGGCATGATGGACGAGTTGAGCTCGTACTCGTTCAGCTGGACAACGGAGCGCGGGTGGTAGAAGACCCGGTTGAAATCAGACCAGTAGCGGACGGTGTCCGTGGTGAGGGGAGGGGGCTCGAGGCCGGCGTCGAGGGATTGTTGATAGGCGGATTGTGGGATGGCGGGCTGTTTTTGGAGTACGGTTGGTCCATTCCTGTGGCGAGAAAGGAGGGGAGGTGAGTCAAGAGGTAGACGAAGGGGAGGATGGGTTTGAACGCTGGAGGATGTCGATCAAAAATGACGGAATCTGGTGCAAGATGTCCACCAGACCGAGAGTGATGCCCAACTTACCACAATGCTTGAGGCGTCTGTCCCTCCTCAAGGTCGTTATACAGCGCATTCGTCTTTGCCATGGACCCAAAGCCACCCTTCAGATCGTAAATGACGGTCCGCGGCATGTAGGTTTCGGTGCCATCCGCACCGATGCCGGGACGCCAGTGGATATCATGGTTAATGGCTGGCTCTTGATCCTCGGAATATGTAAAATATGATTCCTCGAGAAGTGTCAGCTGTTTCCCCGGTTCCAAGTGAAATCAATGAACATGCTTACCTGGGTATTCCAGAAATGCGTGGCTAGATAATTGCTCTGCTGCCCGAGCTGCAGCGTGATAATTTCGTGCATTATGTCGCTGTATCAGAGAACATAGAATGTCCACATGAAATGTGCCTCTTTGTGAAACACTTGTCGAATGTTTTTTTTCCCGGACAAACAATGGGCTTCAAGTTGGTTGTTGAGTCCAGTTCTCAAAGTTATCTGTAAGAGCAAAAACGGACATATGACGACTGTGTCGATTGCCTGTGAGGAGCAAAAGTGCGATACGTCGGTGCTGCGTAATATAACCCTAACCCTGTTCCTTGTTGTGCTCATCTCAGGGGCCGACATCACCACCAACTCAGTTCTATTCTAAGACTCCAACGAGCTTATAAAATTGAACAGCACTGCAAAGATAGCGATACAGGCATCAATGCAAATAACTTTTAATCTATACAGTTTCAAACGCAACAGCTCAGATAGGTTGTTTTGTCCGAGATATGTCTTGATAGCCCTTGATAACAGGCGAAAAGAAATGGACAAGAAGACAGTACTGCTGTGAGGGCTGCGAGAATAACTCAAATGTTTCATACAGGATACTTGAAGAGAATTGTAGAGACGTCATACAAAAGAAAACATAAAAAAGAACCCGTTCGTTTCATTGCCCCCTCGTCTAAATCCTCCTTTAAAAACCCGTCTAAAAACCCCCATTTTCTATGACCAAAACAGCCCGAGACTCCAGAAGAAGAAAAGGCAAAGAAGTCCCCAGGTCCGCACTCGCTATACAAGAGACACGCTAAACATGCCAAAAGAGCGTGCAAGAAGGAGATACTGAATTTCAAGTCATGCCATAGATGCGGCAGGTCGTTTACTCGCGAGAAACGTCGCGGCCGAAGAGCTTGGACTTGACCCAGTCGTTAATGACAAGGAGACGGTTGCGAGCTAGCAGGAAATGTTAGTCATACCGCTTCTTAGAAAATAAATTATATTCCTGGGGAAAACTTACTGCTGAAGCACATGGACAGGTAAGCACTCCTCCAGAAGAGGAAGGTAAGGCTGCCACCAGAGGCAAGGTTTCCGTTGAACCAGCTCACATCGGCGACGGCCTTCTCGCTTCCAATGTAGGCAAGAGAACCCTGGTGAGAGTAGTGGAAGGGCTTGATGTCCTTGATGCGGCGGAGCTGGCGCTCATGCTCCTCAATCTCCTTGGAGATCTCGGCAGCGTTTCCGGGCGCAAGGTTGAGGGAACCGCTGAGCTCGCGGACGCGCTGCTCAAGGACCTCGGTGCGAGCCATGTTGTTGAAGAGGCCAGCCAGGAAGTTACCCTCCTGAGAGGCGACCTGGGCGGTAGGGGCGTATCCAGCGACGGCGCAGTCACCGACAGCCCAGATGTCGCGGGTACCCTGAACAACGAGGTACTCGTTCACCGCAAGACCGCGGCGAGAGTCCTTCTGGGCAGGGATGCGCTCCATGAGGTCCTTGACGACGGGGCGCACGGCGTTGCCAGTGGCCCAGACGAGGAGACCGTAGGGAAGAGTAATCTTCTCACGGGTACCATCGGGCTTGCTGATCTCGGCCTCGACGGTCTTTTCGGTGACCCTCTTGACCATGGTCTTGGTCATAATGTCAATCTTCTCCTCCTTGAAGGTGCTCTCGGTGTACTCGATCAGCTGCTTGGAGAAGCTGGGAAGGACGTTGGGAAGAGCCTCGATGAGGGTGACGCGGAAGCGGTCAGCAATATCGGGAATCAGCTTCTTGATGTCCTCCTCGAAGAAATCCTGGAGCTCGCCAGCGAACTCGACACCAGTAGGGCCACCACCAACGACAACCATGTGCAGAAGACGGTCAATCTCCTCCTGGGACTGGCCCTTGAAAGCAGCAGTTTCGACGCAGTCCATAATCTTCTTGCGAATGCGCTGGGCATCACCAATCTCCTTGAGGAAGCAGGTGTGCTCACGGACACCGGGGATACCGAAAGTAGCGTTTTCAGCACCGACACCAACCACCAGCATGTCGTAGGGGATCTCGGTCTCAACGACGTCGCCTCGGATCTCGGAGGTATCGAGGACACGGACGACCTTGCGCTCGGGATCCACGGAGCTGGCCTCAGCCTCGTAAAACTTGACGTTGGCCTTCTTGTGGCGCAGAATGGTGCGGATGGGCTCCATGATGGAGCGGTGCTCGATCAGACCGGTGGTGCAGGACGGGAGCAGGGGAGTGAATAGGAAGTAGTTGCGGGGCGAGATGACGATGACATTGTAGTGCTCAGTGTCGAGCTTCTTGAGAAGAGAAACGGAGCCCCAGCCAGTGCCTGAGCGATATCAGTCAGTTTGAACTCGTAGATGAGGAGAAAGCGCATGGCGCAAAGCTGCGCGTATAGCTATCTCGTATGCGCAAGGGTTAAAACTCACCAAGAACAACGAGAGTCTTCTTGGACGGGTCAGGCTCGACCTGAGGACCAGGGTTTCTCTCTTCGTAAACACCCCAACCGACATAGGCGATACCGGCGAGGGAGGCGAAGAGAGGTGCCCTCCAGAGCCACCTCAACTTCCGGAACCGACGACGTTCCTTGGGGGGCTCAGGAAGAGGAGTAGTCTCTGTGTGGGCGCGACGAATCTGCTGAGTGACAGCAACCTGCCTGGACTCGGAGATGAGAGCGCGACGAGGCGCAGAGCTGAGCAGCCTAGAAACGGCCTGGGTCTGGAGACGGGCAACGCCCATAGAGGGGGCCGAAAGCCTGCCCAGAGCTCTGGATGTGGACGCCATGGTTGGTCGTTCGTCGTTTTTTTCGGATTGACGAGCGCGACGACGCGATATGGGACTGGCGACCTAGATGGCCTCGAGAGGGGAGGGGAAGAACACGGAGGGAGGGTGGGGGTAAGAAATTAGGTGTGCTTAGGTGAGGAAGAAGGAGAGAAAGAAAGCAAAATGGAAGGATTCTGAAGGGGAGGCGGGGGATAAGAAAAGCTGAAGCTTTAGCAGAAGGCTGTGGCGGCGTGATAAGCGAGTCAGCTAGGATTGGTTGCTTGGCCTTGTAATAGGAATTGGAGTTGGGAGGAATGACTGTTTTTAGCCTCTCTATTAAACTGGTGGCCGCCCTTTTTTTTTTTTTTTTTTTTTTTTCTCCTTCGTTCAGTCTTGCAACCTTGCTTGGGCTAAAAATGCGCGGATCCGTTTGGAGCTACACCGAATCTAGAAACCCCCCAAAAACTAGACCAGACCTAGCGCTGGTTAAAACAAATTCCGTGTCTCGATTCGTCCCGTCCCGCCTCTTCGTCCTGGTTCTTAGTCATCCTATCCTCCTCCTCCTCCTCCTCCTCCTCTCTCTAACGGCGCCGTCCATGCCGTCCACCCGTCAGCATGGGAAGTTGATGTACGCTGAAAGGCTCCGAGTCTGACTGATCCTAGATCGGGGCGCTGTCTTGTCTTTGCAAAGGCTTCGGGAACGATCCATGTGGAAGGAACCCGCCCGAGTGGGACCTCTAGACCTGGCATCGGGCCTTAAACCCTCTGCAAGGAGTGCCCTATTCCCTATCAAGTTGGCGGGTTTTGTGGGTTTTTGGGATGAACAACCATCGATTCCCCCATTGATACAAAACAGGTTCACGTCATACAAATATGCGATTGGCCCGGCAGTTGACACAGACTCTCTTTGCCTCTCGTCTCTCAGGCACGCCAGGGTTAGATATGTGTCAAAGAGAAGAGCCAGACCTTTGGACCCTGGGAAACGGCGAGACGCGATGGAGCGCATGGGAACAGAGCCAGCGAGAAAGACGGAGGAAAACCAATTCATATCAACCGCCAGCACTGGGGAACAGGGGTAGTCGCTGCGGCTCTGGCAGAGTGGCACTCGATGGCATTCATCCCATCTGGTCGGTGCGAACTGGTCCCTGCGTTTTGACCACTTGTCAACTAAACATGTCAAAACAGAATGCAGAGAGTGGCGTGAAGGCACATGTCAAAGCGACAGGAGCCTCGAGCGCTGCCAGGATATGTCACATGCACTGCCGTCTCAGCATTCGAGTCGGTGGTTTCGGTCTAGGTAGCCCGAGTCGTGCACTCGTGACTTTCCACTTCCGAACGTTCCAGCAGGGCTCCGAACATCGCAACCGCGGAGAGATGCCAAGTGTGTCCAGCGTTGGACACTTTCCTTCGACAGCCGGTACGTAGGTACCGGGCCGGTGGTCGGGGTGCCAAGAAGGAAGAAGTAGGTGCCCGGTCCGGCCTCAGCCCCTGCACGGACCTAGCACGACACGACGACGACAATGGCTCTCCAAGATGATCTGCGCCGACAGCATTTTGCTTCCATTTCCGCACTCCCGTCCGCCCGGCATACGTATGTAGTGTAGAGGTATGTAATAGTACATCAATGGATGGGTGGCATCTTGCATCCCAAGATGTCGTACCCAGTGGTGAGGATGCAGATACAGTTGCAGTTGCAGTCGGTTGCAGGGAACTTGAATTTAACACTAAAATAGCCGGAGGGGCTAGGGCTCCTCCCTCTGTGGACTCTTGACGAACGGCTCCACCTGGCTCAACGCCGAAGTTCTGCAAAACACTGCTGTAACCTCGACGGCAGAGACGGAACTCGAATGGGATCTCGGGATTGACAGTTGATGGATCTCGGCATCTCTGTGGTCTGATAGTAAGGTTGACATTCCGAAGCTGCCTGGCACCCTGCCTTTCTTTCTTGAAGAAGCAACTGAATGCTCTGGTCTGGTCATGATGATGACGAATCTACATGTTATAGGTACACTACTCTACGAAAGGGAAGGTACCTCGACTGGTGGATGCCTTCCTGCCTTACCCGATCGAGACTCGAAAGTCGCAAATGCCTCGAGTCATGAACTCTGGGGAAGGTGTGTCTGATCGCCCTTTGCCCTTGTTCCTTCCGTTCAAAAGCTCCATCGTGAACAACCCTGCCAGGCAGGCTCAGCTCTTTGTACGTACCCTGGAGCAGTGCCGGCGGTGTCTCGGGGGCTGAGATGGCACGATACTATCTGCCGGGGCATTGCAACCTGCCGACTTCAAACAACTTGAACTTTCCACGACATCGATCGCTTTCACTTGGCAAGACCCTGCCCAGCCAGCATATTTCTAAACTTAAACGGCAACGACATGAGGCGGCACAGCTCACACACTACAGTAGTGTCCTACTATCCAAGTAGCATCCCGTCTGATCCGGTCTCGCCGTTCCGACTCCGACCTAACATCTTGAAGCTGACCCTCCCTCCAATCTCAAAAATTTGGACTCTATCCGGATCTCGGCTGGGGTACAGCTGTCAGACATATGTGGACGACGTCCCAAAGCTTGTTCCCCGCTGCTAGCAAGAGAGGGCCATCTTTCATGAATGCAAGTCAGGAGATACCGCCTTTCTCACATAGATAAACTCAGCGGTACACTCGAGGACATGAGAGGGGTCGAGCACCCATTATCCCGACAGCTTGTTACCACGAGGCTTTCTGGCTGATTGGGGTAAGGCGGCTCAAGGCCGGAAGAGTTTACTGCTGTCATGCGCCGGTACGAGGTTGACGGACTCTTCGAGGAGTCGGGTTCGATTGTTGCTTTGTGCTACTAAGAGCACCGCCGTCCTACTTGAGCTGACACTTTTCGCCCACCACCTTTTCTTTCTCTTCTCTCTTGCTGCTATAGCCAAGCTGGCATGCTACTTCATTGCTCTCATCTACATCATCTCTTTTAGATTGTTACCACCAATTCAGGCGTTCGAGCGACGGAGAAAATTCAGCAAAGCAAAACACGCTGTGGTTTCAATCAGCCCCCATCTTCCGCTCCTGCCTCCTGCCCCCCACTACGCCACAACCATCACCTCCTCGCCGAAAACACCACGCTCAACGATATCGACCGACTAAGTGATGTATGAAGCACTACGGGCACCACCACCATCGTAGGGCGGAGGTGGTAGTTCGTGTTGTGATCTCGTAATTGGCAGTGTTTTCTGCAGGCCTTGTTCGTTGTTGTCTGCATGTAGCACCCGCAAGACGATACAGCCTAGTACGTCGATCGGCCATACTCCAAGAAACACGATGGAGGCTAGGCAAATTGCCGTGATGCGTGTTCGTTGTGTGAGTTCTGGGACGTTGGTGAAAGTATTGATATTTCCGTTGCACCGAACCCAAACTTTCGTTGATCGGTGCCAAAACCATAAGTAACCGATGAAAACCCAACCAATAATAACTAGAATTAAAGTCTGGGTTTGGAAATCGGCGTTACTAGCCTCAAGGGCTATCGGTACAGTATCGTTCATCCTACAATATCTATTAGTATGTTAGAAAGGAGTTGGAGAGACGGGAAAGTAGAGAGCAGAATAGCAAGCGAGAAACATACTTGGAGGAGTGCCTTCGAGGAAGTCAAGTCTAATAGTCTAATTATTGGATAGTCTGACGGTCTGAGAACACTTAATAGAAATTTTTGTATGATATAATTATCAAAGTTTGGTTAAATGTTGAGAGAAGAATTTGAGAGGGGGGATATAGTAGTTTAAGTACCTGCTAGGAGGGCCCGGGTTGGGTTTCCTATCTATTTGCTTTCATCCTTGTGACCAGTTATTCTTTCTGTACGAGTGAAGCTCACTTCTGCAACTGCGTATGCAGGTTCGGAGGTCCGAGGTTACGGTTGCTGAGTTTGATGCCTACCGCAAAGACTCGGGGCATCCGGATTGAAGCTTTCTGGGAAATCAGGCATACCTAATCTGAAAGCACACTGCACGAATATATGCTTTTTGTATCCGATAAAAAAAAGGTAGGGAAGACAGCGTACCTAAGATCCCGGAGCACTGTAACTTCAACTCTTCTAATGTCCTGCCTTTGCCTACCTACCGCAAAGACTTGGGGCATACCTTCAACTTCCATGGAAATCAAGCATAATCAGACATACATATGCCCGATTGTATGTATTTTATGCCTTCAGAACAGAGTTGGGGAGCACCTGCCGCAGTTGTTTGGATTGTGATAGGTTTTCTGATCTTGATTCATCCATCCCCCACATCAGAGAGGACTGAGACCGTTGCACATGTTGAGAGTGTCGGTAGCCTCTGTTGGTGACACGAAAAGGTGAATAGATAGATTGCTGCATCAACCACACGAGTCGGGTATCTAAATTCAATATCAGCAACCCAATTTTGTCCATCAATATAGCCGAAGTCCCGTACCATACGCGAGTTCTGCGAAGGTTGCATATCCAGCAAATATCGTTGACCACGCGGAACTTGGCAACTGCCACGATGTACTCTCATGACCCCAAAAAGTCAGCTCTTCCGACCCATCGCAAAACGAATCCCTTGCGACGACTGCAGTTTCGAATGGCACGAGAAAAATACAGCATGTCAGCCACTATGATGCAAACTACTTGCTATCACCCTGCATCACATTCAAAGGTCGACGCCATCGCATGAGGGACATATCCTCCCTCTCATCTGGGTTTGGCGACAGTAAAATTTTCGTACCCGAACAAAACCTCAGCCTCAACAACCAGCCGCCTCAATCTACCCCTCTTCGCCCAACGACGCTACGGACCGATCCTCGGGGATATCAACACAGCGAGGATACGCCAGCACGTTCGCCGAGTCTGAACTCGTGGGTCGCTCAGCAAAGCGGTCGTGTCAGGCGGGAACAAGAACTCGACAAGGCCTCATACTTGGCTTCTCTGCCACAACTTCCCTGTCAGCCTGGAGTTACTGGCATCCACAATCCCTCAGTTAAGTAGATATTCAAGATGATAAGGGATAACGAGAACCCACAACTAGTCGAGCAGATCATAATCCGGATGCGATGAGCTGATTGACGAATGGCTAGTGCTGGCCTCGAAGACATGGAAGCTTCTACTCAGAAGAAGAGAGCAGGAATTAGATATGATGGACTTGCAAAGTTATTTGGCTTGATCGGCATTGACATCTACATAGTAGGGTATTTTGGTGAATCTCGGCCCTTTTCTTCTACATTCACAAGTCCAATATTTCGGACTGAGTCGAAGGTCATTGAGAAGGCGCCTTTTCGACGCCAATGGAGTGCATCATCAACATCAACTCCTAGCCAGGTGCATGATGTCAGTGTTTGGATTGGCGCTCTTCCGAGCATCCCCCTTGTCATATGAAGCAAATGAGTAAACAGTTCATCAGCAATGGGATGATTGTGTGAGAAGTTTGGCGTATTGTGTTACCTCGTGCTTTTGTCTGCTTTTCTGCTTCCGCGTATACGAGTTTCATCTCTGTCGGCTCGACGGTTAAGACGGCATCTGAGGACATCATTGGACGTCAGGTCATGTAAGTGACTTCCTTCTGTTGCTGGTTTCCCCGCTATAGGGGATGGGGTCGTTAGTGCACTTTACGATCCCCTGGGAGGATATGACGTCATTTCCAACACCAAACGTCTGGTCCATTCTTGGCCGCCAAACGCCCAGTCTGCTTAGGCACACACACTCCAAATGCATCGCAATATTACCATAGTTTTTGGTCAAAACTAAAATGTTGGAAGACTGCGTAGTTGATGATCCTTACTATAATACATACATCATTTTATTTTATGTCACTGTAAAGGAAGTCACCGCCAAAATGATTGGAAGAAATTACTAGTGATATGTTAGTTATAACTATAAGAAATACTACACTACCATAATAGCCCGAGAACTTCTTATGCAATCAGTAGAGTAATCACATGCGGTGTTACAATGTATCAGAGGTGTATGCCAAGACCAGACCAAGTGTTTGGCAGCGGGAACAACAAAGACAACAGGGTATCCAGCCAAGAGCGTAACAACATGGATCGATGTCAGTCTGGAGGTTCGGTAAAGTTCTTGATTACGACTGCGTGGTTAGATCGTTCCTAGAATACAAAACCCATACAGATCGAACTACTTGAATTACCAAGATTACAAAGATCAACAAGACGCAGAGAACAACTCCTCCAACAACTGAAGAATTGTTACGAACTGGACCTATACATCGAACCCCGAAGTCGTCGATCTCATTCCTACCCGTCTACGATATTATCTACGAATCACCTATTCTAAACCAGACTGGCACTTTAACTTGCATGGCGATTCGATCGCCCTTCTACTTGACCCAACATTCACCACTGCCAACCATCACCATATCCTCGACAGTGGTATCTGTGCAGCGCCCGGCTATATACGCACAATTTCTTCCAGCTTCATCCTCAGACTACCCACCACCGCCATAAACGAGCCCCAACTTCTCCTCACCCACATATCACAGGCACAATGGGCGGACCAGCGCATCACGAACCCTTCCAGGCCCTCGGCCCCATCTCCTGGCCTGCCGACCTCGCCGGCAGACCCGACTCGGACCTACAAGCCCTCATGACCTCCACGTTCACCGATGCCCAAACCCTCGTCGACTCGATCCCGATACCACCCAGCGTCGCTGCCGCCACGGCGAAAGCCGCCGGTACCGCTCAAGGCCGCCCCCGCTCAGCAACCAGCTCGGCCATAACTGGTCGCCACCAGCCTGACAATTCCGGCTTCCTCCCAATAAAGCTCTCAGCGGAAGCAGCCGAAACAGCCACCAAGCTCCGCAAAGAATGGAAAGAGTGCAAAGTTTCCAATACCAAAGAGAACCCGCTCGGCATTAACGTGTACAAGCTCTCTGCGAAAGACGGAAAGGGCGCCTGGTTCGCGCGGAGGAGCGTCCATAAAGATGTGGCCTTTGACAAGTGGCGGGCAGGGCTGGAGAGGGAGTTCGCTGAAAGTATAAAGCGGTATCAGGAGAATGGGGCAGAGCCGGGCACGGGAAATATTAGAGGTATTGGTGGAGAGAAGAGGCTTGAGCGTGTGAGTGTAGGCGCCGGAGGAGGAGGAGGAGGAGCAGAAGGTGATAGCAGCGGGGAACAAGGACAAGGGAGGCTGGAGGTGTTCCTGGTGAGCGCGAGGTTTCCTGGGCCGACTACGCCTAGGGACTTTGTCACCTGTCTGATGATGCCTGGGCCTGGGGCTACTGGAAATGCGTTGGAAAAGGGACCGCGGCAGCCGAGACAGTTCATGTTGGTGTCGAGACCATGTGAACACCCCGATGCCCCTGCTAGGTCGGATTTCATCAGGGGACAGTACGAATCCGTCGAGGTTATCAGGGAGATTCCGCTGGATAGGCCGTTGAGAAGGACGAAATCTTCTTCGGAACTCAGTAGGGAGGAGTTTCACGAGATGAAGGATGCGCTGGATCAGGCAGACGTGGATGACCTCAAAAAGGAGGCTGTGCTGCGGTCTGCTAAGAAAGCGGCAATGGCAGTGGCCGATGGAGCTGATGATGGTGGCAGATCCTCTTTAAAGGGAGACGATGATGACCAACACTTTGCTGTCGAGTGGCTCATGGTGACACGCAGTGACCCCGGAGGCAGTGTGCCTAGGTTTATGGTCGAAAGAGGAACTCCTGGCGGACTAACTAACGACGCTGCCCGTTTACTAGATTGGCTGTCAACCAAAAGTATCGAAGAGCTTACCGAAAGTGATGGCGAAGAGGTGCTGGAGCAAACAGCACAGGCTGTCTCGCAACCTGCTGCAGCTACAACGGCACCAGACGACATTCAGCGCAAGGGCGTTACCGTACAACAGAAAAGAGCTGCTGGTGTCGATAAGGCCGACCATGCCCAATCTCCGTTACGAGAGACAGAGGCTGTCGAGGAAGAAGCCCCTGCTTCGCAGTCGAGTGGTCTCTACGGTATGTTGACCGGTGCTCTCGGCGCAGCAGGCAATGCCGTAGCCAACAAAGTGGCCAACTTCGCCGGCACTACCAACAACAACACCGACGATGACACCGCTTCACTCGCCTCCTCCATCTCTTCCTCTGACATCGAAAGCGATGTGTCCTCCATCCGCAGCTTCGTCTCCGCCACAGAAGGAGAAGGCCACCCCATCAACGCATCCGGTCAGTCCTTCACCGTTAACGGCAATGGCGACCTCTCCAACGATCCCACTAGCGCGACGTCCATCCGCTCCGAACTCTCCGCCACCGAATCCGCCTCTTCTCTTCAGCCCACCGTTACCGGCGACAACGGCAGCATTCATCTCCCCGACCACTACTCCGCGCGGCGCGAAAAGCACGAAAGAGAAGTCCGCAAGCTCGAGGAGCGCCACCGCAAGGCCGAAGAGAAACTGCACCGTCTCCAAGCCAAACAAGCCGCCAAGCGGCGCGAACAGGAAGAGAAGGGACTCGCCGCCGCGGCGGCTGCCGCTGCCCTCGATGATGACACCGCCTCCAAGCACAACAAAAGCAGCAAGGCGGTGCACGAGGACGCCCGGCTCGCCAAACTACGCGAGAAGCACGAGCGCGAGCTCGCGAAGCAGGAAGAGAAGTACCAGCGCGAGCTGACGCGGTTGGAGCAGCACCGGCTGCGGGAGGAGCGGAAAGCGAAGGAGAAGCTGAGGAAGGCGGCTGAAAAGGAAGAAAAAGCTAATGTGCTGAGGGAGATGGAGAAGGTTAAAGCGGAGAGGGATCTGGCGTTGAGGCAGATGGAGATGTTGAGAGAGCAGGTGGGCGAGTTGCAGAGGCAGAATACCATGTTGGTGGCGAGGCTGGGGAAGTATGAGGGGCCTGGGGCCACGGTTGGAAGTGAAGCAGTGGTTGGGGAAGTGGAGGTTGTTAAGAACGGCGGCGCTGTTGGGGCGTAGGATGGAACACCTCGCTGGTCGAGGAGAGGAAGTAATTCGGGAAGAGGTGGAAAGGCAGGAATGATCAGGATGGGGATGACGAAGAGGAGGATGACGGGTTGACGAGTTGACGTTTGGTTTTATGGATAGAATAGGAGAACACGAGGAGAGGATACATTTTTCTTAGTAGTCGTGATGGATGTTACCGGTTGCAATTCTTGCCTCTGAGTATCAGTTTCTTTTCGCATGACGGTCCTATTTACCTAGTGGATGCGTTTGGGAGATGCGGTTGCCAGGCAATGCTATCAGCGTTATGTCATGCAGAAAATACACCGGATCATGAGTTGCTCTTTAACTACTGGCATACGATTAATATTGCAAAGCTCGGGAAAATCAAACTCGAGCACTAGAGCAAAAGCAAAACACACCACTGCGACAAGAAAACTTCCTGCCAAACCACCACTTATCCGTCAACCTTAACATCACCTTGAAAGCCATATAACTCATCACCACACTCATTAATCCCGCGGTTATCTGCCACCTCACAGGTCTCTACATACCTTTTCCTTCGTCCTTCCTGCTCATCTAAACCCTCTTTTCAGGTCTTCTTCCCCAAATCCCTCGCCACCCCATTCGCAATCCAATCCGCAATCGCCATGTTCGTAACCATTGGATTCACACCACTCGCACTCGGAAACACGCTGGCATCCGCTACATACAAACCCTCGGTGCCCCAAACCTTCCCCTTAGGATCCACCACGCCGTTTTCCGGCTTGCTACTCATCCTGCACGTGCTCATCTGGTGCGCCGATATATAAGGCGGGCAAATTGGTGCGTTATCCCTTTGGTGGAGGAGAGTGGATAACCACTTCTCAAATAGAGGGTCCTTGACTCCCTTATCGTAATCTTCCTCCTTCGCTTCTTCAGTTGGGATGGAAGGAGTACCGGGGGAGGATCGAACAAAAGGTTCCACCCCCGGCAAGAAAGGATCAATCTCGCTCGCACCCGTGACATAGGCAATTTTTGCCAAAGCGATGATTCCCTCGAAGTTGAGGCTCGCGTCGAAGGACGAGATGGTGTACTCGATGCAGAGTTTCCCGGTCACCGGGTCGGCGTAAACTCGGCCGGTGTCCCGGTCGCGCGAAAGAGAAAGCCACGCGCTTAATTGTGGGTAGCGCAAGCAGGATAGCTTCCAGGAGAGGGCGCCGCGCCAGGGGACTTGGGATAGAATTGAGTGAGGCTGGTTGGGAGCGAAGGGTTAGTATGGTGAGGGGTTTGAAGAGAACAAGGGATGGGGTGATAAGTAAAGGAGGACGAAGGGAAGAGGGAATACGTACAAGCATGCACGTGTCTTCTAACTTAACGCCGTGGCCTTGGCCGTCGAGGTTCTCAAAGGCGGTGCAGATGGTGGTGATGACGCCACCTATGGTCCGCATTGTGGTTAGTTATGAGAATGCTGCAAGTGGCGAGACGATGCTGGAGACTTACCTTCCCAGGGATTCACATCATCCTCATAGTAAGCGCCGATGAATTTAACGGGATGGACATGGAGGTTGCGGCCAATATGGTGGTTCTGTTCAGATTGTGAGTCTCCCAAATCCTCTTGATTAAACACAACCAGTCGTTGGTGAGCACTCACATTCAACCCGCTCCTGTGAAGAATCAAAGGACTGTTAAGCGTTCCAGCAGAAACAATGACCTTCTTCGCCTTGATAACGACCTTTCTTGTCTGCCGTTCCCCAATCACTCCCCCATTAGTATCCCTCGCAGTCCATGTTCCCTCCACGCCCACCGCCTTCTTCTTCCCTCCTGATCCGAACCACGACGACGACGAAGAAGACTCATCCCACAAAATCTTGTCCACCGAAAAACCTTCCATGAAGGTAGCCCCCTTTTTCGCCGCCGCCGGCAGCCAACTGACCGCCGGCCCCTGCTTCTCCGCGCTACCACAACCCAAAGGGCAATGCCCACACCAGTGTTCCTTCCCGCCGTTATTCTGGGGACACACGTGCGCCTCGTAGCCCAGCTTCCTGCTCCCTTCCAGCAGCTTCTGCCCCCGATAGGTTGTCCTCACTTTGTCACCACTTACAACGCCCATGAACTCGTACACGCGATCCAAGCAGTTCTGAAACTCGGCGCTCTCGAAAAACGGCAAGCCGTGCTGCTCCGACCACTCCTTCCTCACATACCCCGGCGTCTGCAGGCTAACGCTCCAGTTGACACTACCGCCGCCGCCCCAGCACGACCCCGCCACGGTGTTGAGGGAGCCATCAACACTATTGACGAGCCCGTTGTTTTCGAATAGATGAAACCCGCTCTGCTCCATGGGCATGGGCAGCTGTGACGGATTAAAGTAATACCCCTTGTCGACGACGAGAACGCGGTGCCCCGCTTCGGCGAGAACTTTGGCGCACACGCCGCCGCCGCAGCCAGAGCCGATGATGACCACGTCGGTGTCGACAGTGGCGGGTTCACTAACAGAAGTGTCGAATTGCAGAAATCCAAAGTCCTCTGTGGGGCCTGGATTCCAGTTTATTGGCACATCCGGGTAGCCGGTGACGGTGCGAAAGAGAGGGCTCGTCTGGAGCCAAAGTACTTTGGCGATGGCAGTGAAGATTTTGTAGAGGGTGCGGGGAGTACCGAACCATGAGGAGGACCAGCTCCGGAGGATGGATTCTCGGATGTGGAGGGGCTGGTCCTGGATGGGGGTGGCATAGCCTGTCAGGAGGAGGCTGCCGGGCCGTGTCCTAGGGTTGGAAGGTTAGCACTCATATCTTTGTCTTGTTTTGTTGACACCTGGATATTTCAGGGAAAAGGGGTAGTCCGGGGCAACACTTGGGTGTGCGTTCCCGTTTTGGAGGCCACGTGTAATCTGAATGGAACACTAGTATTGTATGTGTTGGTGGTGGCTTACGAGAGAGCGGATAAGACGCCTCCGAGCCGCTTTTGTGCGGATGGCGGGACGTTGCCGAGGACCCGGCGCACAGCACGGCAGAAGGCCGGGTCATTGGACGGGCTTTCGGCCAGATAAGCTGTGATATCCTCAACAGCGAGTTTCTTCACCACACTGGCCTGTGCCTTGGTGACGATTTCCTTGAACTCGGCATCGGTAATCCCGAGCTGTGTCTTGTCATCTTTCCTGTCTGAGACTGCTGTGATGGAAGGAACAGTAGCGTCCAGTAGGGACATGAGCACGCACCACTGCGTCTCGGTGAAGTAATCGCCGTGTCCGGGCGGTAGCGGCGGTAGCCCGGGCGGAGTGGGGCCGGATACAGAAGAGGCCATTTTAAGCGTTTAGATCTTGGAAAATGCGATCAAGACGCGACGGAATTGCAGCAACACCAGATCGGACGAGATGGAGATGGGAATGGTGTCAAACGTGCATCATCAGACCTTAAGCTTAATTCTCCCTCTTGTCCCGTCCCCCTTTTTTCACCCCTCATCTGAACCCTCTCGTCGCTCGTGGACACATGGTTACACAAGACTGGAAGAGTGTCCGTGCATACCTCGGTTGGACAAGTACGACTGGAGGTGAGGCAACATTCCTACGCTGAGACCCTTGAGGGTATCGTCGCCAAGGCTGGGCATAAGTCCAAGTCCTTCTTTGGCATAGCGACGGAGTTTCTTTTGCTGGAAATGAACTTCTGGTCAATACATACAGGCAAAGTGCAGCATTGCCCATGCAGAAAAGACCTTAAATTCACGACCTTGTTCCAACTGCTCATAACGGACGGCCATTGTTATTGGAAGCAGCTATCACCTTTTCTTCGTCGAACGGCAATCAGATGTTGCTTGTCAAGAAGGGAGTTTTAGTGTACCTCAAACTTTGGATACACAAAAAGACACAATAGTACGCCCAAGCGGCTCACCTTGCGGGAACCATGTGCAATCCAGATCTTCTCCTTCACGGCTCAATATCCTTGTGATACCCACGCGGGAACGGGAGGAGCACGGCCACGGAAGGAATGCGGGGGAAGTGGACGTTGTTCTGGAGAAAACTGGCGATCAAAGGCGTGGGCGTTTGACAGCACTTTTGCTCTTGGATCCATGTTCCTTTCACGTGCTTGTCGAACTGTTGACTTTTTGTCTCGTCTGGGGAATCCTCACGTCCCCTTTCTCACCTTTCTTGACGACAAACCATTGCCGACGTTGTGGGGGAGGCGACAGTCGCAATAAAAAAAAAATAATAAAAAAAAAATTGAAAAAGTCGTAGCGGGGGTTCACCTTGTGTTTGTAGTTTGTACGAACGGTGTCATTCAACAGAAACCCAAACCTGATGCCAAGATTTGCGGCGTGCTACCTTCCACTTGCCTTCTGAGCCCCAGGCACGAGACCTTCCGCCTTGCGACATCTTGCTTGCCTGCCACAGCCCCAGACGCGTGTGTGTAGTGTCCGTAGAGGTACCTAGTTTTAGTGAGGCGCGCAGAGTTACAGTGCATGAAATGCAAGCTCTTTCCAACTGTTGTTGGGGAGATGTGGATCAAATGGCGGGGTAAAGAGGCTGCCTTTTTCTGAAACTTTTTGTTGAATTTGTAAGGTAGCCCTAGCGATCTCGAGCGCCTAGGACCGCGCCTGACAACCGTGAACCGCGTCCTCTTTGACGATTCTACACTACATGGTGTAAGTGCGATTACTCCCCAAAGTGGACCTCATCTTCGACGAACCTCGGGATAATGGATCCTTTTTCTTTGGATACCGCCAATGGAGTCTCGAAATTTATAAGCTCCCTGTCTTGAACTTTCACATGCAAAGTTTGTAGCGAGAGTCCAAATCGGCCTAGAGAGAGTTGGAAGCTAGTGAAGCCCAGGGTCGACGTGATCGGACGAACCAAGCCGGTCGGCGATTCGATTTGGAGCGGCAACGCCAAGCCGTCGGCACGCCTGGGTCGCTAGATGTCATCTCATCCGATTTTCCAAACTGACATCACCGACCGACCGTTTGGCAACAACAGGATCCGTCTCCATGACCGCGCACGCATCAACCCTCGGTTTCGCATTGCCGAGACAACCCAAGACGTCAAAGCTCACGCCCGCCACCGAGTGATCCGGTGTCGTTGAATCTTGTTCCTCTTCCTTTCCATTCAGTTGCTGTCAAAGTGATTGCCTCTCTTGACAACACTGTAACGCCTCTTCAACTAATGACATGACATGCACCTACGTACCTTCGTTGGGGCAGATACTGGATGGGCAGGTGCCATGGTAGCGATAACCGCCCGCCTCTTGCTGTAGGTGCTGCTGCTGCTGTCGCCCTCGCCCCGCGGCTCCCGATATGGTTCGCCTTCATCAACAGAGCGTTCTATTGTCCAGGATCAAGCAGCTTGTTAATTACTCAGCTGGGTTGGGAAAGTGAATATGGTGAACCAATGAAAACCCTCAATGAGTCCTTCTCCTGCTGTTTTTGGTAATATATGGGTCGGCTGAAGCTGGTCTTGACTTGCGCCAGTGTCTTGTACTGCCAAGGTACCGATACCTACCTGAAGCCCACGAACTCGCGGAGTCGCGATAAACTCGGTGCATGTATGAGTGGACCCTTGCCCAGCGGCGAGTGATGTAGGAGAGCAACGCCCACGGTACTGGTGCCAGATACTGGCAAGGAAGATGTTGACATCTTGGTTGAATGCTTTGCAAACAGGCCGGGCATGTTCCTGTTTGCTTTTGAATTGTCCAATGTGCCTTCATGGAAGCTCTATGGAAGTCTGCTGGAAACTACCTGTCGACCTTGCCTTTGTCCACCAAACCACCACACAGGCATAATCTGGATTTCTCTGATACTAGGTTCTGGGTGGAGCCCTTGGGACAAGTTACCATTTTCAACTGGGAAGTCTCGTTCATGGCTCACCAGTAACGGCAAGCGCTCTGTATCATCATGCTTAGAGGTATCGGCGAGACAGCCAGGTTACGGTGTTGCGTGACGAGAGGTGCCTTTGAAAGGTGGCTTTGGAATGTGCCCTTTGCGATGTGCCTTCGGTTTGCGAGGCGCCTTGACGGGCATTGTCCCGGAGTGCTGCGGTGGTCTTGCCATGCAACTGCAAGCCCAGCCTCTTGCCCAAGAATTCAAGGGAAGTACGTAGGAAAAGAAGCCAACAACGGTCCAAGCCTGCCTCTGTCTGCCATGGATGAGATGCCCTCGCCCAATTTTCGCCTTGGTGTCTGCTCGTACCTTTGAGGTACCTTATCAGTCCTGCCGCTCGTCGCTCACTGCCCTCTTTGACCCCTCGTAAATCAAGTTTGTTGCAGTGATGAACTTGAGGAACATGTCGCCTCTATCTATAATGGCTATCTCTGGCTGCTTGTAGCCTACCTACCTACCTGGTTTGATCCTCATCTTCTTTACTAAAGTTAATTTGTTCTCCCCTTCTCTTTCCCCGGCCAAGCAACCAGGATATTACACCGGTGCAAACTTCTTGACTGGCCCATAGAGTTTGTAGACCTCTACTTATCTGATCACGCTCGTCCTGTTTCCCGTTCCGAGCCGATCCGACGCCGGCAGCAACCTCATCCACCCGGCGAATAGGACCATCTCATCAACCCAGAGGCTCAGACAACGCAAACCAGTCCCGGTCGTCTCCAGTGTCGCCATCCCGCGGGCGTCCATCTGGCCAATTGTTGACGTTCACCACGACCCCGCAGTTCACTGAAGTACGTACCCAGAGGTACCCAAAAGTACCAAGTACCTTTTTAGTGAGACGCAGAGATTGGACGATCCCGAAAGCGTTGGGGATCCTCTTATAAGGTTTGTTTAAAAAGTTGACAAAAGACGCAAGAACAAAACCTCGCAGACGTCCGTTACCGTTTTCGAGCTTTCTCTCTCCCCGGTTCTCTTTCAACATCATCCTTCACCGAATCCAACTCGATTTAGGTTGCACCAGGAGTCAGAATGGCGTCCATCTCCTTCTCCTTGCCCAAGGCATCCCTCTTCAAGTTCCCACCCGCCACCAACCCAGGCTTCGTTCCTCCTCCCCCAGCCGGCCCCAACTCCTCGACAGTCTTTAACATTCCCGATGATGTCTACTACGCCTGGTTGGACCCCAAGGTCCCTCTCACGATCGCTACCGTCTACGCCGTGACCGCCAAGCTCCTCAACATCTACAACAAGTCCACCGGCAAGAAGCCCTGGGCCATCAGCAAGACCAGGCCTTTCCACTGGTTCGTCATTGCCCACAATGTCTTCCTCGCTGTATACTCGGCCTGGACCTTCATTGGCATGCTCGGTGCTGTCCGCCGCTCCTTCGTGAGCCCCTTCGGTCCAGAGGGCCTTGCTGGTTTCGTCGACTCCGTCTGCCGCATCAACGGTCCCGCTGGTCTCAGCAACTCTGTCTTCTACAACGATGAGGCTGGTGCTTTCCAGACCTACTCTCCCCACGTCACCCTCGGTGCCGATGGCAACCCCAGCCGCTTCGACTCTGGCCGTCTGTGGAACGAGGGTCTTGCTTTCTACGGCTGGATCTTCTACCTCTCCAAGTTCTACGAGGTCGTTGATACCCTCATCATCCTCGCCAAGGGCAAGCTTAGCTCCACTCTCCAGACCTACCACCACGCCGGTGCTATGCTCTGCATGTGGGCTGGTATGCGCTACATGTCCACTCCTATCTGGGTCTTCTGCTTCGTCAACTCCTTCATCCACGCCCTGATGGTAAGTTCAAAGTCAATATCGCTTTCCAAACATGAACAAACGCTGATAGTTTCCTAGTACACCTACTACACCGTTACTGCCTTCAATATCCGCGTTCCTACCCCCATTAAGCGGACCCTCACCAGCATGCAGATTACCCAGTTCCTTCTCGGTGCCTCCTACGCCATCGTCCACTCCTTCGTCTCCTACACTATCCCCGTTGTTGTCGCCAACCCCGAGAAGACTGCTTCCGCTGTCGAGGCCGCCAGCACTGTTGTTGACAGCCAGAAGGTCCTTGTCTTTGGCAATGCTACTCGTGTCGACGCCGCTGAGGCCACCTATGGCCAGCGCGTTGTTCCCTGCGTCACCAGCAACAACTCCACCTTTGCCATCTGGCTCAACGTCTTCTACCTTGCTCCTCTCACCTATCTCTTCATCTCTTTCTTCATCGAGAGCTACACGCGCCGCAGCAACGCTGCTGAGAAGACCAAGAACGCTAAGCCCGTTGACAACGTCGCCATGGCTGAGAAGGCAGGGTGGGAGGCTGCCAAGAAGATGGAGGGTGAGGTCTATGGTGAGACTAAGGAGGACACCTACGAGGCTCGCACCACCCGCTCTGCCTCCAAGCGTACCCTTCGCCAGCGCGCTTAAACAATGTCTGACCACTTTGACCACTATCCGATCTGAAGTTAGCCCTATAACCTCCAGGATGTCCAGTATGAATGGGGGTTATGCGCTCCGCAAGTCCAGTCGTGATTCAGACCTGGCGATAGCCTCAAGAGGCCAGATGATGTCAGCTCTCATCCGGTATCTCTTCTTTCTTCGCTACTTGTTCTCCACCCTGAGCCAACAAAAGAGGTGAAGTGGGGAAAAACAAAAAAAGAAACAAAAAAAAGACTGACATACAGAGATACCCGATTCTCTGCGCCGCGCCCACGTCTCATTGGTATGTGGGTAAACACCCGTGTTTCTCAAGGCGGTAGCAGATTATCTCAAACCCAAGATCAGGGCCACTAGGCTGTTCAAGGTTGTTCGAAGATAGGAAACAAGGAACTTTGTAGTTCTCTTAGACGAGGGATGATTAACGTTGATTGGGTTTTATTAGCATAAGGAAAGAGAAAAGGGAAGGGAAATAGCATGGGACAGGGATTTTGCTTGGGTTATCGGCATATCATTATTTCATCAGCACATTTTGGCATTTCATAGAATAGAACTGTTCATGGTCCATCTTTAAAGTTTTGAGACTATTATGAAGCTCTTGTGTACTGAGTGCCGCCCTGCTCATGATGTTTTATTACACTTGGAACGTCTCATGCCGGCGTTATAGTAACTACGGACGTTATTCCAGTATGGTCATGTCTACCGCCATGTAGGCGACAACGTTGTTAAGTCACATTTGGGCAGCATAACAATCTAGGCTTCTTTCCATATCGGGAATGTTTGAGGTGATGACATTAACGCAAAAAAAAAAAAAAAAAAAAAAAAAAAAAAAAAAAAAAAAAAAAAAAAAAAAAAAAACAACCGAGTTTTCCGGGTCATGGGCGCCCGGCGATGTCATCCCGTAACGTGGAAACCATCCACTCAAGTCCAGACTGCCGAAGACAGGCTGCAGGATGCCACGCACGCACGTACGCACGCCAACGCCACTCAAACATGCACGTAAGCATCTCTAGGCATTCCGCCCGTCTGGCACTAGGTAACTTGGCCGTGAGCGGCGAGACAAGGATGTCAATGGAGAAGAGTTGAAGTTGGGAGTGTCAAGTTGATAACCGTTGTGAGTTTTGAGAGAGCTTTTTTGGTATTAGACACTTGTCTAAGACTTACGGACGATCATGCCTAGCATGGAACTACCTAAGACTACTCGTAAGGAACGGACTAGACGACGGTATCTGTCGGTATGCTCTTCCTTCAAAGATGATGTCCTAGACAGCTTAGGAAAGGAACATCAGAGTGACTACTGACTTGCTGTGCAGTACAACAGCAACAGGACTACAAGAGAGAAAACTGATTGTAACTGATCTGAATATGATCCTCTTCATACGAGTACCCGGAACTCACCAGGTATTCGATCCAGCTTCTCCGTCTCACACACGTCAACTGGTATGTTCCTTCTACATCACTTAGACACGAATATCGACACGCAAAGGCAGTAAGCGAAACGCCGATCTGAAGTTCTAAATATGAATCGACAGCCTCCGACTCTCTGACTTCTTTCTCATTTGTCCAATGATGTTGTAAATGTACATCCCAAGAAAAGAAAAAAAGACGCCTATAAACTGTCCCATAGCATTGTCTCTCGCAAAAATGATGCAGATCTCAACAATAAAAAAACAGCAACAGTGCAAAGGTCGAAACAAAAGGGTCCTCCTATTCTTCGGACATGCTTGGATGAAACAGTAAACATTCCGTCGGGAAACGCCAATTATGCAAATTTGCAAATCTGTGGGTTGGGCTAGCTCGCGGCTGGCGCCCCTTCTCGAACAGAAACAGCAAGAACAAAACCATAGAAAACTTCAACAACAACTCAACGTTATGATAAGCGAGGGAAAGGGAAAATTAGGCCCTTGCCCGGGTGCTCTGAATCTGATCCCATGACCAGATCTAGTGTAACTGCTCATCCTCAAAGCCAGATCGACGGAACTCCACTTGATAGGATTGGTAGGGGTGGACCGCGTCGAAGGCGAAGAAAGTGGAGTCTTGAGCGGGACGACGTGGAACCTTCCTACTCCGACGAGAGCAGCCTCAACGATGCGGGTCCGAAGCTGCAGGCGCGAGTCGTGTGCTCCTCCGCTCCGCTCGACGAGAAGCCCACCGAAATGTCGCGCAGGCAAACCCTGGGCAATCTGTTGTGCGTAGGCCCAAAGGGTCAACTCCGCCAGTGCCCATCCCGCCAGAGGCCCAGTCTGATGCGGAGGGTTTCTTTGTTATGACACGCACGCTACTCTTTTCCGACTTTGTGACGTCCAAAGCCAAGAGGTCGAGATAAGCTGAAAGCAAGCCGAAAAGCAGACGCTCAATCCCGCAAACGCTGGGAATCCTATGCCGTGTAGATCAGAACGAACCATCTAGAAATGTTCATCCGACGCAACGTAACCCATTAATTCCACCTCGTTGTGCCATATTAGGTACGTCACGCATTAAGCGTATATGCTTTTCGTTCAATCTCGGGCCATGTCGTTCGTAAGAATAAACATTGGCCGTTGTGGTCGCCGTTGCCGGATGGGAGGATCCACTCAACTCCGCGTCTCCGGTGAGATTCAACTCGGGAGGAAATGTATACATACTCTATGCGATTGGTCCAAAAGCGAGCAATCCATCTGGATTGCAGAGTGCGAGAAGAGGTCTCTAGCCAGGAGACATCTCTCTGGAGACAATGACTTTAACAAAGGCCAATCATGCCTTCAGAATGTGCTCCAGTTCCAGTCCCTAGGGACGCTGTGGGCCACCTCGGGCATGCTCGGCAATCCCAGATTGAATCCCATCTTAATCCCCGAGGGGGTGATGGGGGAAGCAAGAACCGGGCTGCCCGGCTCAGAGCTGGTCGTATTGCCATCCGAGGTAGACGAACCGCTGGTCGACGACTGGCTGTTGGCCCGGCTTCGCCACTCCTTAAACTGGGAATAGCAGTGCTGACAGGCGCGGCTTGGAGTTCCCCGGGGGTTGTAGTTCGCATCTTGGTCCAAGGGGATCTCGAATGCGCTGTGGACGTCACAGAAGATGTTACCGCATCTGCGACAGTGGTGACGGCGGGTGAAGTAATTGAAGTTCTTCTTGCACCTGGCATCATCGCATACCGTAGACTCTGCGTCGGGCTGTGAAGAAACAGTTAGACGTGTCAATCCATGCATCTTGTGTCACTTTCAAACACACAAAAGCCTCACCGAAGTGAGACATGACAGGGAAGATGTGTGGAAACGTACCTTCCAGTGCTTCCGCGTCGGTACCCCAGTCGGCTTGGGATAATGATCCAGGTTCACGTTGGGGTCGATGCACATGCCGCTATCTCCAGTGTTTCTCCTGCTCAACCGCCCCAGGGCACCCCGTCCGATATAGCTGGTGGTTGGTTTCAACTTGCGCTCCTCCTCAATCTCCTCGTCTTTGGAACTGGGCCTCGACGTCGGCGGCTTGGATGCGTACTGGTTCGGCCTGAGGGCAGCCGGCATATACAGCGGGCGGATTTGACGAGTGAGGGTCTTTGGGGAAGTTGGCGAAACATTCCCAGACGTACTGAGAGGTGAGATTTGTCGGCTGTTGCCATTGCCATTGCCGTTGTACTGGGCGGATGGTTGATAAGGAGCACCCGTGCTCACTTGCTGAGGCGGCGGCTGTTGGCGATTCATACTTGGGTTATTATGAAAACCACGATATGTTTGCTGGAAATGAGGTTGTTGCTGGTTGTTGGGGAACTGAGGCATCACGAAGTCGGTAGCCATATCTGTGGCGGTGGGCTGATGAGGCGGTGATGTGTTCCGATTGCGCAGAACAGAATGTCGAGAGTGTAGTTGTAGATACCCTAGCTTCAAACAACCTGGACGGGACGGAGCGCGGGGATGGATGTTGGCACGTGCGGCTTGTTGAACTGTCGTAGCAGACAGAATAGGAAGTCGCAAGGGACGAAGTTGAAGACGTCTCAAGAGCGATCAAGGGTTGATGAGGAGAAGTTTATTGCTTCATCCAGTATATAATGGATGGGCGATGTTGAAGGCAGGGTGAAGTCGAGGTGACTTTGGTATCGATATTAGTCGGCAAGTATCCGCAGATAAGAGAAAGCCAGAGCTGATCACAGTTGACGTTCAACCTCGTTTGGTTGATGCGTCGATGATCTAGACTCGAGGGGTCCGTGTGTGTCCAAACTCCGAGTTATGTATGCTGCTTGCACATGGGCAAAAAAAGGGTCAGGTTTAGGTAATGAGAGAGTGCGAGGCAAAGAAGCAGAGTAATATATATGGTAGTGTAGTGTAGGAAGCACAGAGTGCAGTAGGAGGCTTGGGAGGGAACGGATAGAGGTAAGGTAGGTAGGGGTATGTATAAGAGCCAAACGGAGTTGCGTTCGTTTGCAGGACGGATGGTCGGAGGGACGCGGACGATGAAGGGAATCGAGAAGTACCGCCAGCTATATGTATACGGGACAGTTACCCAGGTAGATATATCTTTTTGTAAGTGGAAGACAGATACTCTGCAGGAATAGTCCATATGGAAAGAACACGGATGCACCATGACCACACTATTATCATACCCAACAGGTGGATACCTCAAATTGCCAAAGCCCGCAAGTCTGGCCGACGGCAGACCGCATCGATGGAGATCTGACAGGGAGCGCTCACCAGTGTGGGCGAGGCTCGAGAAGCTGACCAGGGGGGGACGAGGTCGCGTCGGGAAGGTCGACTTCGTCAATCAACGGAGCAGACGAGTGAGAGCCAAGCGAGCCAAGAGCGAACGATGGTTCCTGTCCAGGTTACGCCCGACTGCCCGGCAAGACGTTGCACCCTGGACTTGCCTTTAAAGCCAATGGGATTGGCTCGGCCCTGGTCTGCAGCAGCGGGTCCACCCACCCACTGCACTGCGAACCCACTGCAGAGAGTCTAGTGTCCACTGCGCTTCGTCGCCGTCCCAACGTCCCCCAGCATCCCGCCCGTTCCTCTTCCATCTCACAAGCGAACGGCACCGCGACGGCAGAGTGAGATCGCTGGGGAAACGAATGGCGAAGAGCCACAGCTCACTGGGCTTGTCCTAATCGGTGCAAAAAGCGGTGGAGCACCACAGGCATCGCCGGCGTCAAAATCTGGGTGTGGAAGGAGGAACGCATGTGCCGGCCACTTCACGAACCCCCCCTTGTCTCTTTCCTAGGCTGGTCTACACTACACTACACTACACTACACTACGGATTGGTTTTCCTCTTTGAGCCATCTCCTCGTCACTACATACACTACGACTACGGGTCTTGATGGTTGTCGTTCCTTCAAGGTCAACTTTTGGCAGGAAGAGTTCCAGCTTCATCAGTCTGGCGATGTCTCGGCCCGAAATTCATGTCCAGCTTTACATTATTGGTGATGTACAGACGCGTAGGCAAGGCGGTTCGATGGTCATATGTGTGTAGTTACATTTGTGCGACCATAAATGATATGTACCCGAAAGGCTTCGAGATCCGACAAGAGGTGGAAATCCGCGCGGTGTAATATCCGGACCTGGTGGAGAGGATCGATGACTTTGTTCTCGAAAAGGTCATTCAAGGCATCGATCCAATCCGTCTGACTCGAAGGAGTTTTGCTCCATAGTATTCCATGCTGGGTAGTCGTGGAATCATATACCTCATAGGGGTAATACTCGTTGAGAGGTCCGCGATCCCTTCCAGACTCGGAGCAGAGTGCATGTCAAACATATTCGCTTCGCGGGTGAACACTGTACTGCGTAGTACACCAAAGACCTTTTATTCGCTTCAGGGAACCTCGTTAGAAGCATGGGCCGGCGTTCCGCTTGTTCTGTTTGTGCTTTCTAATCACCTTCCACATCATCAGTCCGTCCCCTTGGAAACTTTTGTTCAATGGTCACAGGAAAATATTCTTGACAAGTTCGATTGTAAGGATCTGAGTAGTCGTCTTGTCATTGCACATGTCAATCATGGTTGAACAAAAAGCAAATGAAAGGACACGGAGATGCAACAAGAGCCCGTGTTAGGACAAGGTCTTCCTATAGTAGCATTGGCACTAACATGTGCTAGCGGGGCGGTGTTTGGCCGACGCCCGCCTGACGGTGCTGTTCCAGCCCAGAGGGCATGGGTCTCGATGGCCTGGCCCAACAAGAAGCGGACGGCTGTGGTTGGCTTCGACACATCGCCATTCAGCCTCGAACAACAACAGCTTGATTCCATCGATACCTCATCGCATCGCCATTGCCGCCATCGATCGCGCGTCGTCTATCAAACCTTTACCCCTAATCCATCGACCATCGTCGAGCCCGAACCACGACCGACACAGCGACGTGCTTCCTTGACCAAGCCATCGCAACTCACAATCCATAACCTAATCTAACGACGAAGCCTACGATTCGGTAATTCCAGACCTCATTGCTCCCCACGCCATCACATCGGCTCTCTCTATACCAACGCGAGACATCAACATCATCGTGTACAGTCAGGAACCATCAACAGCGATACTCGTCTGATTTGCGCCAAAGCTCTGAAACACGGCCACAACAAAACCTCGGGGACATTTCAAACACCGCCACCATGAAGCTCTACTACATTGGTGTAAGATACGGCTGTTTTCATAGGGGGTACAAGAAGGTACCTGCTGACCGCGAACAAGATCTACAAAAACACCGAGCAGCCTGCGGTGCAGCTCTGCGGTGCCCACGAGCTTAGCGACTTCTCCAGGTTCACACGAGACCAATACAAGAACTTCATGACCATGATCAGCAGGACTGTCGCAGAGAGGACGAAGCCTGGCCAGAGGCAAAGTGTTGAGGAGCAAGGTGCGTCTATGGTGAACTCTCTGCTCGCATACATGTGCCTAGCTGACAAGGTGGTGTCCGAACAGATTATATTATCCACGCCTATGCCCGCTCCGAGGGTGTTTGCGGTGTCGTCATCACCAAGGACTACCCTCCTATCGCCGCCCACAGTGTCCTTTCCAAGCTCATGGACCAGTTTCTCTCGGAGAAGCCGGTTGCCACGATAAACGCCGCCAAGAACGACGGCGACATCCCTTTCCCGGCCATTGAGCAGTACCTCCGCGACTACCAAGATGCCAACAACGCGAGCAGCATTGCAAAGATCCAGCAGGAGCTCGACGAGACCAAGATCGTCCTACACAAGGCTATTGATAGCGTATGTCCATTCACAGAGGGTAGCAATGCTCTATATAACATGCTAACCTAGTTTTAGGTTTTGCAACGAGGCGAGAAGCTCGACGACCTGGTTGCCAAGAGTTCCGATTTGAGTGCGCAGAGCAAGATGTTCTACCAGAGTGCGAAGAAGCAGAACTCGTGCTGCCTGGTTATGTAAAGATCGTTCATCAATACCAACCAACCGCCCGCGACTGTCTTCGCTTTTAGTCAGCCGCACTGATATATGCCATCGACCGCAACGTTCCCTTCTATCAAAATACACAGAGCGACTGGCCCCTCGTCGTCTTCGAGACACTGGCGGGGATCTCTTCTGATTCAGCTCTTGGTTTCCGCGCAGGTTGCAGTTTGGCTACTGACGACAGAGGGCCTTACAGTAGCCTGTTTGGATATGTGAAAGCTACTTACCTTGACGACTTCGTGGGCTTTGAGAATGCTAAACTTCTGATTCAACCTGCAATATACCCTTTCTTCTATTCATTGTTATGTGGTACATACCCGAAACCGTGAAAGATTGACCACTGTTGGCGATAAAGCTGTGAAATATATACTTCGACTACCAGATGTAGGTAGTCCTGTTATAGAATTGCTATGTGTCGAATCCGAGGCTGCGCACTTATCTGGAGATCTTCGCTCCGTTTCTTGCATACCCGTTAGTTTCATACGACATCCGCCCTCCAAGATTACTGTGGTATATGTGATGGGCCGACACAAGCGAAGCGGTCGGGTTCCCCAGTCACGACATTCGGTTGCAGTGATGACGACCTTGTCCGCCACGCCGTAGTGGCGTAAACTGTGCGAGTCGTAAGTAATGTACACTATGGTATATTTTAGGGGTTGTTGTCCCTCTCAAGCTAGCCCAGGCAAAAAGACTCTTATGAAGATCTGAATGGAAACGTTGAAATTCAAACAACAAGACTACGCAGCAGCATCAATTGAGCTGATCGATGATGGCGGCATTGCGTACGGATCTTCCTCCATGCCGATCTTATATCGGCTCCGTCGGCGTCTACCCATGTGCACGATAGACTTTGGATGCAAGCTGGGGTTTGAACAACATTATAGGAAACTGAGACTGCAAATATGCGGGGTGGCAGAAGGCGCTCATACCTAATGTCGCGCCTGTGCTTCAAGTGAATGGGGATTCGGCTTACGGCAAAGATCACATTAAAATTCATGGGATCATTATTTGCGGTCTTTGTAGGTGTCTGACATGTCGAGAACATCTATAGTCAAGGTAAAGAATATGTCACAAGTGAGAACTGCTAGATATACGGCGTAAAACTCATTGTATTGGGCTGGGCTTTATTTGACACCAATCGAACCCTAAACAAACCCATTGCCGGGACCCGGTTGACTGGGCAGAGATAGGAACATGCATATACACACCTGCTCCCGAGACATTTTACACCGTCGTCCATTTTCCAATGATGTTGAAAAAAGGAATAAGGTACATACATCATACGCACATACGTACACATAACAGGCAGTGTTATCAAGGCCTTTTTCCGCGGAATTGACATTCGTTTTCATGCATGGTGCCATAAACTGGGGGCAACACAAAAAGGCCATTCGCTTAGGACAGAATCAATGAAACCCGAGTCCAGTTCTGACAGCTGCATACTGCAGGACTGCACAGGTTTAGAGAGTGCCCTTACTAGGCGTTGAAGCCAAAAAAAAAAAAAAAAAAAAAAAAAAAAAAGAAAAAGAAAAAGAAGATTAAAGAATAAAACTGAAATGTTGTAATTCAAGATAGATAAATATTTGTTCGTTTCCATGGTGTTTCGGTCGAGTTTGGTATTTGTTCTGGGTTCACCAATCCTGTCCTGGGCGAGGTCAAGTGAGGCTCAACGACATGTGCCGTCTTGCCAGAAACGCAAACAGGTTCACAGTCGGGTTGAACACCAGGAACTGGGACCGGGCTCACCGCCCGTCCTCCCGTCCAAGGATCCATGGAAGTGTCGTACGAGATCTTGATTGTCACCCTTCTGCCAGGTATTCCCCGGAAGAGTGGAAGGCAATTGATGCAGTCAGTCAGTCAGCTCAATTCTGGTTGGACGGCACCTTCCTCCTTCAAGAACAAGCATCCTGAACGTCAAGAAGTGACAAGGAATGGACAGACAGAGCAGGCCAAGCACAAACGGCTACGGCAACCGCTAGGCTCTTTTTTTTTCTTCCCCTTCGTTTTTTTTTTCAAGTGAGAGGGAGAGAATGAAATGTCTCATCTCACTTCGCTTTCTCATCACTCCCGCCGTTGCAGTGCATTAGTTCCTTGGTTTTGAGGAGGGGTAGAGGGGCAGGAGGTGAGTGTTGTGAAGTTCTCCCTTTTTTTTTTTTTTTTTTTTTTTTCTTTTTTTTTTTCCCCTTTTTTTTCTTTCCCCTTAGCTTCCAGGTGGTACGGTCGACACTGAGGAGGGGAAGAGGCTCTGGCATGATGAGATGAAGTGGGTGTCCTTTTCGAGAGGGAGGGAGAGGTTGTGTGTGTGGCCAGCTAGCCTCCCACGGCCTGATCTACCAGGTGGTGCCAAAACACAGTACATGCACGACCACTGCTTTCGTAGTGAGCCCGTCTGTATTCTTTGTTTTTAGCACCACCTATCTACATATCTTCTGTGAGGATAAGGATTCACCCACCAATTACCACTCAAAACCGTAGGGTGCATAATTGCTGATGTGGGCTGGTGAAGATGCACAGAATCGGGACTGTATAAAATGCTCGTAACGATACCATACATTACTACATCTCTTCCATGTCGTTTCCACGTTACGACATGCCGCGTTTCCATACGACAAAGAAATAATAGTTACGATCTGTCTCTTTCTCTCAGGAGAAACGAGAATGCAAAGAGTGACTTGGCTTGACGTTGAAAAAGTCGAAATCTCAATGACAAGACATGATGAACATGGCAGAGGTGCATTTGCATCAAGCGTTGAACATCAAAAGCATGCTTTGGCAAGCCATGGCACATGTACATAAGCGGGGTTCTTTGAGCCTCACGACCTGATTCGTCAACCTCACCTGAAGGTTATCGCGACGAGCTGATTAGCTCGACTTGGATTTTGTTTGGAAATGTCTCGCATCTATTCCCTGCCCAAGAGAGAATCCAAAAGGTCTCCACTCCAAGAGCCACAAGCAGGGTCAGGGGGAGAGTGGAACTCTTTTCTCTTGTGTGTTCTTCAACCCTTTTTCGGGCATGGTCATGGTTACAGTCTGTTTTTGCCTTGCGTTAGTGCAGTTACAGGGTCCCTCCAATCCCTCAAAGACCTGTCTCCATCGCCCCAGAGTTCACAGCGGGTCCATGCCACTTTGTTACCTAGTCGAATTGTCCAACTGGCGCCGTGAGCGCGCTGCCGGCGGCTGGAGCGGCGCTGGAGAGCCATGGCAGACAGCGAATATCGGACTTGGGGGTGGGAGCCCCAGAAGGGGTTTCGAAAGGTGGTGAGGCGAGATTCGTGCGAGTCGCCCCGAAGACGCGAGGTGCCCTGATTGGACTTGAAGCCTTGACTGTCACACTGCCTTGATGCGAACGGGAAAGGCACCCGTTTGACCGGCGACGGAAGGAAACAGAAGTTCGAAGAAGAGGGGGAGGTGTGGGAGTTGTCCATGAAGTTCGGTTGCGGCCGGTCGACGTCGAGTTCGGAGCGGGAGACCAGCGAACGACGTCCCGCCCATTTCAAACTAAGTCGCACAGTCCAGACAGAAGTGTTGTTACTTAGAAGTTAGAACAGCACAACCTCCCCCCCTCCACGGGAGCGGGAACCGGGACAGGGGACTGACAAACTGAGATGGTCAACTTGACAGGCTGTGCACACCACGAGATGTCTCGTCTCTCGAATTTGGAGAACCCGGACTTCACTCAAGGCTTTGACTCGAAATATTCCACATTTCCCGTTAATTAACATCTGCATAGCCTCGGTCGACCCGCCCTGCGCAACATTCAACTGTACTCTTCCTTCTGTCGAGGGTCCTCCCGAGATCTTAACCCCTCAACCCATCCCTTTCTCATTTCGCATCTCATAAGCCCTACAACCTAACATCGTCTTCCGGGTAGCCCGGCAGAATTTACTGAAGCGCAGCTGTTAGAGGTCTAGAGCTGGATTATTCTAAGTAAATTTCAACAATTTGGCAGCCTACAATAAATACAAAGCTGGATTATTCTAAGCAAAAACTTAATAATTTGGTAGCCTACTATAAATGTAAGGTTGGATTATTCTATACTATAAATGTATAGCTGGATTACTCTAAGTAAAAGCTCAATAATTTGGCAGCCTACAATAAATACAAAGCTGGATTATTCCAAGCAAAAACTTAATAATTTGGCTTCCTACTATAAATACAAGGCTGGATTATTCTATATTATAAATGTATAGCTAAATTACTCTAAGTAAAAGCTCAACAATTTGGCAGCCTACTATAAATGTAAGGCTGGATTACTCTAAGTAAAAGCTCAACAATTTGGCAGCTTACTATAAATGCAAGGCTGGATTACTCTAAGTAAAAGCTCAACAATTTGGCAGCCTACTATAAATGCAAGGCTGGATTACTCTAAGTAAAAGCTCAACAATTTGGCAGCTTACTATAAATGCAAGGCTGGACTATTCTATATTATCAATGTAAAGCTGGAAAACTCTAGGTAAAAACTCTATATTTTAACTACTTATTTGAGTATAATATTAACTATTTGTTTATTGAGCTTTATTGAGCTTTATTATTATTATTATTATTATTATTATTATTATTATTATTATTATTATTATTATTAGAATAGGTGTTTTTAACGATTTTACTCTCTATGTTTTTTTTATTCTTTTTTTTTTTTTTCCATTTATTCTATTTATTCCAACCAGGGGGCTTCGCCCCCCGGGACCCCCCATTGAAAGAGTTAGAGTTAAGAGAAAGAAACCCGGGGGACACCCCCGGGGACCCCCGTCGAGTGCACGGGCTGCAATAATTCTAACCAATCCAAGGACCGGATAGCTCAAATAACTGACCAATCCAAGGAAAGGATTACAGGATTGACGGACCACTTACAGGACGAAGAACTTACAGGGGTCTCGCACCATTAGAAAGAAGCTCCGCTATGCTCGCTCACTTCGTGTAAACACTTCATTCTCTGACCATAACAGCTGCGCTTCAAAAACCCAATGGTCTCGGAGATCCCTCGCAGTGTTGGGGCTCTGCGCGTGCTCCCACGGCTCCTACGAGGTCCCCCCAAAATTTACTTACATCCCGGGCAGCGGCAACGGAATTAGACCGAAAGCCTGTGATATTGTTACGTCATGACAACTACCGTGACTAACCAGTCAGGGACCCGAGCCCAGTCCGGACTCTCGTGGTCGGCGACGGGCGGCAAAGGACACAACCACGACGACGATGAACCACCAGGAGAACGTAATCTTCAACTTTCACGGCCCGATACTGCGAAATTGCTTTTTGGGGTTTCAATTCCATGACTCTGAGGAATCACGGCGCGACGCTACGACCTGAATGGACGGGACAAGCAGCTGCTAGCTTTGCACATCCAAATAGCTTTCAACAACGCCAAGCCTCCGCTTAAAGTAGGCCCTGGCTGCCGGCTGCTGAGGACGGGACATCGGGGTTCAGCGTTCCCGTCAAGCATGGTCTCAGGAATACGCCGTAGCGCCCGTAGGGGCTCGAGGCTAGGGCGGCAACCTGAGGCTATTCCCGTCGAGCTATAATCTTGGAGGTTCTCGATCGACTGCATCAAACTGATACTGATGGCTTCTACGACGTACCCTAGGCTGAAACTACATAGCGATATTTACGATACCAAAAAAAAAAGTCTAGACCATATGCAGGATCGCAGTAGCAGCACACTTAGGGCAGGCGACGGGGGCGGCGGTTACATATATCAAGTCGAGACCGATCCCGAGGTCCTTGGCGAATGTCTTGGGTTTGCCTAATTAAGTAGGCGTGATAGAAATGGATGGGAGCCGCGCGCACCGGGGGTAGTTGATGGCCAAGAAATTTAAAGTAATGCCGAGGTTGCTACATGTTTGTTTACTTCCATCTCAAACGTGTCAGTACGAGTGCTTGCAAAAGGAGATGGCATTGGTGTCTTAGACACGTGCCTGTCAACAACACGAGCGGATTAATGTGTGTTCGTAGTGATTTGTCTGCTTTGGACTCAACTCTTGGAGACGAAAAGGATATCATGGTGTGAGATTGATGTTTGACCTCTCTTCTTCCTTGTTCAGATACAGCTCATAGACCCCAATGCAAAGAATGAAAGATCATCCACCAATACGGTGGCCTTCATCGCTTTCACCTGCAAAATGGGTCGGAAGCTCTGTATTATCAAAAGCAGAATGCTCTTCAGGCAACATGCCCCACAGGACTTCAACATCCCACTCGCTGCAGACACTCCGTCTCCCTTGTCCCCGTCAGTAGTCAACTCCTTCCCTGGCACCCATCGCCAACAACTCCGTTCTTCTTCCTTTTACAAACTGCATCTTACTCGCCATCCTGTCTCCTTGGGGACCTAGCCCACTCACTCACGCTCTCCCCCTCCACCCATTTCCCACTCTTTCCACCTTCTTTCATCACCACCCTTAACCCCTCAACCCTCATCCCCTTATCCACCGCCTTGCACATATCATACACCGTCAACGCCGCTGCCGACGCGGCCGTCATGGCCTCCATCTCAACGCCCGTCTTGCCGTAGCAAGACACGGTGGCTCTGATGTCGATGTATCCATATCCCTGTCCCTTTGCACTTTCTGAACCCCTCTCCGAATCTTCTGACCCCGCAACGGAATCGTCAACCGGAGCAACGGGCGCAACGGGTACCAACTCGACCTCAGCATGCGTCAACTGAATCGGGTGACACAACGGAATGATATCTGGTGTCCGCTTGGCCGCCATGATCCCCGCTATGCGCGCCACGCCCAAGACGTCGCCCTTCTTCAGGGAGTTGGTGACGACGAGCGGGTAGGCGGTCGGGTTGGAGAAGTGTACGGTGCACCTGGCAACGGCGGTGCGCGAGGAAGGCGTCTTGGTGGTTATGGAGACCATGTGGGCTTCGCCAGTGGGGGTGAGGTGGGTAAGTCTGGGCTTGAGTTGGGGCTGTTCCTTCGCATTGTTGTGGTTGGAGTTGCTGTCTGAGGAGGAGGAGGAGGAGGAGGAGAGGAAGGAGCGAGTGGTGGAGAAGAGGCGGAGGTGCCCAAGTCCTTGAGAGAGGGCTGAGGTTGGAGGAGGGATCAACGCGCTGGCGCCTTGCATCTTGCGTTGGGCAAAGCTGTTCACGTTTCTGCTGAGGGTATTGCTGGTGAGAGGTGAGAGAAGGGAAGAAACCCCGTTATGGTTCCAATGGATTTGATGTTTGTTGTGGTTCGGTGACTGGTATGACTGGGAACGGTGCTGAAATATAGCATTGGTATTGGTATCTGGGTAGACGAAACATCCTTAGTATGTCGACCATCTTGCAAAACCAAATGTATTGCTACAAGAACGCCCCAGTATGACCATTGACTGTGGTTCTGTACGTAAAGATATCACGATATAACCACCCATATGATGTACATGCCTCAAAACCTCCATATCAAGAACCCCTCACAACTCCGGCCAAAGTGCAAAAGAAAGCATGAAAGCAAGCAAAGGAGGAGGACGAACATCACCCACCAATCAAGATCATTGGTCGGTTTTTCATGTTTTCGAGCTCGCCAATGCCGGCATGCTTCTCCTTCTTGTTCTTAACGGCCATGCCGATAATATTCAGGAGCTCCTCTGAGTTGGGAGCGAGCAATGGAGAAGTCCCGTCGGTGAAGGCCTGGCCTGCCTTTTCCAGCGCAGCCTGCCTCAGAACCTCAAACGCTTCCTCATCAATGGGTTCTCCCTGGTTGATCTTGCGTACAATATCGCGAAGAGAGACCTCGGCGTTGCCAAAGAGGCACACCTTGAGATTCCCATCACTGGTGATTCGCAGTCTGTTGCACGTCCCACAGAAATTGTGCGTCATGCTCGTGATGAAGCCAACCTTGCCGGCAAACCCGGGCACTTGGAAGGTCTTGCTGGTGTCGTTCTTGTGACCCTGGATCCTCTGTAGGTCCGGGTACTTGGAGCGAATAAGCTCCAGCATCTCCTGGTAGCTGAACATCTTGCCCTTGTTCCATTTGTTGCCGTCAAACGGCATGTACTCGATGAAACGAACCTCCACGTTCTTATCCCGCGTCATCTCAACAAAAGGGAGTACCTCGCGGTCGTTCAGACTGCGCATGACGACGCAGTTAATCTTGAACTTGATGCCGGCCCCAAGGCGGTTGAGCTCGAAGATGCGGTCGATGGATTTTTGCACGGCACCAAAGCCGTTCCGGCGCGTCATCAGCTGGAACTGCCAGGGATCCATGGTGTCCAGGGAGAGATTGATGCCTGTCAATCCAGCCTCGACCATGGCGTCCAGCTTACGGTGCAGCGAGAGCCCGTTCGTGGTAAGACATAGCTCCTTCAAACCGTGAGGCCGTAGGGCGCCTATCTGCTGCATCAGGGGCACAATATCGCGCCGCACCGTTGGCTCGCCGCCAGTGAGTCTGATTTTTGTCACGCCTTGCGAGACGAATAAGGACGAGAGCAAGACGATCTCGGGGGTAGTCAGAAGCTCCTTTTGAGGCGACAGTGGGACACCCTCCTCAGGCATGCAGTACAGGCAACGAAGATTACATCGCTCCGTTACTGAGATTCGAAGGTAGTCATGCTGACGATTGTAGTTGTCAGTCAAAAAGTCGGAGAAGGGTTTTGCATCCTTGAGCATGTCCCTTCGTGAGGACGCTGGCGTGGGGGCTGCTGGATGATGAAGTGGCTCTTCTGACTCCGTTGTCGGAGTACGTAGAGAAGCCCCAACGCTGACGTCGACAGGTACGCTAGATGAACTATGTTCGTCTGGAGTCACCGACGCTTGGGCAGATGACAGGTATGAGGAAGCGTTCCGTACTATCGATGCTGAAGACGATGTGGTTGTTGTTGGTTTTGCGGCTGCAGCTGTGGCAACACGTCGGGATGAGGGGATCGACGCCCTGGTAAGGTGCCATATTCCGATGCGGACTCGGAGTCCTCGGGCCGCATGGCGGGCCACAGCGGACATGATTGATGGCTTCTTTCTTTTTTGTTGATTTTCTTTCGCACTTTAGACTCTCAAAGAACGTTTGGGCTAGAGAGACCGAGAAAAACCAACCATGATGTGGCTGGAAATAGGCAAACTAAGGTAGTTTGTGATGACCTCATCAGCTTAATTGTTAGCTTGCAAGTCCGGGTTCCGGACTATCAGCTGGTTGGGTTGGACTCGCAACTCTTTAAGTCAGGGTCAGACTAAACCAACGAGAGTGAACACAAAGCAGCTATTGTAAGGATTTACAATCCGGTATTACAAAGGTCAAGAAAGAAGTTGTGGCGCGGCAGGATAGAGACAACAATTTCATATCCATTGAGATAGGGCAATACACAAATACCATGACAAACCGTAGTAACACTGCTATCAATTATCTCCAAGAAGATGGAGAAAGTAGTGGCAAGGTTCATCGTTCAACAGTAGTGTAGCTGAGTGTACATAGTAGTGTAAGCACGGAAACCGACGCTGGACTTTCACCCCGCACCATGTTTGCGGAGAGCGGCGAACATCAGGATTTCCTATGATAGGGCGCACTGACCACCTCTCCGATGGAAGCCTCTGTCTTGGCAGGGGAGTCAACACTGCCAAGAGAGGATATGTACTATGTACTTCTTTACACTATGTACTGTACTGTCCGGCAGGCAATCGCCGTGTATGTACTTCGGTTCATTCTGACAGCTTCAGTCCGTCGTTGACAGCTTCCCTTCGAGCTGTTCTGACTGTGCACCTCAGACATTCCTTAGAAGTAGCGCTGCCTACCTAGGGTAGCGATAAGATAGCGTCCTTGGTGCCTGCACGACACAGGGCCGGACCGCACCTTTGAGCTCGTGACAGGAAGGAAGGACGGGAAGAATCCATTGAACCTGTCACTTCTCGTCTCATCAGAACAGTTGGTGATGGAAGTCACGTTGTTGGTCGACTGACTGTTTGCTGACCGCCTTCTAAGTACCTAGGTAGTTGCCAGTGTCATCCTGCTCAATTGCTCTCTCTGACGCGTGCCCCCATTTCCCCTTCGCGTCTAGACTTTCTCTTCCTGTTCAACATCTTTTGCCAACTGGGATTGACCAACAACATCTGACCAAAACAGGCCCAAAAATAGCAGAAACCCACCAAAACAAAACGACAACTAAACGTGGACCACTAAACTACTTCTTCGGCCTGACCGACACAAAAACCGACGCCGGACTTCCGCTGAACACCAAAGCGACACAGATGTTGTTCTCCAAGAACGTAAAGTGTAGGTGAGGAAACATCATCACCACCACACCCGCAACATCCACTTGTCCTTCAAGACAGGGCCTGGGCTATCATCAGGATCCGCGGGAGCTGTCCTCGGAGCACTCCAGGTTGCTTGCCAAATTCACTCCCACAGGCACCATGGCTGATCGATGGTCTGTTTCATAGCTTCGGCTCACTGCCTGCCCAGCCCTGATGGCCGATACATCGCGACTTTGTTCCCAACTTTGATCAATGTCCGGAGCGTCCAGTCATGGGAGCCCATCCACGTTGTCAGACTGCCTCAGGACTTCATTGGCCCGTTCCTCTCTTTTCAGTGGTCGCCGTCTTCCCGCCTGCTTCTCGTTGCCAGCTTCGACCAGCTTCGAGTGTTTTCTGCTCTGGATGGGAACTATCATGCCACCATCCGAAACCCTGTTGCTCCCCATCTGAAGCCTACCTACATTGACTTTGGTGCATCGGATACAGAAATCTGTGTCATGGCCTCATTCGGTCTCAAGTTGGCTGTCTTTGACCTTAACTCGTCCAAAGCCATCGAGATTGGGAGCCCCAAGTTCTCGTCCTCTACGGCTGTTCGCAGAGGCTTCTCCTTTCGCCCTCAGTCCAACCACCTTGCCCTATTGACCAGGACGGCTGGTAAAGACATGATTAGCATTCACGCTTTTCCCAGTAGGGAACTGCAGAGATCGTGGGCCCCTGACACAATTGATGCACAAGGCCTGCTCTGGAGTCCAGATGGGAGATGGCTGGTTGTGTGGGAGTCGCCCGCCCTTGGCCACAAGGTGGTGTTTTATACGCCAGATGGCAATCTGTTCAAGATCTGGTCGGGTCCCGTCAACCCCACACACGAGGAGAAGGATTTTGCTCTGGGTGCCGGTGTCAAGACGGTGCAGTTCTCTCCAGATGCCCGCCTGCTTGCTATTAGTGATCACAGCAGAAGTTTATCCATCGTCGATATGGCATCCACAATGGAAGTGCTGCGGCTCCAACATCCCAACAACCTTGTCCCCAAGGGCACGCTACAGGTAAGATTGTAATACGGGGCCTGGCTCCTGCGAGTCAGACCAGCTGATGGAACACAACAGATCTGGCAAGAACGAATCGGAATCTCTCACGGTCCCATCATGCATACCTTTATCCGAGCCTCTCAAGCTATCTCTCCGCCTCCGAGGCCCCAAGAGGCTGCTGAACAGCTGTCAGGTTGTGCTACCATTGCCTTCGACCTGTCATCGAATCTCATAGCAACCAGGATCGAAGAATTCCCTTCGACCGTCTGGATTTGGGACGTACAAGCTGCAGTACTTCGTGCAGTTCTCCTTTTTCACGGCAGCGTCAGCACCCTGTCGTGGCATCCTCACGTTCGCGAGACCTTGCTCATAAGATGTGAAGGAGACCACTATAATAGCGTCGTGTTTGTCTGGGATCCTCTGTCCGAAGGGCCTCAATCGGTCGACTTTAGCCAACAACTGTCCGGGTTCAAAGCAGTTGGTAAGTGGCATGCCTCGTGGCTCGGTCTCGACGCATCTACTCCCCTGTCCATTTTCTACTCGGATACCCAAAACTATGTGTTGGCATCTCTTGCCGATTCGGACAGAGAGTCACTGCCGTGGATCAACCCACGCAACCCACAAGGCGGCGACGGCCCGAGCCGCGCTGAATCACCCCTTGAACTCGTTCCAGCAACAGAAGACGAAGCAGACGAAGAAGATGCTTTACAGACTGGGGATGACGGTGACATTGTAATGAAGGACACATATGGCTACAAGCGATAGGCGATTTTTGTGCGAATGGTTTTATACAAGCGATATCCCTTACCTTCCCGCATATGCCTTGGTGCTGGAGCACTACCTATAGGAGATGTCCTAGTTTATATCCAGGATAACCGACCCGGGGCTTTGGCTCATGTTCCCGTTTACGTTACTGGCCACTTGGGGGCATGACGGACCACCCGCGGATGTTGTTGATGGGCCTGCCAACCCTCCGTTTTATGCTGTCAAGTCACAGTAACAGGATCCAAGACGCACTGCTTGGACAAGTTAGGCTTTGAGCCCAACATCAGTAGCGTTTTAACGGGGGCCTATGATGAACTGGCGCAGCGAGTGACCCCCGCGCTTTGATCACAGATGGTGGCATACTGATGAATCGACTCGAACGACCTCCTATTCCCATAAGGCTTCACGCATTCATCCCGCATGCCAACTCACTTGTTTCAATATTTGCCCAAAACAAGATTGGAATGACTCGTGCAGCCTGATAGCTGACGAGGTTCGGAATTGCAAACAAACAATGTGGTGCGTACTCGGAATAAATTGTTCCAAAAAGATTACGGTCTGGCCTTCGAACCCGGTTGAGTTACTTCATAGCCCAGAATTTACCTTCATCTGCAGCCGCTGGCGACCCGGATCTTACCGCTGTATCCTTTCGGGCTTCGATGTAATTCCTCTTACAGATGGAAGTCCAACGCCAATTAGACTCTCTCACGTTTATCAACATAGGTTGGCAGACGGACGGACCCTTGCCTGCATTCACCTTGTCTTACACACGAGTTAGAGCGTCGCCAACCATGGATCACCGTTATAAACCGCCTCGCTTGACACCGAGACAGCAGCTTGACAGGTTCCCATCTCTTGAGCCGCGGCTGTACGTAGCTCAGTGGGTCCTTACCGTTTTCAGTGCCCCTTGGGTAGTAGTTGACAAGCTGGCATCATACAATTCCGAAACGGCGACAACGGGAGGTGGGTTGGTGCGTTACCTACAGCCGCACAACTCACGAGCTTCTATAGGTGCTGCATCACGCACTCCCGTAACGTGTGTTTGCGTCTCCGGTTCTGCATCCTTGAGACTGTCACGACGAGTACGGATAGCATTGCCGGCCTGTCGAAGCTGCACACATTGCTTGTAGTTGTGAGGGAATATTAGGGGTATCAACGCCGCCTCGAAATCACCTTTGCTGTCGAACATGTCTCATTCCAAGGAGAACGCGGAGTAGCATTGCTATGAGAATGACGTAGAGTGGCCAAGAGGAATCATCTTTCCTATCCGCAAGTGGTCATGGTTCCGTGCATCATTTTATCAGATGTGATCAGTTCACCCCACGGCTCGGAAGCCATGTCAACAACTCTCGGGTAGAGGTTGAACAGGATGCATTGCCCTTAGTGACCATTCCTAGAGGAAACCTACAATGACGCCGGAAGGCCGCCGAGCCTCGAGGACCAGGCGACGGCAACATTCCGTTGCATGCGGTTGTATCCCTCAGATGTGTAGAGCTTTCGGATTTAAATAGCTGGCCGGCGTCGATATACGAACTTGATGATGACACGCAGTCTCAGGGGTAGGAGAGTTGTCAAATCTTCGGTCTTTAGTCGGAGCCACAATTCGTTGAAACTGAGCCAAAAACTTCCTGACAGACCGGCATCGACCCTTTACACCAGGATGACCCTGAATCTAGAACAACGCAACTGGCAATAGTTGAAGGTATATCCAAAGCTCCACTGAGAATTGGACTCGCCATAGCTCTCCCTCATCAAGGTGATTCGAGGCAAATACTCAAGAATTCCCAGATCGTCCGTCCGTTAGGATCCTCTCTATTCCCGCTGTCTATTTGTTCATCCAGCCACAGCCTCACCTCCTTAAGGTTCACCAATCTGCCAACCCAGAAGAATCCGGGACTATCAGCAACTAGTTTCGGTTTTCGAATGCAAGCAGCAATTCTTGATATTGAGGTCCCGCTTTCACTCTCTTCTTGGACAAGGTCACCCAAACCACGCCAAAACTGCCCCTTGGGCCAAAATGCCTGGCTCAAGGAGCTCAAAGCATGCCAAAGACTCTATCAGGACGGCGGACACTGTGTTCGTCGAGGATGGTGAGCTGACGGGAATCTACTACATTCCCATCTCTGGTGTTCGTAGCCTAGCTCTCTCCTTAGCAATACCGTTACATTGACTAACAATCCTCTTTATGCAGCTTCCCCACACAACGACGTGGCAACAGTTAAAGGACCACGTAAGGAGGGGATGTGGTGTCGAAGCCGATAAAATTGAGGTTTATGCTCCTCTCGGTGGATGTGTTCGAATCCGAGAGAGGGACAATTTTGACAAAGCGTTCAGTAAGTGATAAATCATCATCTTCAACTACCCTGATCCCTGTTTACTGACAGCATAGTCAGCTTTCTTAAACGGCAGT